GGAGTGTGAGGGCTGGAGTGTGAGGGCTGGAGTGAGAAGGCTGGAGTGTGAGGGCTGGAGTGAGAGGTCTGGAGTGTGAGGGCTGGAGTGAGAGGCCTGGAGTGTGAGTGCTAGAGTGAGAGGGCTGGAGTGTGAGGGCTGGAATGTGGGGGCTGGAGTGTGAGGGCTGGAGTGAGAGGGCTGGAGTGTGAGGGCTGGAGTCAGAGGCCTGAGTGTGAGGGCTGGAGTGAGAGGGCTGGAGTGTGACGGCTGGAGTGTGAGGGCTGGAGTGAGCGGGCTGGAGTGTGAGGGCTGGAGTGTGAGGGCTGGAGTGTGAGGGCTGGAGTGAGAGGGCTGGAGTGTGAGGGCTGGAGTGAGAGGCCTGAGTGTGAGGGCTGGAGTGAGAGGGCTGGAGTGTGAGGACTGGAGTGTGAGGGCTGGAGTGAGAGGGCTGGAGTGTGAGGGCTGGTATGAGAAGGCTGGAGTGAGAGGCCTGGAGTGAGAGGGCTGGAGTGTGAGGGCTGGAGTGTGAGGGCTGGAGTGAGAGGGCTTGAGTGTGAGGGCTGGAGTGAGAGGGCTGGAGTGAGAGGGCTGGAGTGTGAGTGCTGGAGTGAGAGGGCTGGAGTGTGAGGGCTGGAGTGTGAGGGCTGGAATATGATGGCTGGAGTGAGAGGGCTGGAGTGAGAGGGCTGGAGTGTGAGGGCTGGAGTGAGAGGGCTGGAGTGTGAGGGCTGGAGTGAGAGGGCTGGAGTGTGAGGGCTGGAGTGAGAGGGCTGGAGTGTGAGTGCTGGAGTGAGAAGGCTGGAGTGAGAGGGCTGGAGTGTGAGTGCTGGTGTGAGAGGGCTGGAATATGATGGCTGGAGTGAGAGGGCTGGAGTGAGAGGGCTGGAGTGTGAGGGCTGGAGTGTGAGGGCTGGAGTGAGAGGGCTGGAGTGTGAGTGCTGGAGTGAGAAGGCTGGAGTGTGAGGGCTGGAGTGAGAGGGCTGGAGTGTGAGGGCTGGAGTGAGAGGGCTGGAGTGTGAGTGCTGGAGTGAGAAGGCTGGAGTGTGAGGGTTGGAGTGAGAGGGCTGGAGTGTGAGGGCTGGAGTGAGAGGGCTGGAGTGAGAGGGCTGGAATATGATGGCTGGAGTTTGAGGGCTGGAGTGAGAGGGCTGGATTGAGAGGGCTGGAGTGTGAGGGCTGGAATATTATGGCTGGAGTGAGAGGGCTGGAGTGAGAGGGCTGGAGTGAGAGGGCTGGAGTGTGAGGGCTGGAGTGAGAGGGCTGGAGTGTGAGGGCTGGAGTGAGAGGGCCGGAGTGTGAGGGCTGGAGTGTGAGGGCTGGAGTGAGAGGGCTGGAGTGTGAGGGCTGGAGTGAGAGGGCTGGAGTTTGAGGGCTGGAGTGTGAGGGCTGGAATATGATGGCTGGAGTGAGAGGGCTGGAGTGAGAGGGCTGGAGTGTGAGGGCTGGAGTGAGAGGGCTGGAGTGTGAGGGCTGGAGTGAGAGGGCTGGAGTGTGAGGGCTGGAGTGAGAGGGCTGGAGTGTGAGTGCTGGAGTGAGAAGGCTGGAGTGAGAGGGCTGGAGTGTGAGGGCTGGTGTGAGAGGGCTGGAATATGATGGCTGGAGTGAGAGGGCTGGAGTGAGAGGGCTGGAGTGTGAGGACTGGAGTGTGAGTGCTGGAGTGAGAGGGCTGGAGTGTGAGTGCTGGAGTGAGAAGGCTGGAGTGTGAGGGCTGGAGTGAGAGGGCTGGAGTGTGAGGGCTGGAGTGAGAGGGCTGGAGTGTGAGTGCTGGAGTGAGAAGCCTGGAGTGTGAGGGTTGGAGTGAGAGGGCTGGAGTGAGAGGGCTGGAGTGAGAGACCTGGAGTGAGAGGGCTGGAAAATGATGGCTGGAGTTTGAGGGCTGGAGTGAGAGGGCTGGATTTAGAGGGCTGGAGTGTGAGGGCTGGAATATTATGGCTGGAGTTTGAGGGCTGGAGTGAGAGGGCTGGAGTGAGAGGGCTGGAGTGTGAGGGCTGGAGTGAGAGGGCTGGAGTGTGAGGGCTGGAGTGAGAGGGCCGGAGTGTGAAGGCTGGAGTGTGAGGGCTGGAGTGAGAGGGCTGGAGTGAGAGGGCTGGAGTGAGAGGGCTGGAGTGTGAGGGCTGGAGTGTGAGGCCTGGAGTGAGAGGGCTGGAGTGTGAGGGCTGGAGTGAGAGGGCTGGAGTGTGAGGGCTGGAGTGTGAGGGCTGGAGTGTGAGGGCTGGAGTGAGAGGGTTGGAGTGTGAGGCCTGGAGTGAGAGGGCTGGAGTGTGAGGGCTGGAGTGAGAGGGCTGGAATATGATGGCTGGAGTGAGAGGGCTGGAGTGAGAGGGCTGGAGTGTGAGGGCTGGAGTGTGAGGGCTGGAGTGTGAGGGCTGGAATGTGAGGGCTGGAGTGAGAGGGCTGGAGTGTGAGGGCTGGAGTGTGAGGGCTGGAGTGTGAGGGCTGGAGTGAGAGGGCTGGAGTGTGAGGGCTGGAGTGTGAGGGCTGGAATGTGAAGGCTGGAGTGAGAGGGCTGGAGTGAGAGGGCTGGAGTGTGAGGGCTGGAGTGTGAGGGCTGGAGTGTGAGGGCTGGAAAGTGAGGGCTGGAGTGAGAGGGCTGGAGTGTGAGGGCTGGAGTGTGAGGGCTGGAGTGAGAGGGCTGGAGTGAGAGGGCTGGAATATGATGGCTGGAGTGAGAGGGCTGGAGTGAAAGGGCTGGAGTGTGAGGGCTGGAGTGTGAGGGCTGGAGTGAGAGGGCTGGAGTGTGAGTGCTGGAGTGAGAAGGCTGGAGTGTGAGGGCTGGAGTGAGAGGGCTGGAGTGTGAGGGCTGGAGTGAGAGGGCTGGAGTGTGAGGGCTGGAGTGTGAGGGCTGGAGTGAGAGGGCTGGAGTGTGAGGGCTGGAGTGAGAGGGCTGGAGTTTGAGGGCTGGAGTGAGAGGGCTGGAATATGATGGCTGGAGTGAGAGGGCTGGAGTGAGAGGGCTGGAGTGTGAGGGCTGGAGTGTGAGGGCTGGAGTGAGAGGGCTGGAGTGTGAGGGCTGGAGTGAGAGGGCTGGAGTGTGAGGGCTGGAGTGTGAGGGCTGGAGTGAGAGGGCTGGAGTGTGAGGGCTGGAGTGAGAGGGCTGGAGTGAGAGGGCTGGAGTGTGAGGGCTGGAGTGAGAGGGCTGGAGTGTGAGGGCTGGAGTGTGAGGGCTGGAGTGAGAGGGCTGGAGTGTGAGGGCTGGAGTGTGAGGGCTGGAGTGAGAGGGCTGGAGTGTGAGGGCTGGAGTGAGAGGGCTGGAGTGTGACGGCTGGAGTGTGAGGGCTGGAGTGAGAGGGCTGGAGTGTGAGGCCTGGAGTGTGAGGGCTGGAGTGAGAGGGCTGGAGTGAGAGGGCTGGAGTGAGAGGGCTGGAGTGAGAGGGCTGGAGTGAGAGGGCTGGAGTGTGAGGGTTGGAGTGAGAAGGCTGGAGTGTGAGTGCTGGAGTGTGAGGGCTGGAGTGAGAGGGCTGGAGTGAGAGGGCTGGAGTGTGAGGGCTGGAATGAGTGGGCTGGAGGTTGAGGGCTGGAGTCTGAGGGCTGTAGTGAGAGTGCTGAAATTTTATGGCTGGAGTGTCAATGTTGAAATGTGAAGGCTGGGCTCTGAGATCTGCCCTGTTTGCGCTCAAGTGTGAGGGCTGGCCTGTTAGGGCTAGTGTAAAATTAGTGGATTATCAGTGATGTAATATGAGAGCCTAGCGTGTGAGCAGTTGGAATGTGACTCCTTGTTTTTAAGTACTTTTTGTGTGTGGGTTGGAGTATGAAGAGTGTGATTAGTCCTTTGGGGTTGTAGTGGTTCTTTCCTCTGATGATTTCAGTACTGATGGCCTCGAGGAAAATTGCCATGTGCCCATGATGTTTTTTTGTTGTTCATCCAAGGGCCCCCTTAGGATCTGGACTTTTGCGTCTCCCTCGTGTGGCCCCTGTGATGTGACATTTCAGGTCCCATGTACAGGCGGCTTCTGTGAGCCTGCCAGGGCACATAATGAATAGCTTCAGGGCACAGTGTGTGTGGCCACCACCACTCTCATCCTACCCTCAAACTCCCCTGCACCCTGACCTGTCTCTGTACCCTAGAGCTCCATAGAAACGCAGGAACTCAAAGTCCTCCAGATGGCCTCCTTAGCCTGCCCAGATGGCCTCCTTAGCCTGCACCCTAGGCAGCACTAGCCCTTGCTGATCCGGAGTCATCAGGGAAATTAAGATTCTATTCCTTAGCTTTAAATTTCAGATTCTTTTTATTTGCTTTCCTTCTGATCAATTCAGAGCTTGGGACCTTTGTGTATCAGTCCACCACCACCACCACCACCAGTATCATTTTGTGTGTGCCAGTGGAAAGATACACAGCACAAAAATTTTAAGATGGTGCTTAAGGACCTGTGTGAGAGATTCATTCACAGGCTGCATAACCACAGGGTTTGCAAATGCCACATTCTCAACTGATGTCATAAAGCCAATTTAATCCCATTAGATTACTAGTGACCTTCCTCCCCTTGTTCTCTGTCCATGGGTCATCCGGCCCTGGTGGGGTTCCTGCCTGGAAGATATGGTCAGCAGTGTCTAGCCGATCGCACTGGCCCTGATGTGGTGGAAGGTGTGTGGACAGGTTGCTTCCCCAGGGGAGAGTGGATGAGGGGCTTAGCGTGCAGCCTGCTAGAGGCTGCAGCTCAACTGCCCACACAAGCTTTCCCAGAAGTAGGACAGCAAAACCCAGCCACAAAGACAGTTGGCAGCACTGACCACAAAGACATCTGCGTACTTTCCCGAGAACTACAGGCCCACCAAAGTGGCCTGGTTTTCACAACTCCATCCCAGAATGTACCTATTGTACCCCCTGGATGGCTGCTCTGGCCTTCAGGCCCACGCCTCTGGCTGTGGTTTTCAGGCTATAAGCCCAGGACTCCCTCCCCTGGCTCCCTCTGTCTGCGAGGCGATGTCTCCCCTGTGCCAGATTTCTTCTTTGTGGCAGTGTCCATTGCCCTTGCTTGGTTTGTGACCGGCGCAGCTCCCCAATGAGACAGGAGACGCTCTTGTGGGCACAGTTAACTGCTGGTTTATTTACATGGGCTCTGGTTTATATATTTGGCCGTGACCAATCACAGGCTGCCACGAGGAAGCAGGGCGGGAATGGGATGTAGGCTCTGGCTACTATATCCAGCTGTGGCCAATCAGGAGTTGCCACAGAGTACGGAGTGAGCACAAAGTGCGCACGGGTTGGCTAATTTAAGGAGGGACGTAGCGCATTGCGGAAGCTGGCATGGTCCTTAGTCCCGGGTGGGGTATGGTATGTTGAGCGCCTGCACCCAACATCTCCCCCTTTCTTTATAACTGATGCAGGGTCTCCAGAGGTCGGTGCCCCTTGTGAATTGTCACGCTGCAGTCATGACAGTGCCTCACTACTCGTTGGTGCTCTTTTGGAGGGGGCGGGAGTATTGTTTTATGAGCCCAACCCGCATGCTCGCCGACATGGGGACCGGGGTGTCTCCTGGCCAAGGACGACACCCCCTGCGATGCTTTGCTCCACACCTGTGTCACAGCATGGCAAGCCATGCTGCCGGGCTTTGACCAGATTCCATGATCAGCAATGCTTGTTTGATACTTTGTCCCTATTCCTTTGTCTGCGAATCCGACAGAGCAGAAGTAGACTGCCGAATGCGGCAAGTGTAGTCATGGTAGCCAGAGCCCCTGTTCCTGCCCATTCCTTTATGAAAGCCAATTGGAGAGTTGGCCCGAGCTGGATCACAGGAAACTCGTCTGGGTCCGTCATAACTGGAATTGGTACGAACTGGAGTACCTGCATAACAACAGCTGAAAGTGTACTGTTATCCCAACATTATAACATATAACAGGTTGCAGTGGAGCAATTTAGAAAAGTCATATTTGTGGTGTTTATGGTGGCCAGGGAGAATCCCCATAATATCTCCTGGGAGTATCCATCCAGGGGGTCACAAGCGGTAAACTGGAGGACCCTTGCCCAGATAGGGGTGCAGAAGGATCCCCGGGGCCTCCAAGCTGGCGCACCCTTAATCGCGGCAGGCTCGACTTGGGCCCCCTGCAAGATGCGAGTCGGGAGGTAGAGCCGCAGGTCTTATACAGGGCGGCCCTGAGATCCCGCACTCGCTTTCATTGACCCATTTACTCTGAGAAATCCTGCGTTGCAGCTCATTTATGGCCTCAGAGTAGGGCCCTCTCGACTGCGTGTGTGTGACTTCCCCTCTTTCGGTGGTGTCTGCATCTGCCATTTTGCATACTTCTTCCTCCTCCCCCTCATTATCTGACGAGTCCTTGTTTCTGGGTTGGGTGGGGCCGCCTCGCCTGCAGCACTGGACTCGCGAGATTGCTCGCAGGAGGATTCTGCCTGATGGTAACCAAGCGCCATGGCGCCAGCCCTTATATGGTCACGACAAGAGGTGTCTGCGAGGCAGCTTCTCACTACTGACCAAAGGGGTCTGACTCCTGGCTCCAAGAGGCCATTTTCTGCTGCAAAGTCAAGATCTCTCCCTAATTTATCCCAGCTGGGGATGGTAACGGACCCCGTGGGACCAAACCAAGGTGCTACCTTATCGACCTGATTGAGGAAGTTTTGAATTTGTTCTCGTTTCATTTGTAATCCCTTTTCTCTCAGTAAGTCGCTTAAGGCGACTGACAGTGGCTGAGTAGCCGTGTTACCCATGTTAACCGGAATTTCAAGAGTTTCTTTTTATTTATTTATTTATTTATTTTTTCTTTCTTTTTCCTTTTTTTTTTTTTTTTAAACAGGGACAGCTTAGTCCCCGCGCCCCTTTACGGCGCCCCCAAAACCGGCCTCTTTACGGCCCCCGGAACTCTCTTTACAAGTTCCTGACCCTTGCGACCCGTTCGCCCAAGGTTGCCCGATAGCCCCCCGCCATCCAGCCCTGTTGTGTAGCACCCGCTACCAACGTTGAGCAGTTTAACCTGTCAGCCCCCGCCCGCCGAGTAGCCCCCACTATCGGCGCTTGACGGTTTTACCTGTTAACGTCTCTGTTCCATCGGAGAGAGAGGTTCGTTCCCCGTACTGTCGGAGACGGGAGAGAGGGTCTCAGCGTTCCGCGCTCCCCGTACGGGCCACCAATTGACCGGCGCAGCTCCCCAATGAGACAGGAGACGCTCTTGTGGGCGACAGTTAACTGCTGGTTTATTTAGGGGGCTCTGGTTTATATATTTGGCCGTGACCAATCACGGGCTGCCACGAGGAAGCAGGGCGGGAATGGGACGCAGGCTCCGGCTACTATATCCAGCTGTGGCCAATCAGGAGTTGCCACAGAGTACGGAGTGAGCACGAAGTGCGCACGGGTTGGCTAATTTAAAGAGGGACGTAGCGCATTGCGGAAGCTGGCGTGGTCCTTAGTCCCGGGTGGGGTATGGTATGTTGAGCACCTGCGCCCAACAGGTTGCAGTCTCTGTGAGCCTTCACTGTGCTGAAACCCCCGCAGGGACGCCAAGGCTTCCGGCTGGTCCCTCCTGACCGTGCCATAGCCCCCAGGTCTGTGGACGACAGACCCTGCAGATCCTCCCGGTCGCTGGTTTCACCACACTCCGTGACACAGCCGGTGAGTACCTTCATTTGCATCTCATTTTCACATTTGCTATCAGCAAGCACATAATAGACACTATCATGTGACATCAGGGATAATGCTAAAGTGAGTACACGCTCTCCTTTCCGTCCCTATCCCGTGCTGTGCAACACCTGTGCACCCCGCCTCCCCTTTCCTCCACATCAGCCCTGCACCCTCCGAGGCGGTCCCTTACCCTCTCCCGTTGCCTCGCTGGAGGGCTTCTTACAGGGCGCACTGCGAGTTCTTCCAGGGCCCCTCCTCGGACTCACCACGGCCTCGCTTTCTGTTCCCTCATTTCCTTCTTCCTCTTCTTTCTCCCACCAACAGTCAGCACCCCTACATCCAGGCCGTCTGTAGTGATCTTTAGGATCGCTCTGCCTCTGGCCTACAAAGCCGTGCCGGACACCGTCTACTTCTGACTCAGTCCCAACCCGGGACGCCTGCCTGGGAGCTTAGGGCCTGCGTCCCTTAGGGGCTCCTACACTCCCGACAGAGAGCCTCTTCTGAGACCCCTGCAGTCTCGGACCCCTGCAGGCAGGACTGGTTGCCGCCTACCCTGGTTGCTGGGGTCTCAGTGTTGGACTGCCTTGAAGCCCTTGGGCGGAATTGGAACCTAACTGCCTAAACTTGGCCAGACTGCGTGGCCCCAGTACCGCCTAGATAATGGCTCAGTTTGGCCGCCAGGGGGCGCACCAGACTTTGATATTCTAAGGGATTTAGCTAACTTTGGCCGGACCAACGGGAACGGGTCTGAAGTTCCCTGTGTGTTTTCCACACTGCACAATCAGCTTCAACTTTGTGTGTCCTGTGACCTCACCCAAATTCTCCTCGCTAAAGCTTTCCCCAAGCCTCCTCCTGATCAGGACCCTGAGGCCCAGATTTTCCATCCCTGCTCTTTCCCTTCCCAATCGGATGACCCCCTTCCCCTATATACGCGACGCCCTCGTAGACCGCGTGGCTGGCTCCTGGTCCCCATCTCCATCTGCGGTTCCAGTACGAGAGGTCCCCTCCCCATCAGAGGTCTTCCCGAGAGAAGCCTCATCCACAACCCCACATTCACCATCCCCAGCCTCTCCTTCGGCACCTCCGGCGCCCCCACACTGTGATCCCCATCTATGCCGTCTCCCCGTTGGCCACACTCGCTCTCATGACCTGCCCCAGACCCCTCTTAGACAGGTGGCCTGAGTGGAAGGTTTAGTCAACGTACACAACCCTCGGTAGCTTTCGGATTTATGCCAAATTGAAAAGTGACCCAGGTCCTTCACAGAAAACCCCACCACCTACATCAAAGAATTCAAATACCTAACCCAGACTTACCAGCTAACATGGACTGCTACCTCTGTTTCCTTTCCTCTGCCCTCACTGCAGAGGAAAAAGAAGCTATTTGCCTGGGTACGCAAGCCCACCCAGAAGAGAAGCGTTACATGACCCAACTGTTCCCCCAGGAGCAGGGGAAACACTCAAGGAGGACAGGCAAAGGCCTGACGGGAATCCTGCTGTGATGTCCCGCCTCACTGAGGCTCTAACCAAATTTCCTAGGGTGGACACAACTTCTAGAGAGGGGCAGTTGGCCCTAAATAACCATGTCATAAGTCAGTCTAGAGGTGGGCTCAGATACCCCATACAGTGACCTGATTAATCTGGCCTTCAAGGTTTTCAGTCGGAGGGGTGAACAGGAGCAAAAAGATAAGCTTGCTGTGCCAAACAAAAATATCAACTCCTGGCAGCGGCCCTACACCCCCTGAGGATCCTGCTAACCAGGCTAACCCCAGCAGGTGCCCTCTGGGGCCTGCTTTAAACGTGGGAATACGGGTCACTGGGCTCGAGAAAACCCAAACCCCAGTCCACCTCCGCCTGCCAGGTCTGTGCCCTAAATGCAATGAGCTGAGTCACTGGGGGATGGACTGCCCTTCCTCAAAGAGGGATGAGCCCTGTACCCCCAAAACTAATCTACTGCGACAAGCTGCACTAGCCGGGCTCCTCGGCCTGGCGGACAGGGACTGAAGGCTCCCGGTTCATGTGCACGGACGCCTGACCTCACCACGGTTCAGGTGAGCTCCCGGGGGCCCAGGGTAACTGTTCGGTGGCGGGGGGTGAGTCAGATTCTTTCTCCTAGACACGGGGCTTCCTGGTTACTCCTTCCTTCATACCACGGGATCACTGTTGTGAGGTTGAGAGCAAACCTTAAAGGCCGTTTCCCATGGCCCCCCACCACCCCTGACATGCTTGAAGACCAGCTCTTTCCACTCCCTTCCTGACCTTACCTAACTGCCCAGCGCCCCTCCTGGGCAGGGACGCCCTGCACAAGCTACAAGCTGCCCTATCTCACGAGCACTGAGTGCTTCCTCACCTTCTTGGGTGGTGATGTCACCACTCCTTCTCCTCTCCGGGTCCCTCCAAGAGATCCCCGATTCCCTTTTAGACACGAAAACCCTCACGTGGGACACTAGCAGCCCCACAATAGCCACACATCATCCTCCTGTCAGAGTTGCCCTCAAGACCCACTCACATACCCCAACTTCACGTTTCCCACCCACACCGGGGGGGGGGGCAGCAAGCCCGGCACAGAGAGGCTACGGAGGCAAAGGCCTCACACCCACGGACTCACCTGCCGCATGCCCGCCCCTCCTGGAGAAGCATAGCAGGACTCCAGGCTATGCAAGACCTCCGCATCACTAATTCAGCCGTATGTACGGTCACCCCGGGGTCCCCAGTCCCACGCCCTGCTGAGCCCCATTCCCCCTTCAACCACCCTCTTTACTGTGGATCTCAAAGACGCCTTCTTCACTGTTCCCTGGTACCCAGACTCTAGGCCCCTGTTTGCCTTCACTTGGGAGGACCCTATGTCCCACCTGACCTGGACAGCCTCCCCCAGGCTTCAGGGAGGCCCACAGTGCTCTAGTCAGGCCCTGGCCTCTGACCTCAGCACTCCAGTTAACCCCCAGCTTCCTGCCCCAGCACATCGATGGTCTGTTAGCTCACAGCCTTCTCATCAGCAGACCACGCTGCTCCTAAACTTCCCCTGCAACAGGGGCTACCGCACTTCTCACCATAAAACTCAGTTATCCACCAGTCAGACGCATACTTAGGGTTCTTGCTGACACCCACAACACGGGGTTTGACCATTGACCGGCACCATGCAATTCGACAAATGCCTGAACCAATGACCAAACAACAACTCCTATCCTTTTGGGGCCTCCTTGGCTATTTTCGCCTATGAGTCCCAGTCCCAAAACTCATGCTCTTGGCTAAACCCCTGTATGAGGCAGCTCACGGCCCCCGGAGGAGCCACTTGACCCCACCTGTGCGATCACCCGAGCCTTTCTAACCCTGCAACAAGCCCTCCTGTGTGCTCCTGCCGTGGCCCTTCCTAACCACGTGTTGCTCTTTGCCCTCAGTCACTGAGAACTGTGGCACAGCCATACGGGATCCTTTGCCCATGCCAAGGCCCCACTGAAGCAGCTGTGGCATACAGTCAGACAACCGGACCCCACAGTGTGCAGATGGTCCCCTTGCCTCCGGGCGCTGGCAGCAGATAGAGGCTCGGAAGCTCGCACTCAAAGGCACCATCACTGAGTACTGTTAATACGGACTCACACAGAGGTAGCACGTGGGGCGTCCCATCTCCTCCCTCCTTCCCCACTCCGATTATTTCATCTGACTTTGTGGGAAAGCCCCAAGTTTCCCTGGCCACCTGCGGGCCACTCAACCCTGCTGCCCTTTCGCCTGCTTTGATTGTTCACCAGCACACTGCTGCAGTGCCCTCGACGACCTTCCCCCTGCCTGTCACCAGTGCTCCCCCGCCACAGTACACCTGGTTCACAGACGGTAGCGGGACCCAGATCTCTGCAGGACAGACAGGGGCGGGATATGCTGCAGTCCCCCTGGGATGTGTCACTGAGGCCGGCCCTCACCCCCAGGGACCACTTCCCAAAAGGCAGAGCTCACTGCCCTCACCGGTGTTCCCACCAGGCCAAAGAACAAGCGATAAACATCTACGCTGATTCCAAATACTCGGATCGCATAGTTCATCTCCGTCCCTCCATCGGGATGAATGGGGTCCCTCACTGCTCAGGGCTCCTCAGGTCAAAATGGGCCCTTAATAAAAAAGCCATCACAGGCACATCCCTAGCATCTCACGTGGCTGATCTACACTGTAAAAGTCACCAAGGCTGGCTGCTGTATAAACACAGGAAACAACTCAGCTGACACCACAGCGAAAAGCAGCAGCTCTTGGTCCTGGGCAGGCTGTGGCTACAGCAGCTCTTCCGCGAGCCACCTCACGGTGACCAGACCCCAGTCCAGGGCCCTCCCAGGCTCTACCCTAACCCGACAGAGAGCCCGCCGGGGCCCAGGGCTGGCTGCTGCTCCAGAGTCTCTGCTGCCTTCAAGTTCCTCCTAGACCCACACAACTCCCTACACACTGGTGGCGGCCCCTAAAACAGCGCCTCGGACCTATCGTCCACTATGAGGGCTAACCGAAGCCCACGGGACACATCTGCCTCACGGGGAACCTGTCCCCTGTAAGTCCTGGTGGCTCTTTGACACCCCTGTCCTCTTTTAACTAGTTTGGAGGAGGCCTGCTGGGACAGGACTGAACAGACTTCATGCGCATGTCTAGACATAAAATGTTTAAATATCTTTTAACCCTAATAGACACCTTTTCTGGATGGATCAAAGGCTTCCCCCCACCCCTACCCACGAGACAGCAGAGGGTGTGAGCCAGACCCTCACCCAGCTGTGGCCTTCCATCCTCCCTCCAGCCTGACCACAGATCAGCGTTTGTCTCCAGAGTCACTCAGCTCATGGCTGAGGCCCTCAATATAAAACAAGCACTACACCTGCCCTATCATCCCCAGTCTCAGGCGAAGCGGAAAAGGCCAACCATCTCCTAAAGGCCCACCTTACAAAATTGGGGCTGGAAACTCACCAGTCATGGCCTATCTGCCGCCCTATGGCCCTCATCCGACTAAGGGCTCTCCCCACCCCCAAATCCACCCATCTGATCCTTTTGAGCTTGTGTATGGACGCCCCTTTGTGCTCTCACAATTGCCCCATGGACCAACTCACCCACTTGGCAGCCACCTCCCCTTACTCTCTCCCTTGTGTAACCTGCTGCGAGCCCATGCCAACCATGCCTGCCCCAGCCGACTGACTCCCCAGTCTCCTTACAGGTCCAACCCGCAGACCAGGTGTGAGTGCCAGATCTCACCCATCGCCATTAAAGCCCAAGTGGACCAGACCACACCCTGGGGGGTTGAGCGCCCCTATTGCAGCCAAACTTCTAGGCAAATCAGCCTGGATGCACCTCTCCAACCTTAAGAAAACCCCTCTCACAGCCAAGCAGCCCTCAGATCAGTCCTGAGTGATGGGTTCTTGGGATGGGCATAGGACTTCCCTGACTATTCCATGGTTCTTGGTGATGGAGGGCAAAGGGCAATGCGTGGTTAGGAAGGGCCCCAGCAGGGGTCGCTGGTCCTCCACCTGGCTTTCCCCAGTGCTCCTTTGGGGAGCACTGCATCCCTTGCATCCCCGATATGCAGTTCACACTCCACCTGCCCTAGGAGACCACTCTCACTCCCTCCATCCTTTAAAACAAAAGGCTGAAGCGGAAAGGGCCCCTGAGCTTCTGGGTGAAGGGAAGAGGGGCCCAGGGTGCAGCCTGCTAGAGGCTGCAGCTCGGCTGCCCACACAAGTTTTCCCAGAAGCAGAAAAGCAAAATCTAGCCACAAAGACAGTTGGCAGCACCGACCACAAAGACATCTGCGTTCTTTCCCAAGAACTACAGGCCCACTGAGATGTTCCTGGTTTTCACAACTCCACCCCAGAATGTACCTATTGTGCCCCCTGGACGGCTGCTCTGGCCTTCGGGCCCACGCCTCCGGCTGTGGTTTTCAGGCTATAAGCCCAGGACTCCCTCCCCTTGGGGTCACTCTCTGTCCATGAGATGATCCCTCCCCTGCGCCAAACAAACTTCTTCGTGGCAGTGCCTTGGGCATCCTTGCACGGGTTATGGTCTCTCATTGACCTCCGAGAGACCTAAGCATTCCCAAGGCATGATGGGAACATGGCTCTCCGCAGACAAGCCCATGGTGGTGCAGTGCTTTCTTTGATGCATGGGGTGGGGGCCTCAGAGGGCTACTATGGACCACCTCATCAGTGTATCCCTGAGGTGGGGATGAGTCCTTGCAGGCAGCTTCCCTAAGGTCCAGTTGAGTGGTGCAGGAGGTGTATCTTGGCATCACCCGCCGTCCCCACCCTGGTGGACAGTGAACAGACAAAATGGGTTAAGGGTTCTCTGGGGGCCGAATGGGCCATGGTGATCCAATGGGGATCAGGGGGCAGATGCTCCCACTATGTGATTCTCCTCCACTACCATATACTGACCGCTCCTGCCTTGGGTTTGGGACTTTGTGGACAGCACCCCACCCTATACCCTGAGGAACCAAGCCTGCACAGCCATGCAGGTCGGCTCTGCACAGGGGTTCTGTGCAGGCTTTCCAGGAGGGCTCGTTCCTGCTGTCCCTGTGACCCGGCAGCCAGGCAGGCAGGTGCCGCCAGTTCTTGGGTTCCAAGTGTTTGCAAACTTTGCAACTGGAGACACAGAAACCTTCCTGTCACCTGTGCTGCCACTCTGCTCTCCTCCCAGCCTTTATCTGATCATGCCCAGGCCCAGGTTTTTTAAAGGCTTCCCGGAACCCACTGGATGAAATCCAAGGCCCTTGGCAGGCGACCGTTCCCCTGCAGAAGCGTGTCCGATCCTCCAGGCGCTTTTCCCAGAAGATGCTTCTAGAGCCCACAGAGCAGTCACCTCCCTTCCTTGCTGCAGGGGTTTCACGGCTGTTATAGATCATTTCGGGGCTGCCCTTCCAAGCGAATCAGGGCCAGCACAGAGGTGTGTGTGAGGGTTGTCCTCACCCCAGGCTCCCTTCCTCCTCCGGGGGGAGCTGTGGGCTGGGGCGGGGGTTGTGCTGCCCGGGAGCACCATGGGTGATGCGCCACATGCAGGGTGGGGACCAGGAAGATGGAAGGGAGTCCTGTCCTCAACCCCACCAAGCCACAGAATTAGCCCGGAACTTAGCCCAGAGCTTCTGTTTAGAGGACTGACATTTGTATCTCAAGGATTCTGAGAGCCCTCCTTTTCCCTTCTACCTACAGCCGTTTTCTTTTAAAATCTGCGTATTTATTAGGAGCAGAGTCTAAGCTGCCTCATCTCTATCCCGATGCTCCCCCACCTGCCCCGAGACCTCTCACTTGGAGTCCCTCCTTTCCTCCCCTCCCAGACTCTGTAGCCCAGGAGCCCCAGATTCCCACTCCCTGGACCTCGGCCTGTGAGCGGGGAGGCCTTTGGGGACCCTTGCAGGGCCTGTGGAGGATGTGTAACCCGTCCCTGTGTTTATAGCAGCTTTCTCTTTCTGGGAGGCTCCTGAAGTTCTGGCTCAGTCCCACTGTGAGGGTGAACACTTCTGGAGAACGACAATTTTCATGGACATAAGGTATTTCTATAATTCCACGTTTCCTTGAAAATAAGACCTAAGTGCAAAATAAGCCCCAGCTGGTGGTTACCATGGTGATGGCGCTGTCCGGCTGCTTCCCCCTCACTGTTCTCCGCTGCCCAGGAGAGGCTGATGGGGCCTGACAGGTCTGAGCTCTGGTTTTCCGGGCTGATGATTTTCCGATAGGCCTTGTTCTGTGGGAAACACCATGTAAGTGTGTGTGAACCGTGCAGGCAGGCACCGTTACCAGGAGTTCCCCACTTATGCAAGGCATTAGAAAACCAAAACAAAGTAGCAATTCATACAAACAAAAGTGGGAAGGTAACTTAAAAATTAAACGGATGAACAGGGTTGTTTTTCTGGAAGGAGGTTGCTGCCAGCCGGCAGGCCCAGGCACGGCGCTCTGGACAGCTTCTCTGGAACTCCCACTTCTCTGCGTGCCGGGTGTGACTCGCCTCTTCTCCGCCTCACATCTGTTCCTTTTGCTAAGAGATATGTCAGCGCTTGCCCCGGGCCTCTCTGTGGCAAACGCAGCCAAGGCGATGGGAATGCGAAGTGGGTAAACACGGCGAGAGTCAGACACGCACACACAGGCCCGGGCCCACCCACGCTCAGAAACTTTGCAAAAATTACAGGACATTAAAACACGGGATTAATCACTCTCAAGGGCATATTCATAGTTCTGCAGGCGTTCAGAGACCCTAGTTAGAGACACTGTGAGTAGCCCTGACTTAACCTCCAGCATGGCTTTAAGCAAATTGCTTGCCTTTTGTTGGTTGCATTTGGCTTTTCTGAGACAGGGTCTCACTAGGTAACTCAGGCTGGCCTTGAGCTCAGTATCTGTCCCAGGGTGGCCTTGAAATTGTGGTAATCCTGCCTTGGCCTTAGAGTGCTGGGATTACAGGTGTGTGCCACCTTGCTTGGCTTTCATTTGCCAATTTTGGATCTTGGTACATTCTTTGTACACAGACAAGGGCAGTTTGGGTATTAGTATTCTTGGGAGATGAAGCGAGTTAGAGAGCTACAGGTCAGTTCCCAAGATCTTCAAGGACTCTGAAGGAGCAGATTACAAGGACCTCCAGAACTTGGCCAGAGTGAGTCCAGACTGGTTCTGGAGGCAAACAGACCAAGGTTTGGGCTGAGGCTGGGGTACTGTGCGTCCAGGACGACTGGGGTTTGAATCCCAGCTCTGCCAGCGCCGGGTGGGTTAGGGTGGGCACCTTTCCAGCAGGTAGGAGGAGTCCGAGGTGCTGAGACAGAGCTGGGCCCAGCTGGGCTCAGCCAGCCTGTGGGCCACAGAGGACCACGGGCTCTTCAGAGACAGAAGAGCAACAGAGAGGCCAGCTCTGCCCCTAAATGGTAACAGCTCTGCTATTCAGTTCGGGGTACCTTGCCCCGACTTGCCCCAGATATCCGTGGCCCTCCAGCCTTTCTTGGCTGGGCGGCAGGAGCACCCTGCAGTCGCCATCTGGGCCATATAGTGTGTTCCGTGCAGCCGGGGCTACAGAGGACTCTGCCCCCAAACCAGAACGAAAACAAAGGCCCAGCGCCCAGCGTGGCCTTCCGCATTCCCAGCAGTCAGCCGTGTCACCTGTGCAGCAGGCGCCTCCCAGTGGCCTCATGGTTCACTGCGGTGACTGTGAAACCCCCAAAGGCCAGGCTTCCAGGCGGGCAGGGCTCCCCGTTCCGCAAGCCCAGTCCAGGGCTGGAAGGGGCAACTTGCCAGGGACCAAGGCAAGTCCCAGCCTCTCTGGGCGGGGCTTTGTTCATGGGAAGCGCTGGCTGCATCCACGTAAGGGACAGGAAACCCCTCTCATGGTGCTGGGGACCCAGCCGGGGACACAGGCTGGGTGGGACCTGGCTGCCCAGTTCCCCCTTCCCCTCAGCCATTGCCCTAACTATGCACCCCACCAGCTGCTGCCAGAAGCCAGTCTGAAAAAAACAGAAACTGGTCTGGCCTTTGGCTCAGGACCCCCACGCCCTCTGCCTCACTCTGGGACAGGCCTTGCATGCAATTGGGCAAAGGGGCCACGCTAGCCTGCTCCCCACACGCCCCTGCCGGCGCCTTCTCCCTGGACTCACCTTGCTTCACAGCCTGCAGACCTGATCTGAGCTTTCTGTGAAGCCCTCTCCAGCACAAAAGAGCACCTGGCTCCCACAGCCTCCGGCTCCGTCTGCACTGCAGCCAGCCTGTCCTGTGCAATGGGGTTAATGCACACGCCTGCTCTCAGAGGTGACCCTGGGCCCGAGAGGCAGGTGTGCATGTCTCTCGGCTGTGGTCTGGGGTCGGAGCCCTGCCCTGCACAGTCGTAATGATTACGGCTGGCAGAGTAAGAAGAGGGAAACTCAGGGCCAAGTAACCACCAGCAGGCTGCCAAGGTGCCAAGGTCAGGGACACCAGGGGCTGCTCTACCAGCCAGGTTGGCACGCAACAGGTGCCATGCCGCTGCCACTCAGACTACCTGGCCGGAAGGAGCTGGGTGGGGGACAGCAAGGGCCAGGGAAACCAGATGGGAGGCTGATCCTTTGCCATTTGGTGTGTGGCTTCCTCCCCTGCGCTGATGACGCCTTTGTGAGACACAGATGTCAGAATTCCATCCCACTCCAATCAGGCGGCTCTGGGGACTCTGGGGATCGTAGTTCCAGACTAAGGAGTGGAGTGTGTTGTTTGACAGTGTGGTTTAACAGATGAGGGCTGCTCCGGGACAGGGGTGCCCTCTGTCCCCAGGTACTTCCTGTGGCCTGGAGCTATGGAAGAAGCTCTTGCTGGGGGACTCTGGGGGAGCCAGCTGAAGCTTCCGATTCTCCCCAGGATGCAGAAGAAAACCCTGGGAGTAGGAAAGGCGCTGTTGGGGACCAGCAAAGAGGCCTCCTAAGGACACCACGGTCACTTCTGATCTCTCTTCTCTCACTCTGATCCCCCCAGCCCTGGCTCTGCCTCTGCAAGGCCAGATGCCACTGCCTGTGCGACAGCTTCTCAGCGCTGCAGGGCCTCCTTGGCCTCCTTTGTCTGGGGTCCCTTTGTCTGGGGGCTCCCTCTGGCTCCCTCTCACAGTTCTCAGCGCCTCTCCCTTTCTCCCGCCTGCCTGTCCCCTCCCTCTCTGCGGGGGCTGAGAGGCTCGAGCGAGGGGAGCGGGCTGGGTTGCCATGGTCACATCGAAGCCTGCCGCAGCTGGCCCGGGCAGCTGCTCCTGGGCCCCGGCCCTGGACTCTCGGACAAAGCCAGGCAGCTTCGGCTCGAGAGCAGGAACCCCAAAGGCTTGAGACTGAAGTGACTGCGACCCAGGAAAAGGCTGAGCTGCAGGTGAGTGGGAAAAGGCAGAGAGCCTCCTTCCTGGGAGGGACCAGGTGGCCAGCTAGAAGACAGGGACCAGGCGGCCAGCTAGAGGACAGCGAGACAGCGGCAAGGTGGCAGGAGGAGGGGACCAGGGGGCCCCCAGGAAGCTGGGGGCTGGGATGGCCCAAAGCGGTCCCCGCTGTGACCTACAGGGCAGGACAAGGTGGACCCCCCTTGGGCCACATGGCCCCACATCCATTGTCCTCCCACAGCACCCGCCTCTGCCCAGCCCAGTGTGCCTCCTACCCTGCCCTCGTCAGCTCCACCCAGTCTCTTCTTTCCCGCTGCCCCTGACACCTTCTGCTTCCTTGCCCACTGGGCACCCGCTGGGCCTGGTCCAGGCTCTTCCTGAGGCCCTGGTCTGCGGCAGCCACAGACTTGTCCCCATTTGACCCTGGCATCCTTTCTTCCTCTGCCCCCAGGCTGCCCCCAGCTCAGCTCTGCCCACTGTTCCCGCAGAGCCCTATGTCCTCTCATGCCCAGACCTCAGTTTCCCCTTTGTCCTCAGTGGCCCTGAGGTAGGACTCATCCCTGAGGCCACTTCCAACTCATGCCCTGCCCCCCACCAATGACTCTCCCCAGCTGCTGACCCGACCTGCCCCCCCCAGGCAGCTGCCTCACAGGGGAGGTGGCCTGCAGCCTGCAGCCCCTGTGTGTGCCTGTGTGAGTGTGTGCACGTGTGTCCCATCTGGTCCGCCCCTCGTGTCCTGCCCAGCTGCCCTGTGGTCGCCACTGCAGCTCTCCTCTCTCCTGCGAGCCTCTCCGCCCACTTTCTCAGCTATCTGCATCCTCTCCCTCCTGGCCCGCAGAGGCCCCTGGTCTGAAGGACAGGGCAGCCCTGGCAGGCACACCTGGGGGCAGCGGAGGGACTTGGGTTCCAGGAGGCCTGTTGCTCTTGGGATTGGCCACGGTGTGAGGACGTGAGCTCGAGGAGCCAGGGTGGCTGGGCAGGCTCCGCTGGCTCCTGGCGCCGGGCAGAGGGCCCCTAGGCGGCTGGGATTTCCCTCTCTGGCCCCTAAGCATCCCGGCTGCAGGCCCCACATTCCAGCCGGCTCCAGCCCCCTTTCGGATGTCACTTGACTCCATTGGGCCCCAGCCCTGCAGCTTTGTCCTTTCTAGCCCTGGGTAGGGGCAAGTGGGCATCACCGGCTGGGAATTCCTCCCAGAGATCGGTAGAGGGGTGCAGGTTTCCGGCTTCCTCCGCTGTCCCCTGTGGGCCCTTCTGCGCGGCTCGCCTCAGCGCGGGCCGGAGGGTGTAGTGTGTCCCGCCAGGGTGCCAGGTTGTCCTGGGCTGCGCCCCAGCCACTCCGCCAGGGGCCGGGCCGCCAGGTAAGACTCTGGAGTGCTGGCTCCGCCCCCAGCTGGCTCCGCCCGGCTGGGCTCCAGGGTCCCCGCTCCCTGTGGCTGTCTTGTCCGGAGGCGTAGGTGCCACGGGGCTGCGGGAGGCTGAGGGACCCCTTTCCGGGCCCGGAGCCGTCTCTAAGGGTCCCTCTGCGGCCACAGCGCCCTCAGGTTTGTGAACTGGCGCTCGCGGGCCCCCTGGCTTCTCCCGAGGGCCGGGCGCTTCCTGGTCGGGCTGCAGTGGCTTCGTTCAGTGGGGACTTGGGTGCGTTTCTTGGGGCTGCAGATGGGATTTGCCCGGTGCTGCATTTGCATTTGCTGGCGCCCTGGGCGGAGATGCGCGCAGCAGGGCAGGTGTAGGGGTGCGGGATTGCGGGGGCGTGGGGGTGCTGGGAAAGGCGGGGCGCGGGGCCCACTTGGGCCTCCAGGGCCTGAGGGTCCTCATGTCGTTTCCACCCAGCCTGGGGTCTCTCCCTCCCATCGTTTTCACTGTGCCTGGTTTTCGGGGTGCCGCTGTCCTCTTCCTGCGCCCCACCACCCGCCTCGCTCTGGCTGTATTGCTGGTCCCTCCCGGCAGCGATCCGCCCCGGTGGAGCCCGAAGGCGCGCACCTCGAGGTCCTGGGGGCCGGTCCAACCAGGTGACCGTTCCGGGCGTGTGGGAGCCCGCACCCTGCTCTGCGCAGCGCCGCCCGCGCCTCCGTCCGGGAGCCGAGCCCAGAGGGACGTGGGGAGGGCGCCGTCCCGCGTGGGCCGGCCGTGCCTGCGGCTGCACGGGTGGGGCTGTGGCCGTGGCCGTGACGGGCGGCGCGGGGGCGGGGCGGGGCGGTGCCTGGCCCTGCGCCCCGCCCGCCGCGTCCCCGGATCAGGCCCCCGACAGCTGCGCGGAGCCTCCTCGACTCGACCCCGCGGCGCCGAGCAGGGGAGGCCCCGGGCGGCCGGGCCGCGGGGCGCGAGGTAGGAGCCAGAGAGGCAGCGATCAGGAGGGCGGGCGCCAGGCGGGGCGCCCACGCGGAGCGAAGCGGGGCACAGGTGCGCCGAGCCAGGCCCGCGCCCCATCCCGGGGTCACCGCCTGGGGGCGCCGCACAGCCTGGGCCTTGCGGCCGGCGTCCCTTCTGGGGCTTGGTGTGTCGTGGGTCGCGCGGTGTGGGTGTGTCCACGCCTTATAGGTGTGTCCACGAGCGGCGCGAGACATGGGGCGCAGCGGGGGGGCGCTCGCTCTGTCCTCAGCCCCGCCCCCCACCTGTCCACCCGGCGATCGCCCGCGTGTTGAGGGTGGGCGCTGTGTTCAGATCGAGGGCCCGGGGCCTGCGTGAGGCCTGCCCTTCCCGCTCGCAGGCCAGTGCAGGTGGCAGCGCCCACGCCCCTCCCGGAAAGGCTTGAGCGGGGTCGGGGCCGCGGAGTGCGCACGCGCGGTGTCTGGGCCCCGTGTTTACAGCAGCGCGCCGGGCGGGCTGCGGGCCTGACCGCGTGTCTGCACTCAACCTGGGGGTACTGCGGGGTGTTGGGCCTGAGGCGGGGAGGGGTTGCGGCCGGCTTGTACTGAACTGTGCAGGCCCGGCTGGGGTTCGCGGAAGTGGGCTTCTGGGGCCAGGCCTCTCAGTGCTGGACCGCGGAGTCCCGACCCAGTGGAGAGAGCCTGGGCTGCCGGCGAGCTGGGAGCGGCTTCCCCACGCGGATCTGGGCGCCTCTGTTGGTCCCTTGGCTCCCCGCCTGTGTTTCTGAGGCTGCGCCGTTTACCTCTTGCTTTGTGTCTCTGCCCTATCCCCAGCCCTGTCCTCTGCCTGGCTTTGTGTCTCTGCCCTGGGCTTCTCGAAGTGCTGTCTGGCTCCGATGACTCATCTGGGATAGGCATGAAGGTTACTCAGGGGAACAAGGGCCCTGCTGTTCCTGAGAGGTGGGGGTGGAGTGGCACCCAGGAATCCCCAGCAGCTCTCCTGGGACAAGGCAGCCTGCCTGCCTGTTCCCTGGCTCAGGGCCCCGGACTCCCAGGAGATGGCACTGGAGCCTTTTGGTTTCCCCAGACCTTTAATGACCAAGGGCCCCCACAACTCAGTCATCCCCCTCAGCTGCTGCTTCTAGCCTATGGGGTCTCCTCCACCTCCTACGTTCCTGCCCTAGAGGATTGCCGGAGCAGCTGGAGGAGCACAAAGGGATGGGGAACTGCCCGCATTGCTCCTACCTGGTGTAACCTGGCTTCCCTGGTCTCCAAGCAACTCAGCCTTTCCCCTGCCCTGGGCTCTTGCTTCTGTGAAGGCAGCCACCGAGAGTGGACCTGGGGCAGATGGGAGTCGAAGCCAGAGTGGCGTGGGCCGAGAACTCGCTTTCGAGAACTCGATTTCTCTGTAGGCAGGCAGGGCACAGTAGGAGAGGCTGCCTGGGCCCCCAGAGAAACGCAACAGGGATTCTTAAACTGAATCTCCTGGCTGCGCAGGCCCGGGCATGCCTAAGGTTCTACATTTCTCCCAGGTTCCCCAAAGATCCTGAGGTCGCTGGTCCTGGCACGCAGTGGGCCGAGGCTACTGCAGCGGTTTTGGGATTGAGAGGTTCGGGGGTCACCGGCCTGCTGGTGCAGGCTTAGCTGACCTTTAATCCATCATCTGCTCAACAGGACCTTTCTAGGACCCCTGTAGTTTTTTTAAAAATGAAGATAGTTTTTATATCCTCGTGTGTGTCCTTACGTGAATGTATGTTGCCGTATTTACAGGTTTTAGTACACAGTGGCCGCACTGTTTCCCTTTCTGTTTGCTTTGCCTCTGCCGTGTTGCGTTCTATCTCGCACCCTCTCTGGATGTGCGGACTGACACGTGGGTAGACGGGCTTGCTGCTCTTCCTCTGCAGGAGTGGTGTTTTCTCCTGCCTCTGCCTTGCTTTCCACGCACAGTAGCTGCGCAGAAAAATCACACGGAGTTGAGTGGGAGCTGTGTGGCTCCTCTGTTCCGTTCGTGGCTGCGTGAAGCCCGTGACCCTGAACTTCTCTTTCTGGCCTCTCCCTCTGAGGATTCTCATGGCCTTGCGTGCTTGCTGAGCGTCCCCGTGGACATCCCTGCACAGCCGTCCCCTTCTTGCTCTCAGCGCGGGAGCTGGGGTCCGGGATGTGCACTTTTAGTGGCATCAGATGCTGCAGGGCAGCTTTCCAAACAGGAGGTGACACTCCAGGCCCACCATGGAGCCGGGGCTCAACTCCCCTGCAGATCCCAGCAGGTGGGCTGCCTGCCTGTAATCTTAGCTGTGAGAACACAAAGACAGGAGGACCTGCTGAGCCCAGGAGTTCAGGGCCTGCGAGGGCAACACAGGGACCGAGTGTCAGAATGTCTTTCTGTCAGTTGGATTGGTGTTTCCCAGACTCTAGTGAATTTTGCTGTTTAAAAATAAATGAAACCAGGTGTGGTGGTGTAGGCCTGGCATCCTAGTGCCGTAGGAGGCTGAGGCAGGAGGATTGCACATTCAGGCTCAGGCTGACAGCTTAGTGACTGAGCAAGCTGTTTCCTGTTTGAAAGTAAGAAAAGATAAAATCTGGAGGTGTAGCTCAGTCGGTATGAAAGCCCTGAGTTCTACCCTCAGTACCGTATTGCAAAACATAAACAGAAACAAAAAGCGCAAATGTTTGTTGACAGATGGGTCTCGCTCTTCTATGAAATGACTTCAGATTCTTTTGCTCTTTCTCTGCTGGGTTTTTCATATTGTTTTTCTCGTGAATTTGAAAGAGTCTGTGGTGTACAGCTTTTCTGTGGTTGTCCACTGGTTTGCAGATGTGGTGTTTGCTGCAGCTGCTGTCTGTGGGGACTTTGCCCTTTGTTGGTTGGGGAAGAGGCTCTAGGTGCTCATGACCTCTGCTGTGGTTCCGGTTCCCGAATGGGTTAAACGTGGGTTGTGACAGAATCTACTGTTCAAGGGCTGCACCCAGTGGCTGGTACTGAACGCAGAGCCGGGGCTGCGAACAGTGACAGCTCTTGTCACCCTGATCCTCAGACAGCCGTCCTGCCTGCGCTGCCCTCTGATAGCTCCTGCCCGCTGCGTGCACTGTGGAGATGCCATCCCCACCCCCGTAGGCCCGAGGCATCTGGAGCGATGGGGCCTAGGGGCCGCTCGCCTCTGCTGCTGCTGGTGCTGCTCTTGGTGGCAGATGGAGACGCTGACATGAAGGGACATTTTGACCCTGGTGAGCAGACAGCATCTTGAGTCCCTGCGGGAGGGTGTGGAGGGCAAAGAGTCAGGGCCTTGACCTGCCACCCGCCTGTGTCTGTCCAGCCAAGTGCCGCTATGCACTGGGCATGCAGGACAGGACCATCCCGGACAGCGACATCTCCGTGTCCAGCTCCTGGTCAGACTCCACGGCCGCCCGCCACAGCAGGTACCTGGGGTGGGAATCCCCGGCCTCCACCTGCCCTCTTGGCCTCTGCACGTACTCAGCGGTTCTGAGGGGGTCCTTGCCCTTGGAGCCCCTGCAACTTCACAGATCTCTCTCCTGCTCCCAGGCTGGAGAGCAGCGACGGGGATGGGGCATGGTGTCCCGCAGGGCCTGTGTTCCCCAAGGAGGAAGAGTACCTGCAGGTGGACCTGCGGCGCCTGCACCTGGTGGCCCTGGTGGGCACTCAGGGACGCCACGCTGGTGGCCTGGGCAAGGAGTTCTCCCGCAGCTACCGGCTGCGTTACTCCCGGGACGGCCACCGCTGGATGGACTGGAGGGACCGCTGGGGCCAGGAGGTGAGGCTGCCGGGGCAGCAGCGTCTGGGGGCGCCTCCTCAACACCCTTTAAACTGCACTGATGCTGCTGGCTCCCCACACCCCAGGCCTCCTTGGTTACCTGTGCCCTGTTGGTTCTCACCGACCACTGGGTGGGACTAGCGTCCCACTCCCAACCCCTTGCACTGGTGGCCTCAGCGTTTTTCTGCCTGGGCTTGAAGCCGCAGCTCTGGCCTGTGTGCAGTGGGCCTTCCAGCGTGAGTCAGACCTGGCATGCCGCTCCCAGCCCTCTGGGCACGCCACTCGGCCAGCGCCTTGGCAGTACAGAGTGCTTGGCCGGGCCGGACTGGCCGTGGCTCCTGCTTCTTGCTCCCTTCTTGGCCCAGCAGCTTTTCCTGATTTTCCTGGAACAAGCCGGCTCATTCCCCAGGGTCAGGACATTGCACTGGCTGCTCTCTGTGCCTGGCAGGCTCCTCCCAAGGCAGTGCCTCGCTCCATGCAGTCCTCTGAGATGTCACCTCGGAGCCTTTGCTGTTCCCACACGCTGCCCTTGTTCCCCGCAGCTGCTTCTCCTCTCGGGGTCTCCGTGTTGGGAGGGAGGGGCTCGTGCCCATGCTGAGAACGTGCCTGGCACAGAGCGGGCACTCAGCCAGCTTCTACTGAATGCACAGAGGGAATGGGGTGAAGAGGCAGGGAGCCCAAGTGAGGAGCAGGGTCCAGGGGACAGGCTGGGTCCGGGGCAGTGGCGTGACTACTCGGAGATGAAGGGAGAGTGAGGCAAGAGAGCAGGGAGGCGGAGCAGCTTGTGAGGAGCCAGGGCCTCTGGCAGACCTGGGCTCATAGCTGCACCCTGTTCCCCGTGTCCGCCTTCCAAAGGCCTCGGTGGCCACTGCTGCTGGGAGCTTGCCTCCAGCGCAGCCCTTGCCTCACACACTCCCTTCCCCGGCCCCCAGGTGATCTCGGGTAACCAGGACCCCAGGGGTGTGGTGCTGAAGGACCTGGGGCCCCCCATGGTAGCAAGACTGGTTCGCTTCTACCCCCGGGCAGACCGGATCATGAGCGTTTGTCTGCGGGTGGAGCTCTATGGCTGCCTGTGGAGGGGTGAGTTGGCAGCACCCCAAGATCTGCTCTGGGTGGGCAGTGAGGACGCCAGGAGAACCCCGTTCTGTCACTGGCTGCCTCGTGGTCAGGGTGGGGCGGGAGCTCGGGTCTCTGACGCTCCCCATCCCCGCAGATGGGCTCCTGTCCTACACGGCCCCTGTGGGGCAGACCATGCACGTACCTGAAGCCGTGCACCTCAACGATTCCACCTACGATGGGTTCACCGTGGGCGGGTAAGATGGAGCCCCAGGGCTGGGCTGGGAGGGAGGCTGGGCTGTACGGGTGCGGCGCGTCCTCAGGGCACTGGGCACAGGGGTCACTTAGGCGGGGCCTTCAGGGATAGGACAAGGGAAGAGGAAGAAGCAGGGTGACTGCTTGCCTGCCTGGCCGCAGGAGAGAATATCTGTGGGGCATTGCATAATTAACATAGCAGGTGGGAAGGTGCTGCCTTTCTGCAGGGCGTGACCTGCCGTGTCCTAAGATATCCTCAGGGTGCTGCAGGAAAGGGAAGAGTGCGGTGGCCGGGAGGGGCAGATAGACAGGAGCCACAGGGTGTGGAAATGTGTGCTGGGCACTGGGTGTCGCTCCCTTCTTCGCTTCCAACGACCTCCCCTGCCTGTCCCTCAGGCTGCAGTATGGTGGCCTGGGCCAGCTGGCTGACGGCGTGGTGGGGCTGGATGACTTCAGGCAGAGCCAGGAGCTGCGGGTCTGGCCCGGATACGACTACGTGGGGTGGAGTAACCGCAGCTTCCCCAGCGGCTTCGTGGAGATGGAGTTTGAGTTTGACCGGCTGAGAGCCTTCCAGGCCATGCAGGTGGGAGAGCCGGGCTCTGAGGCAGGGTGGGCGACACGATGGCGTCCTGGGGCTTTCCATCCCTGACTCTGTCCCTCCTCTTCCCCCAGGTCCATTGCAACAACATGCATACGCTGGGGGCCCGCCTGCCGCGCGGGGTGCAGTGTCAGTTCAAGCGGGGCCCTGCCACGGCCTGGGAGGGGGAGCCCGTGCGCCATGCTCTGGGGGGAAGCCTGGGGGACCCCAGAGCCCGGGTTATTTCTGTACCCCTGGTTGGCCGTGTGGGTCGATTTCTGCAGTGCCGCTTCCTCTTCGCCGGGCCCTGGCTGCTCTTCAGCGAAATCTCCTTCATCTCTGGTGAGCCCCAGAGCACGTTGGGCCCTGCCCGGGGATGGCTGGCTGGACTGGCCGCCCTGGGGTGACTCTAGAATTCCCATTACTGGTATTGCGTTGTCCACGAGACTGCTCAGCTGGGGAAGGACAGTTGGGGCCCCTGCTCCCCGTGTCCCCGTCTTTCCATATGAGCCGGGCACTCATGTCTGACTGAATCTGGGTGACAAGTGTGGGTCCTTAGGTCACAGAGATGCCTCTGGGCAGCTGGGAACCACCCTCTGCTCTCAGCCATTCATTCTAGTGTTGTTTTAGGGGGAGCCTCTGGTTCCCTGGTCCAGCACCTGGTTTCTCAGGGCTGACCCTCGCCACAGCAGGGGACCCCAGGGCCCTGGCCAGTGCCCTGCTTGCCCCCCATCCTGTCCCCTCCTGACTCTCTTCTTCCTCTCCCAGACGTGGTGAATGACTCCTCCCCGGCTGTGGGGGGCACCTTTCCGCCAGCCCCCTGGGGACCGCCCGGCCCTCCTCCCACCAACCTCAGCAGCTTGGGTGAGCCACCGGTGGCCTCCTTTGGGCCCGGAACCCTGCATGCTATTCCCCCAGGGCTCCTCCTCGGGGAGGGGTGCCGCCCCAGTGCTGACTTTTTTGCCTCTGCCAGAGCTAGAGCCCCGGGGCCAGCAGCCTGTGGCCAAGGCGGAGGGCAGCCCGACCGCCATCCTCATCGGCTGCCTGGTGGCCATCATCCTGCTGCTGCTGCTGATCATCGCGCTCATGCTGTGGCGGCTGCACTGGCGCCGGCTCCTCAGCAAGGTGGGCAGGACTGGTGGGGCTCAGCAGAGGGGAAGCTGGTCTCCAGCCCCCTGAGCCTGCAGGCCCCCTGCGGGGGGGGGGGAGCACCAGGGACAACTGCAGATACAGTCATGTTAGGATTCCTAAAATGTGTTACAGTGAAAGGCAGGGCTGTTCATTCCCCTCAGAATACTCCCCTTGCTTTGGACACTTTCACTGTATTGCTTACTACTGTCTTCCTTTTTTTTTTTTTTTTTTTGTCTTTTTTGAGACAAGTTTCACTGTGCAGTTCAGGATGGTCTTGAGGTCACTTTGTAGCCCAGGCTGGCCTCGAACTTGCAGTGATCCTCCCGCCTCAGCCTCCTGAGTGCTGGGATGACACATGTACCGCCATGTCCGGCTGCTTGCTGCCCTCCGGAGGAGGCTGCCTGTCTGCCAGGGTGGGTGAAGGACTGGTACCTGGGGCTGCCGAGCGCCATCTAGTGGAAAGGCAAGCTCATAAAACCGCTGGTTCACCAGATACAGTGCCTCCACTTTGGCTCTTTCTGAAGTCAAAATGTCCATGAAGAGAGGCTTTTCGAGCTGATTCAGGACATCTAGGAGCAGCTAGATGGCGGGAGGGGGCTCAGGTGAGGGGAGGGTGTGGGGAACCAAGGGCGCTGTGTCTTTACTGCAGTGCAGTTTTAAAGCTCACACTGCGTTTTCTGTCCGCACCGCACTCCAGCCGGGGCTCCCTTCTGGCCACCCTGCCCGCCTGCCGGTGGACAGTGCTCGTGGTGGTCAGCCTGGGGGGCAGGAACGGGCGGGGCGTGGAGGTGGAGCAAGGGGGGCAGACATGAGGTGTCCAGCTCCCTGCGTGTGTCCTCCTGTATCGACCAGTTTCAGGCTGGTAAACAGGCCGGCCCAGTTTGGGCCGGGACTCATCAGAATGTCACTGCCACGCCCTCAAGGTTCTGGTTCCTTCACTGTGACACAGAGTGGGCAGAACCACAGCCGCAGGAGCACAGGACTCACAGAGTCCGGTGGCGTGGCCACGCCTGACACTGCCCGTTCCCCACAAGGCTGAGCGCCGGGTCCTGGAGGAGGAGCTGACCGTTCACCTCTCTGTCCCCGGGGACACCATCCTCATCAACAACCGCCCTGGGCCCCGGGAGCCACCCCCGTACCAGGAGCCCCGGCCACGCGGGAACCCACCCCACTCTGCACCCTGCGTCCCCAACGGCTCTGGTAAGCCCCACCTGGCCCCGGTGCACCACCCTACCCACTTCCTCTGCCCCTCTCCCTCCGCTTTCCTAGTCTTTCCTTTCCCTTCTGTTCCCAGTTTCAACATGTTCCTTGTCACCCTCATCATGCCATGTTCCTGCCATGCCACTGTCCTGAAGGGTTTTCCATCTGTCACCGACATCCCCAGGGTCTCATTCATCCTGTCTCTCATGCCAGACGCACATTTCTCCACCTTCTCCACTGTCCACTCTTACAGTGTCTGTTCTTTCTATCCACTGGTATTCAGGTGGACAGCCACAGTCCACCTGCTATCTGTCCGTTCATGTGTCCATCAGCAATCACACATCCATTGTCCACTCACCCATCATCCATCGGTATTCACATATCCAATGTCTGTTCATCCATCCATTGATCTGCACACGTCCTTTGTCCACCCATCCATCCATTGGTCCTTATATATCCACTGTCCACCCATTCATTGGTATTCACACATCTGTTGTCCAGCCAGCCAGCCAGCCAGCCAGCTGTCGGTACTCGTACATGCGTGGTCCACCCACCATCTGTTTGTCCACTCGTCCACCACCCTGCTCCAGGTCCTCGTCCCAGGTGTCTCTGTCTCAGTGGGCCTCCCTGTCTGTCTAGCTCGAGTCTCATCCCTTCCCCGTGTCTCCCCCCTCCTTCTCCCGACAGCGCTGCTGCTCTCCAATCCGGCCTACCGCCTCCTTCTGGCCACTTACGCCCGTCCCCCTCGAGGCCCGGGCCCCCCCACACCCGCCTGGGCCAAACCCACCAACACCCAGGGTAAGCCCCTCTGCCCGGCCCAGCAGCCCCGAGCCACTGGGCTGGGAGAAGCCCTCAGTGTGCCCTCCTCTCTGCTGGCCGCTTCTGCTCTTCTGAGCTCTCTCAGGGCTCCCGGGCTCCCGAGCCTTTAGCTCACCTGTGCTGCTTCCTGCTCCTGCCAAGGCTCCCTTGTGAGCTGGTCCAGAAGGCTGCGGCTCAGCTCGAGCCTCCTCTCCGCCCCATCTCTGCAGCTCTCCAGAGCCAGAGAGGAGCCAGCCGGCCCTGGTAACGCCTCCTTCATCTCCGCTCTCTCTAGCACTGCGAGGAGGAGGAGGGCTTCACCCCGGGCGCGCGCCCTCTCCCCCTGTGTCCTCTCCACAGTCCCAGAGGTGAAGGCTCCCGCCCACCCCACCCGCCCTCCTGTCTGCTCCTCCCCTCCATGTCGCCTTCTTACTGTGCCCTTGCCCCAGGCCCGGCGGGCAGCTCTGCCCCTGTGTGTAGACTGAGTGTCGTGGGGGCTGTGAGGACGCCGCCCTCTTCCTCTGTGTCCTTGTCTCTGCCTGTCCTTGAACTTGGTGTGTCGGGCTGGGCCGCTGCCCGTGGCTGGGAGAGGCCAGACTGAAGGCCGTGGGGAAGAGGGACTGGAGGGTGTGGGAGAGCAGGCCAAGGGCCAGTGGGTGGCAGAGGCTGATGGCCAGTGCCCCTCTTCCCTGTGGGCCTGGCCAAGAAAGGCTCTGCAGCCAGCCGAGGTGCATCCTGGCTGCACTGGGATTGCTCAACCATTGCAGTGCCTGGAGCCCTTCTGTGGGACGCTGGCCTCCTCTCAGGCCGACGCCTTGCTGGCTGGAGTGGGGATTTGAGGGAAGACAGAATTTGAGGGCAGCCAGGAGCCACAGGAGGCTGGGTGTGGAGCCTCGGTCCTGAGCACAGGGCTTGACACCTCCATCTTCTCTCCCCTTGCCCTGCAGCCTGCAGCGGGGACTACATGGAGCCCGAGAAGCCAGGCACCCCGCTCCTGCCCCCGCCTCCCCACAACAGTGTCCCGCATTATGCCGAGGCTGACATTGTCACCCTGCAGGGCGTCACCGGGGGCAACACCTATGCCGTGCCTGCGCTGCCCCCAGGGGCAGCTGGGGACGGGCCCCCCAGAGTGGACTTCCCCCGATCACGGCTCCGTTTCAAGGAGAAGCTCGGCGAGGGCCAGTTTGGGGAGGTGAGGAGGGTTCCTATCCTGTGTCCCACAGCCAGGAGCCCTGTCTTCACCCCAGCACCCCCCAGCCCGTGACCTTCTGTGAATGGCCTTCCCCAGGTGCACCTGTGTGAGGTAGAGGACCCTCAAGACCTAGTCAGTCTTGACTTCCCCCTCAGCGTGCGCAAGGGGCAGTCTTTGCTGGTGGCTGTCAAGATCCTACGGCCAGATGCCACCAAGAACGCCAGGTGAGCTGGACGGGGCCCCTAGGAGGGAGGGAGGGTATGTGTGCTAGCCAGGGTGTCTGAGGTGCGTCAGCACAAGGGGAGGTGCAGCCTGCACCCCCACTTCTCCCTGCTCGCGCTCCAGGAATGACTTCCTGAAGGAGGTGAAGATCATGTCGCGCCTCAAGGACCCCAACATCATCCGGCTGCTGGGCGTGTGTGTGCAGGATGACCCGCTCTGCATGATCACAGACTACATGGAGAACGGTGACCTGAATCAGTTCCTCAGCGCCCACCAGCTGGAGGACAAGGCCGCCGAGGGGGCGCCGGGGGACGGGGAGGCCGCGCAGGGGCCCACTATCAGGTACACAGAGACCCTCTAGCTTGAGGGGAAGCACAGGGTGGGAAGTGGGCGGAGCCCCGGAAGAGACCAGGAGGAGACTGGTGACCGTGGAACCAGGGGGTGTGGGTGAGGGGTGACTCCCCAAGCCTAGCCTGGCGCTCAGTGGAGCCGAACCAAATGGGAGCTTCCTGTGGCTGGACGTCCACCTGAGGGGCTGAGCTCTGGCCCATGTGAATTGGGCAGAGTCGGGACCCAGTGGGTGACCTGTCACCGGCGCCCTCCTCAGCTACCCGATGCTGCTGCACGTGGCTGCCCAGATTGCCTCTGGCATGCGCTACCTTGCTACACTCAACTTCGTGCACCGAGACCTGGCCACGCGGAACTGCTTGGTAGGGGAGAATTTCACCATCAAGATTGCAGACTTTGGCATGAGCCGGAACCTGTATGCTGGGGACTACTACCGAGTACAGGGCCGGGCGGTGCTGCCCATCCGGTGGATGGCCTGGGAGTGCATCCTCATGGTGAGCGCCAGGAAGAGGCCACGTGGGGCAGCAAGGAGCAGGTGCTCCCCAGCCCCAGCCAGCAGTCTCCCCACCCCACCCTGCACCCCGCCCCAGGACTAGGGGCCAAGGGAGCAGGCCAGGTGCGATGAGAGTGGGGTGCGGTGTAGTCAGGCGGAGAGCTAAGAGAGCCCAGTGAGCTGATGTGGGTGCTGAGGGGAGGCCAGGGCGGGGATGCAGTGGCAGGCGGTGCAGGGTGTGCAAGGAGGGCGGAGGCCTTGGCGAGGCCCGCTGAGGAGGTGGACGGCTGCAAGGGCGGTGAGGGAGGCAGCTCCTCCGCAGCCTCGCTGTCTGAAGTCCTCCTCTGCCTCTGTTGCTTCTCCGTGTGCCAGGGCAAGTTCACGACAGCAAGTGACGTGTGGGCGTTCGGGGTGACCCTGTGGGAGGTGCTCATGCTCTGCAGGGCCCAGCCCTTTGGGCAGCTCACAGATGAGCAAGTCATCGAGAACGCCGGGGAATTCTTCCGGGACCAGGGCCGGCAGGTTAGTGCAGGGGAGGGGACCGGGCCCACTGGGGCAATGGCCAGGAGGCAGGGCATGTCCTCCTGGAGACTGAGGATGTCTGTTCCCGCTATCACCGCTGTGTGCAGGTGTACCTGGCCCGGCCACCCGCCTGCCCCCAGGGCCTGTATGAGCTGATGCTGCAGTGCTGGAGCCGGGAGCCTGAGCAGCGACCGCCCTTTGCCCAGCTGCACCGGTTCCTGGCTGAGGACGCGCTCAATACAGTGTGACTTGACAGCCAGCTGCCCCGCTGGGGAGCGACCTCGGGGAAGCCAGCGACACTACAGGAAGTGGGGTGCACCGTTCCCCATAGCCATCTGAGAGGCTGCAGGGTGGGCGACCACCGTGGACGGCAGCGCCCATCTTCTGGTTCTTCTGTCTGCTCCTCCTTAGAGCCCCCGCCACCCACCTAGCTGGCCCTGTGGATGGGATCCTCTCCGACGTCCACAGCGTCCCTCGGGTGGGGCAGGTGCACGGGAGACACTGGACGGGGCCCATTGGAGGCCGGGCCTCGCTGGATGACACTGGCCTTGGGGAGGTGGCTCTGCCCCAGTCCCCCTCTTCCTGTCATACACTGGACCCCGCTGGCTGGGAATTGGGGGAGAAGGACACGAAGGGACAGAAGAAGCTCCCTGGTGCTTTTCCCTGGAATTGGACACACTGGACCTGGGGGCCATCCTGCCCCTTCCTCCGACCCTCGGGATTCCCACTTTCCACCTGTCACGCTGTAGCTAGGACTTCCCAAAGCCTGTACACTTCCCTGGAGTAAATACTGGGATTAGGGGGAGAGAGGGAGCAAAGGCTTGTGGCCTGGGGCCGAACATCTCCATGTAGTTACCACATTGGTTTTTCTGTAATCACTTGGGGTTTGTACATTTTTGGGGGGAGAGACAGATTTTTACACTAATATATGGACCTAGCTTGAGGCAATTTTAATCCCCTGCAGTAGGCAGGTAATAATAAAGGTTGAGTTTTCCACTGGTGTGAGTGGGTCTTTTGGGGTTTTGGTCAGATCTGCCTCCTGCCCTTTGCTCGGGCCCCATCCTCTCTCTTCTCCTTTGCTGTCACTGCCACCTGCATCATCCCCACAGTGGTCCCCAGGATTGCACAAGTGTTCAGACTCGGGACCCAGCTCAGTGAGGCACCCGAGTGGGGCGGCTCTGAAGATGGCCTGGGGTGTGTGCTTGGGCCGTGAAGTTAGAGCTCTTTCCGCACCCTGCTGGCTCCCAGGGCCGGTCCCAGAGGCTGTCACTGGCTGCAGCTGCACGGTGGGCCTCCCTGAGAGAACCACAGTGATGGAGGTGACCCATTTGTGCCATTGGGCAGGCAGCCCCTTGCCCCTCGCCCCTCACTGGGCATTGGAAATAAGGCGGGCGGGGCTAGGAAGCCAACTTCAGTTCATTACAGTTTACAGAGCAGTGGGACCAGGGGCCCCTGCACGGCCCAGCACAGTGGTCAGCATCGCAGAGAGCCTAGGGCACCCGTGCCACACAGCTGTCTTGGGTGACAGCGCACACGGCCTGCATGCAGACAGAGAGGAGGGGTGGTGCTGAGCAATGACTCCCGGGACTCTCACTGTGTCAATGTGTGCAGCTTTCACTGCAGTGCCAGCGCTTGGCCGTAAATAAGTGGGTTTGGGGTTGCACTGTGGGCACTCATCTCTAAAAGGTTCACCATCACCACTTTAGATCTGCCTGGCTCCCCCTGGCCAGCTACTTTCAAAATGAAGCACATGGCTCTTTCAGGGTTATAGACACACAAAGCTTCTTACAAAGTCCAGTGTAGTGGGACAGAGCTGTAACTGCAATACCAGCACTCCAGAGGCTGTGGCAGGAGTGCTACCATGAGTTCAAGGCCAACCTGGACTACATAGTGAGACCTTGTCTCAAAAACACAAAAAGTTTCATGGGGCTGGGGATTTAGCTCAGCGGCATAAGCACCTACCTTGCAAGTGTGTGGTCGTGAGTTCGATCCCTGGTACCAATAAAAAAGAAAAAGACAAAAAACAATTTTAAAAAAAACCACAAAAAGTTTCTTACAATGATAGCGTTGGGCCATTAATACCATTTTGTAGTGTGCTTTTCTCTCCCTTTGACCGTCACAGGTAGCTCAGGTATGCACACAGGGACTTCCTAAAGACTGCCCAGTATTCTACATTGTTACAATCGCCCATATTTTACCTAAGGAATCCCCAGTGTTACACATCTGGGCTGTTAGCGTAACACAACCACAAAAACACTTCAGTGAACATTTTCACATAGCTATTTCTGTACCCCTGTGAGAGAATTCCAACATGATGCATTCTCAAAGGTAGGTTAAGGTAGCATCACCTTAAAATGGCTAGGCATAGGCTGGGTGTGGTAGAGCACTTCTGTAGTTCCAGCACTTGGGAGGCCAAGGCAGGAGGATCGCTGTGAGTTTGAGGCCAGCCTGGGCTACAACCTGAGTTCAAGGCCAGCCTGAACAGCATAGTGAAACTTTGTCACAAAAAGACAAAGATCATTAGGCATAGCAATTTTGTTAGGCATAGCAATCATGCATATATATATATATATATATATATATATATATATAGTATTTTTCCATATGTACATATTTGTGACAAAGTTGAATTAAAAATTAGGCAGAGTAAGAGATTAACAATGATAATTAGTAATGAAAAGAAGCAACTATAACAATATATGATAATAACTTTATATCTTTATTTACTTGGAGAATTTTCTATTTAATGTTTGTCTGTGGGTACAAAGAAAACTGCAAATGGGGTAGAGCTATAGTTTATTTCAAGTGTCGTCCCAAAAGGGTGTCAATAAGGGATGGCGATGTCATCCTCCAGCAAGTGCTGCATATGCTCTCTGCCGGCCACATAAAACTGCCGAGCTCTAACTTATTTCGCATATCCTTTATTGTTTAATTTCTGATTTTTTGTTTAACTTGTTTTTCTTTAGTTTCAAATGAAATTGACCGCTATTTCATCCCTTTAAGATATTTATATTTTTGGTGATTGCTTGTTATTTCTTTTGCCAATCTATTATGTTTCTTTTTCTTTCAGTGCTCTGTAAAAGTTGTTTGCATCTTGTCTTCATGAAACATTTCTTCCCAAGTTATGAGGTCTTACTAAGCTTACTTAGCAGATGCCATAACAAGGCCTTGGCAGTTTTGTACTGTGCTCAAATAATTTTAAAAGTTGAATGCCATTTTTTGTTGTTGTTGTTTTTGGTACTGAGAATTAAACTCAGGACCTTGCACTTGCCAGGGAGTTACAGAGCATGAGAAAGGCTTTTTTTTTTTTTTTTTTTTTTTTTTTTTTTGGTTTCTTTGAGACAGGGTCTCGCTGTGCCATTCATGCTGGCCTTAAGCTTGCTTTGTAGACCAGGCTGGTCTCAAACTACCAAGGATCCTCCTGCCTCAGCCTCCTGAGTGCTGGATGACAGTCTTGTGCCATGCTTACATTTTGGCCTCTGGCAGCCCTGCTGCCATGCCAACCTGGACACCTCTGTCTCGCCACAGTCACATTTCTTAGTCTCTCCTTCTCTGGGAGTGAGAACAACAGTTTGCCTTCGAGAATCTGAGGGAAGCGTGGAATCTGGGGGACCAGTGTAGCTCTGGCCTTGGCTTGCCTTTCCCTGAGAAATTCCCAGGTCGAATTAGAGCAGACATTTGCTTTCTTTTAAAAACTGTGATTGAGGTTCCCATCTGCATGGGGCCAGACCGCGGCGGCCGCAGAAGGGAAATCTGTCGGGTACTGACCGCCCTCGGGAGGCGCCCCGGGACGTCGATCCTTAACTCGTGCAAACACCCAGCGGTGTGCGTCGCCCGGATTTTACGGGGAAGAGCTGAGCTCCAGGAATCCAGTTTTGCCTTAAAGCCCTCGGGCACTTTCACTTTCTTGTCGGCCTGCTGCCTAAGCCGGTTTAACTTGCAGTTAGCTGTTAGGTCAGAGAGCACCGCGGAACCAAAATAGCCTGGCTTCTGGCGTCTAGGGCTCAATGAAAGAAAACTCAGCTCTCTGCGCCCGGCATCCTCGAGATGCCTTTCGGGAGTTGTAGTTAGACGCACCGCAGCCTGCTCCAAGGCTGGCTCCAAGAGGACTACAATTCCCAGTATGCCTCGCGGCGGGCGGGTGCAGCACAGCCGCGCATCCTCCCCTCTTTGGACTTCTTCCCTTCTCTCTGGTAAATTCTCCACTCGGGTCTCTTATTTGTGAAATACTTCATCGCTTTCCCATTTTTTTTTGTCGTATTTTTCACCATCTTTTATCTCCGGAGCCAGAGAGACACATTGGCTCCTACTGGACAGCTCGAGATCTGGGGTGCGCGATGGGTATCGACACCGAGTGGTGGGGAAACCCAGGAGGGCATGAGAGAGCGGGCGCTGGGCGAGGGGCAGAACGGGAGGAGAAGGCGGGCGGGCGGCGTGGGCCTCCGCGAGAGGATAGGGGAAGGAGGCTTGGCCGACGCGGCAGAGGCGTTTGGATCGGGAGGCATGGAGGGCAGAGGTAGGCTAGGAGGGAGAAGCTTGGAAGGAGCGGGCACTTGTAACCTGACCTTACCAGGAGGGGTGGGCGCAGGACTGGCTCGAGCAAGAGATGAGATCTTGGGACGGTCCTTGAAATACGAAATGACCTACAAATACATAATTCTGTCGCTTGGAAATCAAGAAAAAGCTGGAGTGGAGAGGGGAATTGAAATGAGGAAGTGGGAAGGGAGGGGAAGTTGGTGAGATTTGTGAGAAAGGAGAGGGGATGACTGGCTTGGCAGAGGAAATCCCGGAAAAGACAGGATTATTGTGGGGCTGATGGATGTGGGACAGACGGAGAAAGATTGGGGTTCCACTGCACAGATCTAACAGCAGCATCTCTCAGGTGATGGAGAGCACCCCTACAAGGGGTGGACTGAACCGAGTGCACCTGCAGTGCCGGAATCTGCAGGAATTCCTAGGGGGCCTGAGCCCTGGGGTCCTGGACCGGTTATATGGGCACCCCGCCACGTGTCTGGCTGTCTTCAGGTGAGGGGCATCTTTCCCAGCAGAGACTGGTGGGGAGTGTAAATTAGGGGCCTGTGTACCACTTCACTTATCACGGGTGGAAGCTTTGCAGCCTGGTCGGATCTTGTGGGGGGCAGCAGGAACGGGAAAGATGAGATGAGATGTAAGAGGTAGCTGAGGGTGGAGGTGCAGGTGTGGAGTAGCTGCTGATATTAATATTTGGCCTCTACCACCTGCAGGGAGCTCCCATCTCTGGCTAAGAATTGGGTGATGCGGATGCTATTTCTAGAGCAGCCTTTGCCTCAAGCTGCTGTAGCCCTGTGGGTGAAAAAGGAATTCAGCAAGTGAGTCCCTACTGATCCACATTTTCAACTGCTGGGTGTCCTAAAATGCTATTCCTTGGAATGCTTCAAGGAAATTTGTGTGTGTGTGTGGGGGGGGGGATTTCTTTTTTCCCCTGGTGGGTGGTGCTGGGGATGGAACACAAACACATGCTCTACCACTCAGCTACACCCAGCTCCTCCAGGAAATATTAATGGGTATGCCACAAAATTTAATTAAATATATTTGAGAAAGAATGTGAACTAAAAATGTTTAGGAAATGTACGTTTTCCTTCTTGGAGAGTTGCGATGTCTTATCCATAGCAAGGGTGACGCTAGGCGTTGCGGTAAAGGCATTTAAGAAGACACATTCTGACCCTGTGGGAGTGTTCCTAAGATTACCAGTTCAGAAAAGGCAGAAACAGTGGCCTCTGGGCTTGCTCGTTTTTGCCGCTCATCTCTTTGCTGCTGTTCTAGGGCTCAGGAGGAAAGTACAGGACTGCTGAGTGGGCTCCGGATCTGGCACACTCAATTGCTCCCTGGTGGTCTCCAGGGCCTCATCCTCAACCCCATTTTCCGCCAGAACCTCCGCATTGCTCTCCTGGGTGGGTATGTTGCTTCCTCTCTTCCTAAGCTCAGCTGGGGAACTGCTAAATAAACTGGAGTGGGAGCTCCTGAGGGGCTTCCCCAGAACCTTGGTCCCCACTTTGGAAGTACTGTCAGGAATAAGTAGGACCAGATGTGGCTTCAGGATGCAGTGTTTACTTACAGGGTGAGGGTGGGAAGGGCTGAGGAGTGGTGGGGAACAGACATACTTATCCAGGACCTGTCCTGGCCATAGGGGGAAGGCCTGGTCTGATGACACAAGTCAGTTGGGACCAGACAAGCATGCCCGAGATGTTCCCTCGCTTGACAAGTACGCTGAAGAGCGGTGGGAGGTGAGGATGTGGCCTATTTGTGTATCGGTTACACTGTTCCCCTGTGGTCCTTGGAAGCCTCCGTCTCTCTAAACTCTTCTGTTCTTAGGTGGTCTTGCACTTTATGGTGGGCTCCCCCAGTGCAGCTGTCAGTCAGGACTTGGCCCAGCTCCTCAGCCAGGCTGGACTCATGAGGAGGTGAGGAAGCCTGAGCCGCAGCAGCTCCCTGCTTCCCCACCCCTTGGATGTGGGGCTGGGGTATGGCTTAGCGGCAAAGTCTTCATCTAGCATGCACAACAGACTAGGTGTTTGGCGGCAATTTATGATGGGAGGGAATTGAAAAGGGAGCCAGAAATACTAGAAGAAGCATGAGAAGATAAGTAGGAATGGTGGACTTTCTCTGCTTATCTCCACTGTCATCCTCTGTCTCTAGTACTGAACCAGGGGAGCCCCCCTGCATTACCTCCGCTGGCTTCCAGTTCTTGTTGCTGGATACATCTGCCCAGCTCTGGTACTTTATGCTGCAGTACCTACAGACGGCCCAGGTGAGGCACCAGGCCCCTCGCAGGTGCATGCACCCTGCTCGGTTGCCTGCGTCTCCTGTAACCTCCTGTCTCTTCCTCGGTCTCCCTCTCCCCAGAGCCGTGGCATGGACTTGGTAGAGATCCTCTCCTTCCTCTTCCAGCTCAGCTTTTCCACGTTGGGCAAGGTGAGCAGGAGCTGGAGGGCAGGGGATGGGGAAGTCAAGTTGAGCAAGCCAGGAAGGGAAGGAGGGAATGGTTGTATGCGTGGGCCGGTGGGGGTGGGAGTGCTGGGTTAGACCCCAGTTGGCCTTCTCTTCCCTAGGACTACTCTGTGGAAGGTATGAGTGATTCTCTGCTGAACTTCCTGCAACATCTGCGTGAGTTTGGGCTCGTTTTCCAGAGGAAGGTATGAACACCAGGTGCCTGGCGTGGAGGGCAGTAGCGTGAAGCAGAGGCCAGGCCTGCGTACTTGAGTCCTGCAGGGGAGGACATGGAGGGTTTGGGTTCTCAGTGCTGGCAGGGATCTGCTGTCCCAGGCAGGACGATGTGGGGCACCTGAGAGAGGGTCTGTCTTTTCCGTTTCCAGAGGAAATCTCGGCGTTACTACCCCACCCGCCTGGCCATCAACCTTTCATCAGGTGTCTCTGGGGCTGGGGGCACTGTGCATCAGCCAGGCTTCATTGTTGTGGAAACCAACTACCGACTGTATGCTTACACAGGTAAGGGTGCATAGGGGCTCCCCCGGGGCAGCAGATGGGTGGGAGTGGGGAGGGAGGGAGGCAGGGGGAAGGCAGTTCGTGTTGATGTTTGCCCAGTGGCCCGGGGCACTCTTGACAGCTTTCCATGCGCCTGCAAGGTAGGGGGCTACCTTCTCATCCTGTCTTCCTGTGCCCACTCAGAGTCGGAGCTGCAGATCGCTCTCATTGCCCTCTTTTCTGAGATGCTCTATCGCTTCCCCAACATGGTGGTGGCACAGGTAACCCGGGAGAGCGTGCAGCAGGCCATCGCCAGTGGCATCACAGCCCAGCAGGTATGTCCACTTGGCAGGGGTGGGAACACAAGCACTACTTGGACTACAGGTTACAAAGTGGCCCCTTGTGGAAGGCTACACTCAGTCCGTCGTGGTTGTTGTGGTGAATCATTGGTGTATGAGCAGCAGGCACGTGAGGAAAAAGCAAAGCTTTAGGTATGGGAAGGATAGAGGAAATAGCCTGCCTCTTCAGGGAATCCACATGGAGGGTCGATATGTGCAGGAAGTGGGCACAGCTCTGTCTGTCTCTGCACTGAGGTCCCTCGCTGTGGAAAGAGTCTGGTTGCTCTGCCGCAGCTTCCTGGTGGTAAATGACAGATCCTATCTCACGGGTTCGTTGGTAGGATTCAGGGGGAGCTTAGAGGTAAAGCATTTAGCTCAGAGTATGTTAAGCACCAGTGCTCAAAAAGGGGCTGGTAGGAGGAGCAAGCGGGACCAGGACTGAACGGATGCCAGAGCTGTGGATATGAGTTTAAGCTGCGGTTCCACTGACCTCAGGGGGACAGCTCCGACGCTTTTCCTGCCTTCCCCCTGGAGGCCTCACTGTTTTCTTGTTCTCCTAGATAATCCATTTCCTGAGGACAAGGGCCCACCCAGTAATGCTCAAACAGGTATGGACAGGTGCCAGGGTGCCAGCCTCCGGTGCCCACGTCCCAGCCAGTGAGATAGTAGGAAAGAGAAAGATGCCTGCCTGCGTGGGCCTGGTTGTGTGGGGTGGTTCCCAGAGTCAGTGTAGCCACTCTTGCCTTGCAGACTCCTGTGCTGCCCCCCACCATCACTGACCAGATCCGGCTGTGGGAACTAGAACGCGACAGACTCCGCTTCACCGAGGGTGAGCGCTCCTGGGCCTGCTCCTGGGCAGGCCATTCGGGTCCTGATGAGCCAGCAGGGTTTGTGCATTCCATTTTGTTAACTCCTTGGAAGGGGACGGAAAAGCTGGTGGGACTTTTACTTAGGGTGAGGCAGGAGCACTGATAAACTGAGTGGTGCCCTTGGATTGGGCAAGGAGAGGGAGGAGTGGTGGTTTAGTCCCTTCCCGAGGTCCAGGCAGGGCGTCGAGCACCTGGGTGGAGTAGTGGGTCGCTGCAGCAGTGCCGTTCTGGGACCCGATCACAGCAGCGTCCAGGGAGCCCAAACAGACAGGCTGAGAAAATGAGATTGTCAGATCGCCTGCTTTGCTGACGGCCTGCCCTTGGCCCAACCCAGGCGTCCTGTACAACCAGTTCCTGTCGCAAGTGGACTTCGAGCTGCTGCTGGCGCACGCGCGGGAGCTGGGCGTGCTGGTGTTCGAGAACTCGGCCAAGCGGCTCATGGTGGTGACACCAGCGGGGCACAGCGATGTCAAGCGCTTCTGGAAGCGGCAGAAGCACAATTCCTGATCCAGTGGGATCGACCGGACCGGACCAAGCGGGCGGGGCCGGGTGGGGCGGCGAGCTGGCCGCGTGCGTGGCCTCACAACTCAGGTGTTTTTTATTTATACGGCAAGAATTTTTGTTTAATAAAGTTGTCAAAACAAGTTGCGCGGCCCAGGCGCCGCTCTCCTGTGTTCCACGCCGCGGCGGCCGCTGGGTGGCGACAGCGTCGCTACCGCGCATGCGCCCGCAGGCCACGCCCCCGCGCCGACGCTGGCCGCCTTCCGGGCTGCAGTGCGCGCCGGGCGCCCCGGGTTAGCAGCGGGGTCGTGGGGGCGGGCGCTGGGGCTGGCGGGGAGGCCGGGCCACGCGGGTTCAGGGCGGCCCCAGGAGGGCCCCTTGCTGCCTCTCCGTGCGTTCGTCGCGTCCCGTCCCGGTGTCGGGAACGGCGGCGCGGAGCGAAGCGCCTGGGCTCTGTGATTCAAGGGGCCCACCCCTGCCAACACCTTGCCCTTCAGCCCTCAAGGAGGAAGTGTGCAGGGTGATAGAATCAGACTCGTGCTGTCAGGAAGCAGGGAATAAGTGGGGCGGTTTGGGGTTGTGATGCCCTGCACGTCCTTGTGCTGCTAATGCGCTGTCTGTCTGGAACAGGTCTGACCCTTTCCCAAACACTCCTGATGCCTCATTTACCTCTGGCCGCTTTTCTTCGACGGCCACTTCGGGGGCCGAGGCCCTCGCGGAGCCTCCCCAGGCCTCAGCCCCTTTCTACACAGTCAGAGCCCCATGGGTCACCCGTCTCCCGGAGGAACCGAGAAGCCAAACAGAAGCGCCTGCGGGAGAAGCAGGCGGCGCTGCAGGCTGGAATAGCCCAGAAGAGCAAGGCTGGGGTGGGACAGCTCGCTTTGGGGTCTCTCAGACTGGGAGGGGGTAGAGAGCACTAGGCTGAGATCCGGGTGGCTGAGGTATCAAGGTAGCTCAAGGCTCCCCGTTTGTCCCTCTCCCGTAGTCACTCACAGAAGCCAGGAAGGCCTGGAGTCCTAAAGAGGTAGTATTGTATGAAATTCCTACGGAACCTGGTGAAAAGAAAGGTAACCGGGGAACCTGGAGGCTACATATTTTTATTGTCTATTTGGGTTGCTGGAATGCAGCCTGGAGTGAAAACCAATGTTTAGTGGAGCATTGCTTGTTTGCACAGACGTCTCCGGTCCCCTGCCTCCTGCCTACAGCCCCCGATATGTGGAAGCTGCTTGGTACCAGTGGTGGGTGCGAGAGGGCTTCTTCAAACCAGAATATCAGGTTAGTGGAGCCTGGCAGAGAGGGGTACTGCAGGGGCTCCGCAGAACTTGGAGTCAAGCCCACATTGCAGAGCCCATCTTCCTGTGGCCTCTGCGGAGGATTCTCTTGGTGGTCCACAGCCCCATGTTCCTGTTCCTTGCCCAGGATTCTTCCTTGAAGTTCTGTCTGTCTTGGAGGCACCAGAGGGTGCTGTTTCCCTATTCTCCCCGTGCCCTTCGACTTCCCTTGTTTTTTTTAGGCACAGCTGCCCCAGGCTACCAGCGAGACTTTTTCCATGTGTATACCACCTCCCAATGTCACAGGTTCCCTGCACCTCGGCCACGCACTCACCGTGGCCATCCAGGATGCCCTTGTGCGCTGGTAAGGGGCTTGGGGGCTGCTGCAGTTCTTAGCGGGCAGGTGGAAAGTATGGGCTTGGGTGAGGATAAACCTGTGAGCCCAGTGCTCATGGGCAGGTGTTTCTCTTGTAGGCACCGCATGCGTGGGGACCGAGTGCTGTGGGTCCCTGGCTCAGATCACGCTGGAATTGCTACACAAGTGGGTCTTTTCTCACATTTTCCTCTGGTTGGTTGAAAGTGTATTTTTTCCCAAAAGTGAACCGATTCACTGTTATTTGCCCCTGATCCTGCTGCAGGCTGTGGTGGAGAAACAGCTGTGGAGGGAGCGGGGTGTGAGGAGACACGAGCTGAGCCGGGAGGAGTTCCTCAGGGCTGTGTGGCAGTGGAAGGAGGCGTGAGTACATGGGCAGGGCAAGAGGCCACCAGGGACAGCTGCGGAGTCCTGGCCTCCCACTCCTTCGGCTCAGGTCTCCAAGTTTTTTTTTTTTTTTTCTTTTAGTTTTCTTTTTCTTTTTCTTTTTCTTTTTTTTTTTTTTTTTTTTTTTTTTTTTTTTTTTTTTTTTAGTAGTACACATTTGGAGCAGAGAACAGTTACTTCCTGTGTGGAGAGTTGGTGCATGTACATAACACTTTTTAATTCTTTTTAGCATCACCTTCCCCTTCTCTCTCTTTCTTGGTCCCTTCCCTTTTACAATCTATGTTTTTCTTATTAGCTTTTATTTTTCTTTTATGTATATGTTTTGTTGTTTTAGTCTCAATTGCAGTAATTTCTGCTCTGATCTTTGTTTGTTTATTTTGAGACAGGGCCTCACTATGCAGTTCAGGTTGGCCTTGAACTCATTATGTAGCCCATGCTGGCCTCAAATTCATAGTGATCCTCCTGCCTCAGCCTCCTAAGTGCTAGAGTTATAGGTGTGTACCACCATGCCTGACTGCTCTGATCTTTATAATTTCCTTCCCTGTACAAGCCCTGAATTTGGATTCTTTGGACTTTAAGGTGTGGTGCATCATTTGGTTATTTATTTGGGCTCACTGTTCTTTGGATGTTGGCATTCACAGCTGTAAATGACCTTTTTAGGACTACTTTTATGGGTTCTGGTATGTTGTACTGGCATTGTTGTTTAATTGTAGCAACTAATTTTGTCCTTGATTTCTTCTGTGACCCACTGATTAAGAATACAGTATTTAATTCCCATATGTCTGGTTTCTTTTGCTATCGATTTTTAAAAATTTCTCTGCACTGCACAAATTATCAAATGGGCATGGGATAATCTTGATTTTCTTATCCTATCTTAAGCCTGCTTTATGGTCTGGTATGCGGTCTATTTTGGAGAAAGTCCCATGTGCTGCTGAGAAGAATGTGTATATTTTATTGGGTGGAGCACTCTTAGATATCTGCTAAGTCCCTTTGTTCCAAGGTTTGGGTCAACCCTGATATTTCTTTGTTGGTTTTTTAAATCTAGTTGATCTGTTTCTGCCAGTGTGATGTTGAGGTCCCCCACTATATTTGTATTGTTTATCTCACCTTTTATGTTCTGTAATATTTGTTTCATGAAGTTGAGTGTGCCAGTGTTCAGTGACGTGTTTTAAATTGTTATCTGTTCCTGTTGGATTGTTTTTTTAACCAATATATAGTGACCTTTGCCACTTCTGATCAGTTTTGGCTTGAAGTTCACTTTGTCTGAAAAGGGGGGCCATTTCTGTTTGCTTTTGGGTTCCTGTTACATTAATTTTTAGTCTATGAATTTCTTTTTAGGTTAAATGTGTTTCTTGTGTACAGCATACTAGTACTTTTTTCTTGATCCATCCTGCCAATTGCATCTCTAATTGGGGAATTGAGACCATTCACCCTGAGAATTAGTACCGAACGGTCTTGACTTAACCCTTTGACGCGTTCTTTGCTGTTGCTGATTCCTCGCTCTCCCTTCTGCTTCCCTGCTCACCCTCCCTAGTGTATTCATTTTGTTACTCCCTTTGGACTTGTAACCTTCATGGTCTCTTTCTAGGATATTCTTGGGAATTCTTTGGTTTCTTAAGGTGCTGTTAGTCATAGAAAGACCTTGTCTCTATCAATTTTGAAAGATAATTTTGCAGGATGTCTCAGTGTGGGTTGGAAGTTGTTTTCTTTTAGAACTTGAAACACTTCACTCCAGCCTCTTCTGGCCTTTAAGATATTTCTTCAGAAGTCTGCTGTTGTTCTAAGGGTTTAATTTTCTAGCTAATTTGTCGGTTTTCTCCAGTGGCTTTTAAGGTCTGTCCTTGTGTTGGACTTCTGTGATTTTAAATGATGTGTTATGGATGGTTTCTTTTCTGATCATGGCTGTTTGGGATTTTATGTTGTCTAATTCTTTCCCTGTATTTGGAAAGTTTTCTGCTATTTCTATAAACAGGCTTTTTATGATGTGTCTTTTATGATGTGATCTTCTGATTTTTTTCACTAATTCCGGTTAATCTTAAATTAGTTTTCATTGTGTCACCTTGTAGCTGTTGGATCCAGTGTTCATGTTCTCTTATGGTTTTTAAAGTATCTCTGAGTAATTGATCACTGTAAGCATGTCAGCCTTGTCTCCTAGTTTTGCCACTCTGTCCTGACATTCCTCACTTTTGCTGTCCATACTTCGAATAGTATTTTTTTTTTTTTTTTTGTACTAGGGATTAAATTCATGACCTTGCACTTGCCGGGCAGATGCTTACACCGCTGAGCTAAATCCCTGTCCCTGAATAGAATTTTTTATCTCCTGGATTTCTGTTTCATACCTGTTCATTGACTGCTTTTTTGGTAAAAATCATTTTGTTTAGATCATCTAGCTTTTTAATGGGGTCTTCTGTAAACTTACTGATTTTTTTATATCTATTATCCATTTAGTTAATTGGAAAAATTAATCAATGGAAGATGAGACAAAGGAGATAAAATACAAAATGAGATAAAGTATACTCTTAAGGAATAAAAGAAAATTAATACAATTAGATAAAAGTGATAGTAAACAACAAACAAGAAAAAATAGGAAGTTAAGGGGGAAAGAAATATTAGAAGGAAAAGAAAAGGGAAAACCTAACCCCTCCAAAAATTAATGAAAAAGAAAAATATCCAGTTCCATAAAAGCAGTAGCTCTATATATTTGAACAAAGGTATTTTTTCCTAGGATATGCCGTCTTGAAATCCAGCCAGTCACATTTTCTCTGGCTAGCTTTTTGAGTTTGGGCTTGTGAGGTGCCTGTCCTGCCCACAGCCCCCCTGTCCACGTACTCCAGGCTGTAGCAGCTGTCCTTGCTGTGGACAGCTTGTGTCCGCACACATGTTGGTGGACAAGGAAAGCAGTCGGAGTGCAGTTCTGTGCTGTTCTCGTCGGGGCAGGGTTCAGGCAGACCCCTGCGCGTAATGCCAGCGTGTTTGGGTCCAGCCACCTCTGAAAGCCACATTGCCAGGCCTGCTTCTCACTGTGGAGAGGGTGGCCTTGTGCGGTCCTGGCCTGAGCTTGGACTTCTCAGGGCGTTTGCACCGTCTCTGTGCCCGTCTCTTGTGGCTGTCTCTCCGCTGGGCACTGCGGAAGGGTAACACTGGACACCCTGGAGTGAGGTTGTGTAGTGTTCTGTGGCTCAGGCCTGAACAGGAAGCCTTTCCTGATTCCACCCTCTCCGGCAGGACGGTATGCATGGGGTACCAGCATACCAGCTCTGGACTGCGGTAAAGAAGTCACTGTCGGGGTAAAACCCCATGCTGTCTCTGGAGTTGTGGGCTTTTCTTAGGGCCCGCCTGCCTGTTGGTTCTCCCTGGAGCTACAAGTCTCCTGGGGAGTTGTCCTCAGCCACAGTCAGGTCGGTAGGTCGGTTGGCTGACACGTGTGCCGTCCGGTGGTGAGGGGAAACAAGATGCAGAGTGGCTCAGGTTGGCAGGTGCAGGGTGCAGAATCCATGGTGAGGAGCTGGCTGGGTGTGGGATGGCTTCCATCCCTGTGTGCGTGCATGTGGGTGTGCATGCGCACGAGTGCACACACAGAGATACATATACTTAAGTGTGTAGGTACATACACATTTATTTCTGTTCTTTTCTCTCTTATTTTACCTGTCTCATTTTCCTTGCTTAGAGCTTATCACCTCACCCACCAAACCATTCCTTTCTTCCAAGTCTCGCAGAGTTACCCTCATCCTTCCAGGTCCGTTAGCACCTGCTGGCTTCTCTGTGCATCTTTCACAGAGTGTCCCCGAAGTGGTGGCCGCCCTCATGCTTCTTCTGATGTCATAGGAAGCCCCGACTGGGTCTTTCTGTCTGTCGCCAGCAGCTTCTAGAAGCTGGGCAGGGCCACACGCACTTCATTTTCCTCCAGCCTGCGGCACTGTGGGCCTCCCTGGGTCGGGACCGTGGAGGTGCCGGAGACGTGCTTGCTCACAGGAACCCTCTGGGTGCAGGAAAGGAGGTGAGATTTGTGAGCAGCTGCGTGCTCTGGGCTCCTCCCTGGACTGGGACCGAGAGTGTTTCACCATGGATGCCGTAAGTGTTCTGCGCCAGGGCCCTGGGTGATGGGCGTTACAGATCTGGCTGGGCAGAGATTGCTAGGTGTGTTGGGAAGGGGCAGTGGGAGTGATGGGGTCCTCCAGGGGCACAGTGTGGCTGAGGAGAGCTTTAGATGTGGACCTCAGGTGCTTCTAGGGCTCCTCAGAAGCCGTGACTGAAGCTTTTGTGCGGCTGTACAACTTGGGGTTGCTATACCGGAGCCGTCAGCTTGTCAACTGGTCGTGCGCTTTAAGATCAGCCATCTCGGACGTGGAGGTGAGGTGGAGGGAAGGGAGCTGGCACTGAAGCCCTGAGTAGGCTGCCCGAGGGTGAGAGCCCGGGCTCTAGAGCCAGGCTGGCTGGGTTCCCGTCCCTGCGCTGTCGCTACAGCTGCATGACTTTCCCAAGAAATGCTTAGTCTCTTTGACCTCTGCATCCTCAGCCTGTCCACCAGAATGACAGGATGCTACTGTGTGCAGGCTGGGAGGTGCAGTGAGACTCTGTCAGTGCTTGGCCTGGCACCTCGCCATGGCTTCAGCACTGAGTAAATGTTTGCGGTGATTGTGGCTGCGTACGCACTGCCAGAAGGGAACAGGAAGGCTCCTGAGCCCTCTGGACACCGAGCATTCAGGGTGTTTGGAGGGTGGTGTTGGCAGTGGTGCCCTATGCGAGTTCTGCAGAGCAGCAGCTCTGACCGTCTCCACGCCCCACAGGTGGAGAGCCGGGCCCTGTCTGGCCGCACGGAGCTCCAGCTGCCCGGCTGCTCCAGTCCTGTGCCTTTTGGGCTCCTCTTTTCTGTTGCCTTTCCAGTGGACGGAGAGCCTGGTGAGTGCAGTCCTCAGGTAGTCACTGCTCACCCCGTGCCCTGTGATTTCCAAGGCTGGCCAGTGCTGGGGCCGTGTCAGGCTCCCAAGGGGACCTTGGCAGTGTGTGCATCATGCACCCCCCCATCTGGGGATGTGGCCCTGCTCTTGAGGCTCAGTGAAATCCTGCAGCATCCCTGAGAAAGAGACAAAAATGCAAGCAGTTCTGCAGTGTGGTCTGTAGGCATCCAGGGTCCCGAGGGGAGAGGGGTGGACCTGTCCCAAAGGCCAGGGCAGCCCCCCAGTGTGCAGAGCGCACTCATGATGAGGACCCCGAGGACCCAGTCCTCGGCACTGGCAGGGCTGTTCCCTTCTCTGTGCAAGCTGCTGGGGTGCCCCCACCCTGATTTCCCGCCAGTGCAGTGCTGGCTGCTCTTGGCCCCTCCTGCCCTGATTGTCCCAGTTTCGGCCAGGTGGGGAGAAGTGAGAGCCAGGCATACGTTTGTTTTCAGATGAGGAGGTTGTGGTGGGAACCACGAGGCCGGAGACGCTCCCTGGAGATGTGGCTGTGGCGGTTCACCCTGCTGACTCCCGCTACGCAGTAATTAATGTGCAGCGCTTGCCTGGGCCCAGCTGCATCTTCCTTCTTTTTAAGTTTCTGGCTCCTGCTTTTTCTGAAACCCCCATCCAGCTCTGCAGTGGGCTTAGCTCTGTTCATGCACTCCCTGCCCAGCAGCCCTCTGTCCCTCTCTCCCATATCAGGGCCCTTGTGTGCAGGAGCTGAGCTCAGGTACTGTCCATGTGCCCTGGTTGTACGGAGACCAAATTTACCTGTGAGCCCCATGCCTGAGTGGTCTTCAGGTCTTTCACCCGAGGTCTTGCCTCCAGGGAAACGTCAGCCTACCATCCTCTTGCTCTGTACCTTCCGGCTCCCCCACACCGTGCTGGGGTCCCTGACTCCCTCTTCCCACAGCATCTGCACGGGCGGCAGCTGTGTCACCCCTTGACTGGGCAGCTTCTCCCCCTCATCACGGATGCTGCCGTTCAGCCACACGTGGGCACAGGTGAGTGGTCAGGGCCCTGGGAGGGCGAGGGGGGTGGAGAGGCTGCACACACTTAGGAAGATCGGGGCTGCTCACCCATTCGTACCTCCAGGGGCTGTGAAGGTGACACCAGCACACAGCCCTGCAGACGCCGAAATGGGGGTGCGACATGGCCTGCCCCCCATCAGTGTCATTGCTGAGGACGGGACCATGGCGTCGCCCTGCGGGGCCTGGTTGCAGGTGGGAGCAGCCTTGGGTCGCCCTCTCCCGGGCCCCCTGCCCCGCCCGCACCTTCCTGTCCTCTGAGGCCCACTGCTTCCCCTCGCTGCCTCCCCAGGGTGTCCAGCGCTTTGAGGCCCGGGAGAAGATCGTGTTGGCACTGAGGGATCGGGGCCTGTTCCGGGGCCTCCGGGAGCACCCCATGGTGCTGCCCATCTGCAGGTAGCCCCGTCTTAACTTGTTCACTGAGAGGGAGAGGCCGGCTCTGTGCTGTGCTTGGGGTACATGGCCATGGGCCTCAACTGGCTCCCTTTCAGCCGCTCTGGGGATGTGGTCGAGCACCTGCTGAAGAGCCAGTGGTTTGTCCGCTGCCGGGAGATGGGGGAGCGGGCTGCCCAGGTGAGGCCTCTGCGCTGAGAGAGATAGGCCTGGGGAGGACCAGGCACTCACATTGCTCCACTGCGGCCCTCAAGGGAGTGCTGTGGGCGGAGGTGGGTGGCTCCAAGTCCTCTCGGGGCACTTTTGAGACCCCTTGCCGCATACTGGGGGTGCAGGAGCACAGTCAGGAGAACTGGCTGCAGCCCCTATCCCTGTAGGCTGTGGCGTCGGGGGCCCTGGAGCTCCACCCTTCCTTCCACCAGAAGAGCTGGCAGCACTGGTTTGCCCACATCGGGTAAGGGCCAGGGCGCTGCCCGCGGAGTGAGGGGGTGCTGCCTGCAGAATAGGGAGTGTTTCGGGTGCTGAGCTGCACTCATGTCTCTCACCAGGGACTGGTGCGTCTCCCGGCAGTTGTGGTGGGGCCATCAGATTCCTGCCTACCTGGTCATTGGGGAGCACTCGAAGGTTGGTGGCAGGAAACTGGGAGTGTAGGCCTTGGAGAGCTGCAGGGCCCCGTCCAGCTCCTGCCTGGTGTCTCATTCACTAGCCTCGGCTGGTTGCCCACTGTGTGGCAAAGGCTCCTGGGCCCCAGGGCCTTCCCCACACTGCCGGGGGCTGGCCACTGAGACCACAGGAGAGCACAGAAACCAAGGCTGCCCTGCGACTGCTGCCGCAGCCCCTCCTCACTCCATCACCCCTCTACTCTGCAGGGCAGCGGGGAGGACTGCTGGGTGGTCGGGCGGTCGGAGGCCGAGGCCAGAGAGGCCGCAGCAGCACTCACTGGAAGGCCAGGGGCTGAACTGAGCCTCGAGAGGGGTGCGTGGGGAGCCGTCACTCAGGTGAAGGCTGTGGGGTCGGGAAGCCTAGGGGAGCGGGGTGCCCGTCTCTGGGGGGGGTGGCCAGGAGAGCGTGTCCCAATGCCGTCCTCGTCCTCAGACCCTGATGTCCTGGATACATGGTTCTCCTCGGCGCTCTTTCCCTTCTCTGCCCTGGGCTGGCCCCGAGAGGTGAGATGGTTCAGGGGTGGGGCACACAGGCTGTGGTGGTCAGCAGGCCCTCACTGCCTCCTCTCCCCCAGACCGCAGACCTCGCCCGTTTCTACCCGCTGTCACTCTTGGAAACAGGCAGCGACCTTCTGCTGTTCTGGGTAGGCCGCATGGTCATGCTGGGGAACCAGCTCACTGGCCAGCTCCCCTTCAGCAAGGTACCAGCCCTCCGGCAGCCCTCTTTTCCTGCTTACTTCCCGGAAGCCCTGGACCTCACAGAGGTGAGGTCCCAGCTCCCTCTCTGTGTTCCCAGGTGCTCTTGCATTCCATGGTTCGGGACGGGCAGGGCCGGAAGATGAGCAAGTCCCTGGGGAACGTGCTGGACCCGAGGGACATCACCCATGGGGTGGAGCTGCAGGTGAGGATGGGTGCCGCTGGGCAGGCATAGATGAGGGGTGGGCATGTAGCCCCGCTAGGCACGCCATGACCTTGGCTGGTGACTTCGTCACCCAACCCAGGAGCTGCAGGCGAAGTTGAGAGCTGGGAACCTGGACCCCACAGAGCTGGCCATTGCGACTGCAGCACAGGTGAGACTGCACCACCTGCTGGTCATCTGGCTCAGGCCTCTGATTTCCCCTGCACCCCAGGCTTCTGAGCCCACAGCTGGGTAGGCATCTGTCCCTCTATTCCCTCTCAATTACAGAAAAAGGACTTTCCTCATGGGATCCCTGAGTGTGGGACAGACGCCCTGAGGTTCACACTGTGCTCCCATGGGGTGCAGGGTAAGCCCTGAGAAGGCATGGGCTCCAGGCTTCTCCCTCCCCTCCCCTCTCCCCTTCTTCCTTTCTCTCCCCTCCTCTCTCCTCTCCTCTCCCTGCAGGGGGCGACCTGCACCTCTCTATCCCTGAGGTCTTGAGCTGCCGCCGGTTCTGCAACAAGATTTGGAATGCGCTGCGCTTCATCCTCAACGCACTAGGGGAGAACTTCGTACCCCAGCCCCCAGAGGAGGTGAGAGAGCCAGGGCAGGGCCCAGAGGCAGGCCCACGGGCAGAGCTGGCTGGGCCCTGACACCCCTCTGGCCACAGCTGTGCCCCTCTTCGCCCATGGACGCCTGGATCCTGAGCTGCCTGGCCCGGGCCACCGGCGAGTGCGAGCGGGGCTTCCTCACCCGGGAGCTCACGCTGGTCACCCACACCCTGCATCACTTCTGGCTCCACAACCTCTGTGATGTCTACCTGGTATGTGGCCGGAGGCTGGACATTTCTGTCCTGTTGCCTGGGGCTGCCACCTGCTCCGGAGTCGAGCCGGAGCTCTGCAGTTAGCGCCCCCAACTGCCCCTGTTAAGCAGACAGAGCCAGGGAGGTCCCCATCCCCTGTCCTAGGGGCTGGTGCCTTCTGTCCCCTGCCAGAGAGGGTGAGGCTCGAGGCAGAGGGCACTGCAGACGGGGTCCTCACGGGGTCAGAGTCGCCTGCTGACCATGTGGGGCCCAGGGTTTTGGGCGGCTCCTCCAGTGGGGCAGGTGTGGAGGGTGGTGGCTTTTTTGTCCCAGCAGTGCTGGTGCTGCTGGCTGACACCTGCTCACCAATTTTCCATTCTGTTGACATTTTTGTCCCTTGTGATCAGCAGAGCACTGATTCTGCCCCAAGCCGCGCATCTTCCTCATTCTCACCCCCACCGAGGCTCCCTGCGCCCAGGTCCCCATTCCTCATACTGTGGGACCCGTGTCTGGGACGGCAGGTGGCCTAGGCTGCAGGTGCTGCTGCCCTCTCCCCAGAACAGCCTGCCATGCCCCGTTGGGGATGGTTGCATCAGGGCTTTCCAGTCCTCCGTTTCCCCGCAGGAGTCCGTGAAGCCCGTGCTGTCCCGTGTGCCCCGCCCCCCAGAGCCCCCCCAGGTCCTGTTCTCTTGCGCAGACGTTGGGCTCCGCCTGCTCGCCCCACTGATGCCCTTCCTGGCTGAGGAGCTCTGGCAGAGGCTGCCCCGCAGGCCCGGGGCTCCCCCCGCCCCCAGCATCTGTGTTGCCCCCTACCCTGGTGCCTACAGCCTGGTGAGTCACAGGTGCAGGACCTGGGAGGAGGGCTTATTCCGCAGGGCCCCAGTCACTAGGCTTTGGGGCAGTGATGTGTAGCGGGCAGGAGCTGGCTCTGGCCAGACTGCTGTTCCCGGCCATATGACTGTGCCTCAGTTTCCCCCATCTTCGGGATGAGAACAATGATACCAAACATCATAGTGGCTGTGAAGGTTAGGCAAGTTTGTAACGAGGTGTCCTCAAAATCTCAGGGATTTTAATAACCTCATAAGAATAAATGATACAGAAGGCATGCAAAAATTACTTGAGAGTTTAGCAAGTTTCCTCGATACTTAGTTTTGTGAATTTGGAGTAGCGCTGAAATTCTAACTCAGCCTTAGTTCTTGGTGTCCTTTAGTCAGTCGCTGAGTAGGTGTCTCCTCGGGCCTCCCTAGCTGGCTCCCTGTGTGGCCATTTCCGGTGCTACCGAGGGCAGATCTGTTGTCCCGGGCCTGAGGCTGGACAGGCTGGGGCTGGGCCAGGAGCGCTGATGCGAATCCCAGATCCCAGCTTCAGGTTCCTCTTGGCAGGAGCACTGGCACCAGCCTGAGCTGGAGCGGCGCTTCTCCCGGGTCCAGGAGGCCGTGCAGACGCTGCGGGCTCTCCGGGACACCTACCAGCTCACCAAGGCCAGGCCTCGAGGTGAGGGGGCCTGGGAAACTGCAGGGGGAGAGACTGCTGGGGAGGGCAGGCTGGAGGAGGCTGGGCTGGTGCAGGAAGGCAGGTGAGGTGGTCCTGATGCCTAGGCCTGGTTCTCCCGCCCTCCCTTATCCCCAGCACTGCTGCAGAGCTCAGAGCCAGAGGAGCAGGGCCTCTTCCAGGCCTTCCTAGAGCCCCTGGGCACCCTGGGCCACTGTGGGACCGTGGGCCTCCTGCTCCCAGGAGCAGCGGCTCCCTCTGGTTGGGCCCAGGCCCCTGTCAGTGACAGCACTCGGGTCTACATGGAGATCCAGGTGACCAGGATGATGGGGGACTGGGGAGTGGGGTTGAGGGCAGGGGAGGCGGCCTCGGGTGGAGGCAGAACCAGCTTAGCTTTCCTGTGTTCCCAGGGCCTGGTAGACCCTGAGGCCCAGCTACCCCTGCTGGCTGCCCGAAGGCACAAGCTACAGAAGCAGCTCGATGGCCTCATAGCTCAGACTCCATCAGAAGGGGAGGCAGAGACACAGAGGCTGCAAAGGGTGAGTCCGGGAGGCCACACAGGACGGGGCGCAGCCTGGGGTATGGGCTGCGGGCTGAGCCCTGCTCCTCACCGCCCTGTGTCACCTCCGCACCAGCTCTCCTCCCTCCGCCTGGAGCTGTCGAAGCTGGAACAGGCGACCTCACACCTGCAGCAGCTGATGGATGGGTCTCCCGGCCCCGGGGGCCGCTGAACTCTGGCTCAGACCTGACTGCATGGACGGTGCTGTCTGCTGTGGGCTGCGAGAGGCCCAAAGACCTCAGGGTGTAGCCCGCCTTCCTGGTCCTGTGGGGAGGAGGCATGCAGGACTGACCGCCGTGAGGGGCCTGGAGATGGGCGTTACCTCCTGCCCGCATTCCTGTGCTCCCCTCCAGAGGTTTGGGAATGGGAGACTCAGATAAACTTAAGGTCCCACCATATGTCTGTGGTCCTCCACGCCACACTCGCCCGGTGGTGGCTTTCCTGCCTCTCCATGGTTCTGGGAGGGCCTGGTCTGAAGAGAGGAGGAGGAGAAGGGAGGAAGGCTGCCTCCTGGCTGCAGGCTCCCGTGCACAGCAGGGGCGGGGGGCGGGCGCACTCTGTCTACCCTCTTCCCAGGCCTGCGTGCCCTGGCTGTGCCCCTTTCTGCCCTGTCCCTGGAGACGCTGAGAAGGGGCTGCAGGCTACGTTAGGAATCGGGCATCTCTGAGCTACACGGGCCGCGTGGCCACTTCCCCTCGGCCCTCGTCTCATCTCAGGCTGATCTGTGTGTCTCCTGTCAGGCGGCTCTGGCTGGAACATGTTCTGTCCCCACTGGTGTGCAGAACCATGGTGCACGCGTGCCTGTCCTGCTGGGCAGTGCGGGCGTGTGACCTTCCCCTGCCAGCCTGACCTACTTCCCAGCATCGGGTGCAGTGTCTGCTCCAGTCTGTGCTGGGTCTGTGCGTTGTCTCGGAAGTGGACGTGGTGGGGGTCAGCAGGACCCTGCTGCTTTCCCTGGGCTCAGCAGGTGTTTCTTCAGCTCCCGCTCTATGCTGGGTCCTGTTTGGGGGATCCATTGGTGAAGGAGACAGAGTTCTCTGCCCTCCAGGTTTCAGCCCAGGGGAGCAGCAGAACAGGGCCGCGTGTTTTATGTGTATGTGTGTGGGGGGGGGGCAGGGTTACTATCGTGGGGGTCTGTTGAGAGCCTGGAAGGTGGTTGTGACCTGTGGAAGGTTCAGGAATTAGCCTTGCAGATGTCTGGGAGAAGAGTTCCCAGTACAGGGAACAACAGGGCACCCTGGGGCTGTGCGGGCTGACGCCTAAGCAGTGAGAGTGAAGCAACAGGACATGTGCGGCTCCTGGACACACTGGCCATGTTCCAGTGTTGACGGCCACACGTGGCCAGCACATTATAGGCCACTGCTGTGGTCACAGAAACTCCATTGGAAAATGGCCACACCTCATGGGCATTGCAAGAACTGGATTTCTCCTTGGAAGCGGGCACTCTACCCTTTGCAGGATTCTCCCCAGGCAGTGCCCACCTCCTGCCCACCTGTGTGAGCCTCATGCAAGGGAGGAGCAGGAGACAGGATACGACAAGCCCTGCCCCTGTCTAGGCTCGTGACACCCAGGAGGAGGAGCCATGGTCCCTAGCTCCTGCTGCCCCAGCTCCTGCCCTCCCTGCTGTCCCCACAAGGCCTGTCCAGGTCAGGGAAGCCCGGATACCATCTTTGGGTCACATCCTGAGCACTGGGGACCAGACTGAGAGTGGTTTGTTCTCTGCTTCTGCCGTCTTAGGGATTCAGATGTCCATCCCCTGACTTGTCTGGAGTACCTGTACCCTGGCCCCAGGAGGTCATTTGCTCATGGTGCCCACCAGGGCAGATCATGGACCTGGCTTTCTTTTTTTCCGATACCTGGGATTGAATTTGTGACCTTGCACTTGCCAGGCAGGCACTTATGCTGCTGAGCTAAATCCCCAGCAATGGATCTGGATTTCTGCCAGAGCCCTGAGCACCTCTGCAGGCTAAGTGTCCCAGGAGGGTTGGAGAGGAAGGTAGATTTCCATGTCTGCCCTCTTGGCCTTCTGTGCCCCTCTGCTTCGGGGATGGCTCTCACCTCCCCTGCTTCCCGAGTGGCTGGGGGCGGGCAGCCCGAGGTGGGCTCAGTGCTCCATGAAGGGAGCTGGGTGTGAGAGGTGCTCAGAGCTGAGGAGAAGCTTGGCAGCATCTTAAAGGTATGTGTCAGGATGGGACATCACATGCCTTCTACCCGCCTCACTGTGTGGCAGGCTCTGTGGCACCCGCAGCTTGGCCCAGGAGCCCCCCATGCAGGCCTGGGGCACAGGCGCGGGCAGGGTCTTCTCTGCAGCTGAGAACGGCATGGCTTGCAGGATGCGGGGCGGGAGGGAGTAAACCCGCCCTAGACTCACACCCGAGTGACCGTGTCCACACTGCCCACTCGCCTGGCCCAGGCAGGCTGCTCACACCTACGCCCCTGCTTGTCCCCAGCCCCCCGCCCTGCCCTCTGCCCTGCCTGCCCCTGTGGCCGTGGGCCAGGGCCTGCATGCTAGGGTGTCCCCCTGTCGGCGTCCCTGTGGGGTTCTGACTCCCTGGCCACCAGGCTTAGGTCGGGAGGGGTGAACTGGAAACCGTGTGCAGAGCAAGGCATGCACCTAGGGCCCGCCTCCATCACCTCTGTCAAGGTTGGAGCTCGGTCAGGATCCCAGTCAGGCTGTAGTCAGTGCCACTCGGGTGGCAGAGTGGGGCTGCAGGCTGGACAAGGCAGGGTTCACAACTCACTGACTTCACTCCGGGCTGCCTGAGGGCCTCGGGGAAGGCTGTTCCCACCTGCGTGCGTGCGTGCGTGGTGTTGAGACGCAGCGTCCCCTCCCCGACCACCGCTCAGTGCTGGGACAGCCAGGGGATTGGGCAGCTGGCTGGCCTTCCCTGCTGGCCCTGTGTGCGGACCCCTAATAGGGCCAGCCTCGGAGGTCAGCATGTTTATTGGTGCACAGGGACCTGGTAAGGATGGTCAGGGTGAGGTCACACGGGTTCAGCTGCCTCAGGCCTTGCAGGTGAGGTGGTGGCGGGGTCCCTGGTGATGGACGGTGACTCTGGCTCCTGATGGGAGGTGTAGGAGGAGGCAGAACTGGGGGCAGAGAGGTGGAGAGTGAGGCACGGAGGTCCCTCCCCAAGATGGTGAGGCCTGGATGACTCAGAGGGGCGACCCCACCCACCCGTCCTGAGAGCCACCTTTTGGAGCAGTTCTGGGAAGCTGGGGTGATGGGGGGCGCTGGCCTGCGGTGGCCCCTGCAGCTTTACTTGCAGAGTCAGGCTTGGCCCTGGGGATCCGAAAGTGTGGCTCAGGCCCTGGCAGGGACTGGGCGCCCGCTGCCTCCCCTGCCCCTTCCCTCACCGCGCAGGCCACGGAGCCCCCTTCTCGGCACTCACCTGTTCCTCTTGAGCTGGCCAGGAGGGCCAGGAGGAGAAGGAGGAGGGGCAATGGGCGCCCCATGGTGGACCCCCCAAGAGCTCTTTGGTGAGGGGATGACCCAGGTCCTCAGCACCGATGTTGGGAAAGGATTGGCAGCCGGACGGCCAGTTCTCCCCCAACAAGAGGCCCAGCCTGGGCTCCTGGGGAAAGTGGAGGCCCCAGGTCTACAGGCAGTGGGGAGAGGCCTGCCCCCCAGGGGAGGGAGGGCAAGCAGGACCAGGGCGGTGTCTCCTGCAGGTGCCCGCCTGACCCAGCCTGGTCTTCTTAGTGCCCCCGGGGGTTAATTATTAACTGCTTCACTTGCCATTGCTGCCACCAAAGAGCTGTGGAATGTGGGCCTGCAGGGAGGGCGGGTCAGGCCACACTTCCGCTCAGGCCCCAGCATCCTGCTGCCCAGTTCTAGCGGCTTTCTGAGTGAGGAGCCTGGCAGTGGGGAGCTCCAGCTCTGGGTGCTTCCTTTTAGTTGCTCTAAGGTGTCCTAGGTACTTAAAGACATCCCCCTCTTCCCCATCGAGGGCTGTCAGGCCCGCTGAAGGGCAGAGGGGGAAGGCAGGCATGCGGTGGGAGTGCGGGGCCCGGCTCACTGCGCGTTACACACCAGGAACCGCCAAGGGCATGCTGAGGTCATCCAGAGCGTTCAGAACCCAGCTGGTGTGGTGCTGGCCACGCAGGGTCACACTCCCAGACTGCTCACTGCAGGGCACGGGCCCTGCCTGCACCTGCGACAGGGACCCAGACACAGAGCCAGGAACAGAACAGAAGCTGAAAGCGAAGTGCAGGCAAGCGGGGAGAGCAGGGCGCTCTACAGCTCGTGGTGGCGCACCCAGGCTTGCTGGTGGCGCAGCAGGACCTTGGCGAAGGGAAATGGGCAGAAAGGACAGCAGAAGCAGGACCCACGAGACAGGGAGGGCACAGGAGCCGGGGGCCCAGTCTTCCCAAGGCAAGCATGGAGGGCCCCGCTCCTGGCTGGTTTCCCGTTCCTGGTGCACACAGCTGAGGTGGCCGCATGCTGGGCTCCTGACACACACTGCATGTTGGCCCTCACAGCAGCCCTCAGGGCATGTCGTAGAGCACCCCGCTTGCAGGTGGGATGTCAGATGTGGACCTCGAGGCTGGCTGAGAAGGGCCGCTGGGCCACGGCACCCTCAGCCCCGTGCTGAGCTTCAGGCCCATCTGCACTGCCTCTGAACATGACACGTGTCTTCCCTGGCCCCTCTCCTGGCCTCAGCCTTTCCCTGCCGAAGAACAGGAAGCCCCCAAAAACTGGCACTACCTGGATGAGCAGGCTGAGTCCAGCCTCCTGTTCTGCCCTGATGGTGCCTGGAGGTCAGGGTCTCCCAGGTTATTGGGACTGCCTGTGTCCTGGGGAGGCCTCAGACTCACTCCCCAGGCTGCCTAAGGTCAGGCCAGGACGGTCAGGTGATGTCGCCCTGCGGACGGTGATCTAGGGGGCTGACAGACACCAGGCCAGGCTGTTCCCACCACAGGCCCTCCAGATGAGATGAGAGCCGAGTGGGGGCCCAGGGCAGGGAAACTGCCAGCTTCCTGTGTCCAGCGGTCCAGCAGACCTCCCTGTGCGGAATCTCCCCTCTCTGGAGGGTCCTCAGGGGTCCTGGCTCCTCTGTTACCGGGAGCACTTCAGAGCCCCTCCACAGTGTGGGGTGCTGTTTCCTCCTGTGTCCCTCCCTGGAGAGCTCTTGGACTCCTCTTGGGGCTCGGGTGGGGCTCCTCGTGCTGAGTGGAACAGGATGCAGTGTCCTGGGGTTGGCAGGAGAGCCCTCCTCTCTGGTTTTCAGTGTTTGGCCTCTCTGGTGAGGTGGTTGGCGGGGGGCTTTTTTTTTTTTTTTTAACCTCCTTCAAGGTCATGAAAGTATTCTCTTTCTTCTGGAAGTTTTACCATTTTAGCTTTCAAATTTAAACCTATGATCTAGTCCAAATTAATTTTTGTGCTTGGAGTAAAGCAACAGTCAGGATTAATCATTTCCCTCTTCTGAAAATCCAGGTACTTCAAAAACCTTCCCTTCACGCCCCTCAGGCTGTGAGCAGTTGATTGAAAATCAGCCACACCGTGTGGGTCTCTGGGCTCTGTTCTGCCCTAGTTTTCTTGTGAGGCAGGCTCTCCAGGGTGGGTGTCCACTTCTAGTCCTCAGGCCTCAGCCCCACAAGGGCTGCCACAATAGACAGGCCTTTTCTTTTGAGTCGGCGGGCACCCCTGTGAGGAGAGCCCCCTGAGCACGCAGGCCCTTGCTCCTCACCACTGCCAGGCCCTGTGCTGTGCGTGACTCCTCGTGCTGTGCGCTGGACCTGCCGTCTCTGCTGCCACTGCTGAGCCACAAGCAGTGCGCTGTGCAGCGTGCGAGCCCAAGCGCGAGGATTTTGCCCTTAGAGTCTCGGGTCCACCGTCGGAATCCCGGTCCGCCCTCGGCCAAGCATGTGTCACAGGTTGCCTGTCTGTAAGACGTTGGCTGTGCCCAAGGTGCTGGGAGCAGGGCACACGCAGCTCCGCCACTCCATCACCTGTGCAGTCTGTCCCCGCGTCTCAGGGGCTTGGCCCTCAGGGTCCCTCTGCCCAGCCCAGCATCAGGTCTGCTCCCTGAAAGGTTTTCCTTTTCTCCTGGCAGAGACCTGCCTTCGTTCCCACTCTGTTCTCGGCTTCCCTCCCCTTCGGGCCTGGCTGGGGAGCTCTCTGCTCCCAACCCAGGTGCTCTGAGGGCTGAAAACGAAAGGAGGGAACAAAACAGGGACAATAGCTCGGGTCCCCTCAGTTGCAGCAACCGGATCCAGGGTGGGGAGGGGCTGGCCGGGGCTCAGAGGACAGGGGCCTCGGTGCTGAGGTCTCACTGGCTGGCAGCCCTGAAGGCTTGCGGGCCCCACTTCTTGAGTGTTGTCCCTCCCTCTGCTCCTCGCACACGGTCTGGGGAAGGGTCTGTCCCGGCCGGGCCACCCTCCCTCTGGTGGTGGCTGTCACAGCCTGGAGAATGCACTGGAAACCAAGCCTGTGAGCCCAGCCACTCGGAGGCCAAGGAGCCAGCCTGGGCAACGTGACAAGACCTGGCCTTGAACTAGGTGAACAGAGAGGACTGGGCAGGTCACCCAGGGCGTGTTGGGTTCAATTTCCAGCACAGGAGGGGGAAGTAAAAAGGAAGAAAGGAGAGAGGGAGACTGTGCCCTGCTGTGTGGGGCTGGAGGAGGTGACACTTGCTGTGCTTCAGCGAGGAGGAGGCGGGAGAAGGCGGCAGACATGAGGGTGAGGGGCGCAGAGAGGCCAGGCAGCGCCTAGAGGCAGCAAGTCGGCTCTGAGCTGTGCAACCCTGAGCCTCGAGCCCTGGCTCTGCCACTTCTGCTCCAGAGACTTTGTTCCAAACACGACTGTGAGCCCCACTGCCCACGTGCTGGGGGCCTGCTGGTCTCGGTTCATGGTGACCTGGTGACACGGGCTGCGATGGATGTGATCACCGCATCCTGGATGAAACACAAATGGTGGCCCCCACCTCAGAGGGCTGCGGGAGGGTTGGGGTGCTGTCTCTTTTTTTTTTTTTTTTTTTTTTTGTCTTTTTCCTTTTTATCAGTACTGAGGATCGAACTCACGACTGCCTGCTTGCAAGGCAGGCGCTTATGCTGCTGAGCTAAATCCCCAGCCCCTATGTGCTGTCTCTTCTTACCCAGAGCAAGATGCGTCTGAGCTGGGCAGCTGGGTTGCTGCAAGTCCTGGGAGAGTCGAGGGCCCGGCCTGTGGGTAACCCACCCTTCCCCCTGCCCAAGCACAAGCCCACACCCTGGGGGTGAGGCTGGGTGCCACTGTGGCTCTGGCCCCTGAGCTGTGCCGGAGGCTGCCACAATGCTTGGCACCAGACACAGGCCCAAGTGTCCTCTCTGTCTTCTTCAGAAGTGGCTCCTTTCCTCCCATCCCATTGCCTTGGTGGGCCCCTTCCTGCAGGTGGATTCCTGGTCCCCAAGGCAGATCCCTCTCTGTCTTCCGTGCAGGGGAGGGAGCCTGTTGGTGCTGAGTGTAGGAAAGTAGCCAGCATAAAAGGAGACGTGGAGAGGAAAATTGTGGCATTGTGGGTTCTTCTAGGTGTAGCTGTTTGGAGCCGGTGATTCTCCTGGCGGAGCTGGTCATGCCAACTCCCCGATGTGCACTCAGCTGTTATCATCGGAGGAGCTCTGGACCTTGTCACTGAGGATGGCTGCAGTTCACTTTGGGGGAGCTCTGTCCTTACGTGGAGCATCGCTTCCTGGCTCTGGAGGAGAAGATGTATGCTGTGCAATCCCCAGGGGAAGCTTGTCACGCTGGCTTCCTGATATGAACCCGGCTGTTCTCATTGTCAGAGGAGCTTGGGACCTCCTTGTTGCTGAGGACGACTGTGGTGCTTTTCAGGGGAGCCCTGGTTCTTTTTTTTTTTTTAATCAGTATCGGGTATCAAATTCACGACCACGTGCGTGCAAGGCAGGCGCTTATGCCGCTGAGCTAAATCCCCAGCCCAGGTTCCCATTTTGAGCAACACTTTTTGGCTTCTTTGTGGAACCCTCAGCCTAGCTCAGCTCCTTCACCCCAGTGACATAGACTTTCAAGCTTCCAGCGCAGATCCGTAAAACAGACTTACATGAGTCCTTGTTGTGGGTGCTAAGTCTCTAGTTGGACTTGTGGGAGGCATTGTCATGGGCTCTAGATCTTCAGCTGGACCCATGCAGGACATTGCTGTGGGATCTAGGCCCGTGGCTGGATTTTCTAGGTCTTTAGTGCTGTGGATAGATTTCCTGCACTTTCTTGTATTTAACTCTGGGTGACCATTATAAAATAATATCATAAATTCTGTGTCCTGTATGTAATTGTTCTCCTTGCAGCTCTGACTGCACAGGGCCGCTGCCCACCACAGAGTGGATGGCTGGGGTTCTGTCCGCTTGGCATCGAGCTCTCCCCTGCAGCTTTCTCAGCTCTGGCAGAGAGACCCAGATACTCATCCCTGGGAGCCTGTGCCACGTGTGGCGAGCTCTGCCCCTCGTCCACCACCCTCGAGAGGCTTCAGACAGAACCTTTGGCTGAGGGCACTTGGCCCCAGCCCTGCCCCAGTCCCCGAGACCCCCATTCTCTCTTCCAGCCCCATGCTACCCTCCTGAACCACTCTGGAGGAGCCATGGTCGAGATCCTTGCTCAGCAAAACGCACTCCTTTCCAGGCTTCCCTGCCACTGCATAGGGCAGGCATGTGGGCGCGTCTGGCCTCTGCCCGAGTCAGTGCCAGTGATGATGCCACACTCCCGAGCCGTGACTCATGCTGAGGTGCTGGCCCTCAGGACCGCCCCTCGGCCTTCACTTAGGATGACCCTGCTCTGCAGACGTCATCTCGGGCTGCTGCACCCAGGATGTTCTGCTCCATGCAGGCCAAGGATAAGGGGAGCGAGTGGGGGCTCATTTCCCCGCAGATATCCGTGCCCTTGGCCGCACTGACCCACTGTGCTGGCCGCTCCCACGTGGGCGCTGTTCCAAGCACTGTGTCGTCAAGCAGTGCCCTGCAGCCCGGTCCCAGCAGCAGCCTACCTCTCTGGCTGACTGAGTCACCCAGCATCCTCACTCAGAACCACAGCCCTGGTGGCTGGGGTCCCTGGTCAGAGGGAACAGGGGAACAGGGGAAAGGCTGACTCTGCTCCAAGTCCTTGTCCAGCTGCGAGAGGCAGCTGGCGGGCTGCCTGGCAGTGAGCAGCCGCTCTAGCCTGACCCCATGCAGCCTCCTTGATCTCCCTTTCTCGGAGTTGATGGGCAGCTGCCACCGCTGCTTGCCTAGCCCGGCCCCGCTGGGGCCAAGGGACTGCATGCCAGTATGATGAAAGGAACTGGGGTCCAGCCTGCAGAGCCCCGAGGTGTGGCCGCCCTCCTGCTGCCTCTGCTTGAGGCCCCTCTGGGAAGGGAGCTTTGGTGAGCCAGGTGCAGTCTCAGGTGCTGCATGGCAGTGGCCCGATGGCGGGTGGGTACCTGGATGTCTCCTCTCCATCATGGTACCAGAGCTGCAGCCCAACCAGAGAAAACAATGGCTGCTGTCTCCTTGAGGCCTGGGGTACGGGTGGGCGTCCTACCCTCCCTGCGCCAACCCCAGCCTCTGTCCATGGAGACCTGACTGTGTCCGAGGACTTGGGCCAGGGCAGGAAATGAAACAAGCAGAAGGGAGATGTGGGTGTTCCCAGCAAAGTGAGGTCTGCGGTTCCTTATTGGGGAGACAAATGGGGAGACTGAGCAGGAGCCCTGGTACAGGCCGTGCTCTCCACGGCACTCAGCTCTGTCCCCTTGCCTGGCTTCACTCCTGGGACATGAGTGGCCCAGGGGCCCTGGGCACGTCCCTCCTGCTCTTGTTACCGCCCGTGAGGCCCAGGGCTCCCCATGTCACCTCGCACCACGCCAGCACCTGTCTGAGTGCCATGGCCTGCGTGAGTGCGTCCTGCTCGCGCTCTCTCACCTGGTCCTGGCCACGGGCCCCACCCGGGTGGAGAGCCTGACCCTGTGTGAGTAGGGTGTGGAGACAGAACTGGCCCAAGCGGCCAGAACTGTGCTCCTTCCCACCCTCACCACCTCCCGCCAGAGCCCGGCCCTGCTGCAGGCCACAGCCCCTCCCTCGGGGCGGGGGCCAGAAACCTGCGCCTCCCCGTCCTCTCCCAGACCCACCCCTGCAGTGGCACCCAGGTCCTGGCTCTGTGACGCATCCACCATGGTCCCCGTTATCAGAGGGCCATTGGGGTGGGGCAGCTCCATTTGCTTAAGGCTTAGTCGTGAGGGCCCAGCCCCCATTACGTCAAACCTGGCCCATATAAGATGCGGGGTCCCCAGCCGTGGTCCGCATCAGCCACCCGGCCCGACATGGCTCAGCTGCCCCACAGCCTCTGTTCCGCGTTTGGCTTCCAGTGCTGCCTCGTCTTCCTTCTGGCTTCTTGGGCAGCAGGTAAGATGCCCTGAGGGGCAGAAGGGTTGCCATCTTGCCAGGATGGAGTCAGGGGGGCTTTTCCCTTGGATTTTTTGGGTTGGATGCCAGTGTCAGACACGAGTGAAGGGTAGCAGTGAGGGCTGCCTCGGGCAGTTGTCGAGGGTGTTCGCTGCTTGAGTTTGCCATCGAGGGGTCACTCAGGAGATGAAGGCCAGCCCCGGTGGTGATCCTTAGGATGTGGCTTGCTGGGCTGCCTCAGATTCGGGCACCTTCAGGTTTGCTTAGGGCACGGGTGGGTTGGTAACCCTAGGAGGCAGGGCAAGGCCCTGGCATAGGCTGAGTTATGGGTGCTCACGGTACTGCACCTGATCTCCCTCCTTTGTGCCCTGAGGTGGTCAGTGATACCCTGCCCTCCAGCTGAGGACACTCGGAGAAGTAAAGGGCTTGGCACAGGGGCTCACGGGGACACCACAGCCCGGCAACACCTGCTGCGTGGCTGGGAGCACGGGACAGGCTTCTGCCCAAGAGCCCCTCTCAGTGCGATCCTGGGTTCTGTCCTCTCTGCTGTTCATGGTCTGGACTCTAGGCTGCCTGCTGGCCAGCACCGTGGCCAGGGCCCCAGGTACTCAGAGGACCCCTGGCTGTGCACCGGGCACTGAACTGCACTAACTTCAAGGACCCGGGGTAGCTCTGCACGGGGTGCCCCCTCCCCATCCAGCAGGGCTTGGGACGCCCACCCTGGGATGAGATCCAGACCGTGAGCAAGGAGCCCCGCAGAGCCCATGCTGCCTTCTCACTCAGCTCAGAGGCAGATCTGGGGCTGGACCTGGGCAGAGATGTAGGACAGGGTAACCTGGGGGTCCAGTGATCTCGGGGTCTCTACAAGGACCTGTAAAGGGCTCAGCATCTCCACATCCACAAGGGCCAGCCAGGGGTGGCAGCTGGCAGGTGGGGCCGAGTGGTTTGGAGTCACTGTGGGCAGCGCCTTCTTCCAAAGTGTGGCGTAGGGAGATGGCAGAGACCTTGCCTAAGCTCGGTCTGGATCCAGTGGGGACAGGGTGGGACAGCGCTTCCCCGGCCTCCTGCGGCCCAGCGCCCCCAGCCACTTGGTCTCACCCTCCTTCTCTTCCCCTGGGGTTCCGGGCACCTCGGCCCCACTGCACACTGAGGAGGGGGATCGTGGAGGGCACAGGAGCTGCCCGAACGGTGGGGCAGAGGCAGGTCTGGGCTGGAGGGCAGGGTGAGGACAGCGTGCAGTGGGGAGGAGCCAAGAGGGGAAGGGAAGGGGGAGCCTGCAGAATCGAGACCTTCAGTGTAGTTTTGGGGGCCCACTGGCATTTGTCTCCAGCACCGCTCCATTAAGCTGCCAGTCCTGGCGCCCAGGGTTTGCAGCTCAGCCGCAGCCACAGATTCAGAAGCACAGGTGCAGAGCTGGGCAGAGGTGGGAACTGGCTGCTCCTGAGAGGGTTCGAGGGCCGTGCATTTTATTGAGGTTTCCATTACCAGATGGACGGAGCTCACTCTGGGAGCGGGTGTATCCACACCCGCTTCCCTCCTCCACACCCTCCTCTCCACAGCCCCTTCTCATCATGAAAGATCTGAGAATCCTGAAAGGACATTTTCGTACCACAGATGCTATTTAATCTCATTTCTTTGACAAGAGTAATGAATGTTCACCATGGAAACTGGAAAATAGAGAAGAGTCTTTCTGAATGCCCCGCTTGCCCCCGGGTGGTTGGTACATTTCCCTGCAGCCTTTGAGGTCAGCCTGTGATACACTGTGAGTTTAAGGGCAGCCCAAACTACACCGAGGGACCCTGTCTCAGGAAACAAAACAAAATAAAGCCCCACACAGTGAGTTCGTACTCACGGGCATTTTACCCAGTGTTGATCATCATCCTGTAAGGTACTGGGGAGTGAACCCAGGGCCTTTGCACTGAATTACACCCCCACTTTTCATGTCTTCTTTTTATTTTGAGACAGGGTCTTGCTAAGTTGCTAAAATACCTAGGCTATGCTTAAACTTATAATCCCTCCTGCCTCAGCCTCCCCGGAGTGCTGGGATTACAGACATGTGCCACTGTGCCCAGCTTGATTTCCCACCTTACTGCAAGTGGATTAAGCCACTTTATGGGGGGGGACCCAGAAACACCAGGAATGTTGTCTTGATGGGCTCCCTGACGGGGTCGCCAAGGTGCAAGCCACTTAGCAGATGATGTCTGCCTTTCAAACACACAAAGGGAGCCAGGGCAGAGGCCCGTGGAGTTGTACAGGTTTGATGATGTGAGATTTGTTTTCACTTTTAAATCCAGTTGGGCTAATTAGAGTGTCCCGTTAAGGCCACATTCTGCTTTTTGCTCCCCCTGCAAATACTTAAGTGGCCCCAATAGTTCTTTCCGGGTCTTTATCGCAGTAAGAGAAATGAAGCTCTCCTGACAACAGGCTCTTAGGGGGACAGAGCTGCACCAGGTGGATCCCCTGGGGAGAGAGAGGGTCTCTGGGCCCCTCACTGATTTAGCCTGGATTCTAAGCCCTGCCCACGAAATTCCCTGACTTCAGCTGCTGTCTCTGGCTCTGTGCTTCCGCAACTGCACCGCTCCTGAGTTCTGAGAGTTGATATCTGGGTCCAGCTCGTGAATGTGATTTTGGGGCTCCACAGCTGGCCCCCAGACCCAGCAGGACAGAACCCTTCTTCCAGACCATCGCGTGGCTTCCTCAGTCCCTTCACGAGGCCGCAGCTCAGGAAGCCACAGATTCCCTTGCACTGTGACTGTCAGCATGCGGCTGTCAGCGAGGCTTCCCCAGCGTTTCTGACAGCCTCGCATCCCTCCCTTGTGCAGTCAGTAAATGCCCCCGGGCCAGGTCCTGCTCTGGGTGATTTGTACTGGATACGCGGTGAAAATTCTTGCCGTGGCAGAAATCAAAGAGCCCTGAGGTAGTGAGGGCACGAGGGCAGAATGCATCGTGAGGGGTGCAGAGCCACTGACGACGGGCCGGGTCCAGTCCTGGCCCTGACGCTGCAAGAGAGACCAGCAGAAGTGCAGCCCTGGACCAGCTGCCTGCTGGCCACGCCCCTCGGCGGCCCCGCCTGTCCCTTGGCACGCTGAAGAGCACCTGGCAGGTTGTTAAACTGACTTTGTCAATTACTCCACCTCTTTTGTTTTTATCGTTGTTATCACTTTGTGAGACAGAGCCCTGCTCTAACTCCGGCTGTCCGTGAACTCACACGTAGCCCAGGCTGGTTTCAAACGCGTGGTGATGCTCCTGCCTCAGCCTTCCGAGTGCCGGGGTTACAATTACACACCACCACACTCTGCTACTATGCTTGTTTGAATTTCCTTGCCTTGCCTGAAAACTAGCGGTTCAGAACTCCTGCTGCGTGGGTGTGGGAAAAGGATGAAGCAAGCAGCGGCATCAACAGCACAGTGCAGGGCTTCTACGGCCACGTGCCTTTCCTCCCCCAGAGGCAGGACGGGTTGACGCGGGGCTAACTGTGGTCTGAGCCAGTGAGGCAGTGTGCCTGGGGCCCAGAGCACGAGTTCACATTTGGGCATCGCCTCCTGCTTGCTGGTCGCCCCTGAGGAGACCACTTAACCACTCTGACTCGTTTCCTCTCTCGTGAAGTTGGGAGAACAGTAGACACTTCTCAGCCACGATGGGCTCCTGTGAGAACTCAGTGAGCTGGTGTTTGTTCTCACCCAAGGCCCTGCCTGCCTCAGTGTCACTGCTCTGAAAGATTGGCTGTTTCTATTGCCGAGGGACTATGTACAGGTCATTTTCCTCCAAGAGACTCCAGTAAGGGGAAGTTGATAGTTTCTAAGGAGCCTTGTCTCTAGGGTGACAGTCACCCAAGAGGAGAATCCAGGAGAATATCTGTGAGGCAACCTACCAGGCACCTGGCAGTGTGTTAGCATTGCTACTGTAACAAAATGCCTGAGACAATCTACTTATAAAGAGGAAAGGTTGATTTCAGCTCATGCTTTTGGAAGGTAGAATCCATGAGAATTGGCACCACTGCTGTGGGCCCACGGAAGCCCATAATGCTGGTAGCCCATGGCAGAACAAAGCCATGGTCAGAAATAAACCAAATTTGGTGTCCCATTATCCCTTTCAACCTGGAGACATCCCACTAGTTTCCACCACTTGAAGGTTCCACCACTTTAAAACCCGAGCCCTCGGGGGACAGCCCAGATCTGCCGTGGCGCTTAGAGAGAGTGTCCAATAAGTGGCAGCTGTTAGTGGAAGGGGACAGAACCGGCAGAGTAGAGTGAAGGTCTGAGGATTTGGCCCTTCCCTGTCCCCCACGCTCTGCTCCCCTGAGGGACGGACGTGGCCTCTCTTTTGTCCTTGGCATCGTCTTGCCCCAGCCATATTTCTTTTGAGGCCTGTGTGCCCAGCCCTGCCCCTCCTTGCCAGCACAGAGGCGGGTGGGTCGTGGTTTCTCGTGACTGGGAACGGGTCCATTTTCTGGCTGCCACCTTGAGCTAACAGGAGCTGGAATGCCAGTTACATAACCCTGCAATCTCCCCACGTGTTGGCCGTCTCCTTCCTCTGGGCAGATATCAGCGCGTGGCCTGTGTGCCCTATCCAGTGTTTTCCCATGGAATTAAGGCCCGTATCTGTCTCTTAGTGGGGTGTTTCCCTCACACCCTGTCCTTAAACACAGGTAGCTCCTCCTAAGATCCCGCTGCCTCACTCAGGCCTGTCAGAACCTCCAAGGAGATACCTTTTCCTGTCGAGGGAGCCTCCTCCACCCGTCCCCAGAAGGCATTGGGTGTGAAGAACCTAGGGGAGAAACACACGGGTGGGGAGTCATCCTGTCTATTTCCCCTTCCTGACTAAATTTTACCACAAAAATGGAAGATGGCCGTCTCCCTCCCCACCATCCCCCATTTCTCTCCTCAGACTCCTCTCACAACTGCCGTCTACCTCATTTCTATAGAAAATTCTGCCAGAAGTCTTACCTCAGTCTCTCACACTATTACATTTGGGACGGAACTGGAATGCCACAGAACGATAGAGATTCTGGTATTTGTTCCGTTTCCTCTCAGCTCTGCCACGTCTTAAACCCTAAAGGAGCCCCTGCAGAGCAAAATGCCGGGCAATCCCTGCTCTCACAGCCTCACAATGTGATAGGCACGGGAGGAAGTTGATGTTGACAGGCACACGAACAACTGTAACAGTAAGGTGAAGGTACCAGGACAGAGTGATTAATAAAGGTATTTTTGAGCACCACGATGAAGCTACATCTTTTCTGCCTAGTGGAACCAGGGAAGATGCCAGAAGGACCTGAAATTGGGGGTTGAGGAGGAGGCATGGGAACAGAGGGAAGTAGATCTTTGCAGAAGGCGTGGTCTGAGAAAAAGTCTAGAAGCTGGAGGTAAAAATGGGGATTAGATGTTCTGGTATTCTGTGGCCACTGGCCAGGGAGGCGTATCTGGGAGAACCAAGGGACCACAGAGATGGAGGGGAGAGGGAAAGAACTTGGCCTGAAGATTCTTATTTGTCTCTCTCCCTGACCAGGTGCTCCATCTCAAGGACTTCAGAGAACTAGAGAATCTCCAACATCTCCTCACTTACCTGCCTTCACCCCAGGCCTTATCCACACTGCTCCCCCTGACCACACTGCCCTGCCTTCCAAACACAAGCCTTCAGATCCCCCCAAATCTACTGAAATCCAGAGATCGAAGCCCCGCTGTACCACCACACGCAGCCCCAGGCCCACTCCCAAGCCTACAGATAGTTCCAGAAGCACAGACAAGGAAAGCTCCGCAGCTCAGCACACAACGTCCCCCCCTTCTACACAGAACACCAGCAGCCACCAAAAGGAGTCAGTTATCCAGCAACAGCCCTCTAATCTGGACTTCACTAACAAACACAAAAGATCACCTACACAACAGCCCACCTCAGCACCCAAGAGGAAAACGACTTGTAAATCCATAACAAGGAAAACAGGAAAGACAACTACAACTGCCAGACCTGTGGAAAAGACGGCCACGAGTTTAAACAATACAACCATCACCTCACACAAGACTATGACTTGTAAATCCATAACAAGAAAGACAACTACAACTGCCAGACCTGTGGAAAAGACGGCCACGAGTTTAAATAATACAATCATCACCTCACACAAGACTACGATTGCTTCCCACAGCTCCATCAGTTCAGAGATCAATAGAAAGACCACATTTCCCCCAGAAAAAACCACACAAGCCACTGTGACATCAAAGAAAACTACAGAAAACCCAGAACAGTCAGATGGAACTGAAGGGAATAGGACTACAGTTGTCCCAGAGAACCCCCTCCCAAGGACTACAAAAGACATAACAGAGACAGCAGTCAGTGAGACCATGGGAGTCCACACAACATCGCTGGGACATGGAGGAAAGACTGTATCTGCCCACGAGCCCACAGGGGCCCACACCACAGCTGCACAACATGAAGGGGAGACCGTGTCAGCCCACGAGCCCACAGGGGCCCACACCACAGCTCCACAACATGAAGAGGAGACCGTGTCAGCCCACGAGCCCACAGGGGCCCACACCACAGCTTCACAACATGAAGGGGAGACCGTGTCAGCCCACGAGCCCACAGGGGCCCACACCACAGCTGCACAACATGAAGAGGAGACCGTGTCAGCCCACGAGCCCACAGGGGCCCACACCACAGCTTCACAACATGAAGAGGAGACCGTGTCAGCCCACGAGCCCACAGGGGCCCACACCACAGCTTCACAACATGAAGGAGAGACCGTGTCAGCCCACGAGCCCACAGGGGCCCACACCACAGCTCCACAACATGAAGAGGAGACCGTGTCAGCCCACGAGCCCACAGGGGCCCACACCACAGCTTCACAACATGAAGGAGAGACCGTGTCAGCCCACGAGCCCACAGGGGCCCACACCACAGCTGCACAACATGAAGAGGAGACCGTGTCAGCCCACGAGCCCACAGGGGCCCACACCACAGCTTCACAACATGAAGGGGAGACCGTGTCAGCCCACGAGCCCACAGGGGCCCACACCACAGCTGCACAACATGAAGAGGAGACCGTGTCAGCCCACGAGCCCACAGGGGCCCACACCACAGCTGCACAACATGAAGGGGAGACCGTGTCAGCCCACGAGCCCACAGGGGCCCACACCACAGCTCCACAACATGAAGGGGAGACCGTGTCTGCCCACGAGCCCACAAGGGCCCACACCACAGCTCCACAACATGAAGGGGAGACCGTGTCTGCCCACGAGTCCACAGGGGCCCACACCACAGCTCCACAACATGAAGGGGAGACCGTGTCTGCCCACGAGCCCACAAGGGCCCACACCACAGCTCCACAACATGAAGGGGAGACCGTGTCAGCCCACGAGCCCACAGGGGCCCACACCACAGCTTCACAACATGAAGAGGAGACCGTGTCAGCCCACGAGCCCACAGGGGCCCACACCACAGCTTCACAACATGAAGGAGAGACCGTGTCAGCCCACGAGCCCACAGGGGCCCACACCACAGCTGCACAACATGAAGAGGAGACCGTGTCAGCCCACGAGCCCACAGGGGCCCACACCACAGCTTCACAACATGAAGGAGAGACCGTGTCAGCCCACGAGCCCACAAGGGCCCACACCACAACTTCACAAAGTAAAGAAGAGACCGTGTCAGCCCACGAGCCCACAAGGGCCCACACCACAACTTCACAAAGTGAAGAAGAGACCGTGTCAGCCCATGAGCCCACAGGGGCCCACACCACAGCTGCACAACATGAAGGGGAGACCGTGTCAGCCCACGAGCCCACAGGGGCCCACACCACAACTTCACAAAGTGAAGAAGAGACCGTGTCAGCCCAGGAGCCCACAGGGGCCCACACCACAGCTGCACAACATGAAGAGGAGACCGTGTCAGCCCACGAGCCCACAGGGGCCCACACCACAGCTGCACAACATGAAGAGGAGACCGTGTCAGCCCACGGGCCCACAGGGGCTCACACCACAGCTCCACAACATAAAGGGGAGACCGTATCTGCCCACGAGCCCACAGGGGCCCACACCACAGCTGCACAACATGAAGAGGAGACTGTGTCAGCCCACGAGCCCACAAGGGCCCACACCACAACTTCACAAAGTGAAGAAGAGACCATGTCAGCCCACGAGCCCACAAGGGCCCACACCACAACTTCACAAAGTGAAGAAGAGACCGTGTCAGCCCACGGGCCCACAGGGGCTCACACCACAGCTCCACAACATGAAGGGGAGACCGTGTCTGCCCACGAGCCCACAAGGGCCCACACCACAGCTCCACAACATGAAGGGGAGACCGTGTCAGCCCACGAGCCCACAGGGGCCCACACCACAGCTGCACAACATGAAGGGGAGACCGTGTCAGCCCACGAGCCCACAGGGGCCCACACCACAGCTGCACAACATGAAGGGGAGACCGTGTCAGCCCACGAGCCCACAGGGGCCCACACCACAGCTTCACAACATGAAGGGGAGACCGTGTCAGCCCACGAGCCCACATGGGCCCACACCACAGCTGCACAACATGAAGCGGAGACCGTGTCAGCCCATGAGCCCACAGGGGCCCACACCACTGCTCCACAACATGAAGGGGAGACCGTGTCTGCCCACGAGCCCACAGAGGTCCACACCACAGCTCCACAACCTGAAGGGGAGACCGTGTCAGCCCACAAGCCCACAGGGGCACATACCACAGCTCCACAACGTGAAGAAGAGACCGTGTCTGCCCACGAGCCCACAGGGGCCCACACCACAGCACCAGAACATGGTGGAAAGACCACACTGACCCAGGAGACCACAGCAACCCAAACAACGCCTCCAGATCATGGAGAAAGGACTACATCAGGCCACAAGACAACACAAATCTTATCAAAGGCCACAGAACACCCAGAAGATGCCACATCAACCCCAGAGAAAACCACAATAGTTTCCAAAACTCCCATAGTATATCCAAAGACCACACTGACCACTGAGACCACAGAAATCCTCATCAAATCTACCAAAACCCCAGAAAAAACATCAGCAGCAATCACAGAGACAGCAAGGCACACAGCCAAGACCACAGGAGGCAAACAGATCTCTGTCACCTCTCCTTACTTAAAGGGAACCAAGGTCACCCATCAAGCTTCTGTTGGTCCTTTGACTATATCTGGAATGGACCGGAATCATACCACATCAGAAGCCCCAGGCAACCAGAGTCCTCCTCAGTACAATGACAGCGCCTCACAGTTGGGCACTCAGACTGGGGAGCCGGAGGGATCAGGCTCCTTCCCCGCCTGGGCCATAGTGATTGTGGTCCTGCTGGCCCTGATTCTCCTGTTGCTGTTCATTGGTCTGATCCTGGTAAGGGACGGAGACACGAACCCGTGACCAGGGAGCAGGGGTTGGAGGGAGGAAATTCTGTGTCTGGGAAGAGGTGGCGGAGGTGGGACTTGGGGTGACCATCAAGGGAAGAGACAGCGAACACAACAAAATGTGAAGGCTGGATTTGGGGAGAAGGCTGGGGCTGAGACCAGAGGGGTGAAAGAGAGAACATTGGAGGGCTGGAGCAAGAGTTGCGGGTGTGAGAGGGCCGAGGGGTGCCGAGGACAGCAGGAGGTTGGGGGGCTGGAGACAAGATCTGGGCCTACGAAACTGGGGCTGGGGCTGGACGAGGGGCAGAGCTTTGGACGGAGACTTGGGACAGAGGAGCTGAGACACAGTGGGGCGAGGAGAGCAGGCCACACAGCAGATGACGGTTCTCATCCCTCCCTCTCACCCCAACCTCAGGTCTTCTGCCTGACCCCACGGCGCCGTGCGCTGACCCACAGTCCCGAGGACAGCGGCCTCCAGGACGAGGAGGGCCCCAATTCCTACCCGGTCTACCTGATGGAGCAGCAGAATTTGGGCTGGGGACAGCTCCCTTCCCCACAGTGATCTTCCAGGAGGTGCCCAGCCCAGCCCTCCAGACTCAGCCTTCCCGGATGGGGCATTAGACCCGCAGTCCCCGTTCCTGGACATGGCAACATGGCGCGGTGTTAGCCCAGCGTCAGCCTGGCTCTTAGCTGAGGAACCAGTGGAAGATGAGAGATCACTGAGAAGGATGCGAGTTTCGGAGAAACAGAAGGAATAAAGAACACACACAAATGTGCACCCCAGTGAGAGAGAAGCCAATGCACGGCGGGCGGGCGGGTGAGGCCTCCAAGTGCAGGCTGAGCTGAGAAGTGGAGAGAATGCAGACAGGGCTCCCTGGCTCTGGGGCTTTTGTCTTCCAGAGCTTAAGACTTGTCTCTGGGTGCCCAGGATCCTCGCCTTTCCTTCTTTAATGAAACCAAGCCAAGCCCGGTCTAAGCAGGATCGAGGCAGAAAAGAGGATTCCCGGTGCGTCTGCTGTTCCCTGGAGGAAGGGGATCCCGGACGATCAGTACCCGTCCTCAGGGGTCCTCGCTCCCACGTCCCCAGCTCTCCGAGTGTCAGGCTGGGTTCCCTGCTGGCTCTGAGCAGCGACGTCTCCCCAGCCAGCCCTTGTGGTCCCAGGCCTCCCGATGACGGTGGCCCACACTCATGGTGCTGTTCCCGAAGCCAGGCCACGTGTCTTTTCCAGTCTTCCTGCTCCCCGTACCTTCGCCCCAGGCTCCAGGTCCCCACGTCCCCTCTGCCCGTGCTGTTCAGGTTTCCTAGGCGGCGCCCTGGCCCCTGTGACCCAACAAGTGGAGAGGAAAGGACTGAACATGTCCTTCTGTTGGATTTTTTAAAAATAAAGTGCATCTTATTTATAAAGCACGGGCTCAGGCGATGACTGCTTCTGGCTCTGGCCGGGGGCAGGAGGGCGGCAGGGGTGGGGGGACCCGCTGCACTTCTGTGTCCCCCTTCAGGCCGTACATGCTCGCCAGCTCTTCCGTGTGGTCATGGAAGGAGGGATGCGTTGTACAGTCCTAAGTGCCTCACAGCGCCTGTTGGAGTGCCCACTGAGGACACAGAGATGCATACGACATGGTTCCTGTCTGAGACGTGAACACGGGAGGATTAAAGTGAAGTAACCAGAACAGGCCCCACGGATGTCCTACCCTGAATAACGCATGCCTATCCCTGAACCCGGTATTTTTGGGGTGCTTCTGTAGCCAGGTCTGTGAGAGGACAGCCCCACCCTGCAGCTACCCACACTCATACAGTGGTCCCAGCAGACCCCTGCCAGCCACCCTCACAGCCTCAGGGTGCACTCTTAGGCTGGCACCGCCACAGACAAGCAGGGCCTGGTGCCACACAGCCCTTCCAGCCCCGACCCCAGTGTGAATCCAGGAGCAGAGCCGCTGGTCTTCTACCCTGGGCGTCCCCAGGTGTGGAAAGCAGGGCGCCTATCCCAGCCTGATGGCAGTATCTCTAGGTTCTCTGGCTCTGGCTGGCCTCCCTCGGGCCACGGTTTCTCTGTGTCTCCTGGGGACAGAGTCCATCTCCCAAAGGAGATGCCAAGGCACCAGTGTGACCCCACACGAGTAACCGGGGGGCCCACCACTGGGCACGGGAGGCCTCAGGGTCTTGGGTGAGCGCCAAGGAGCCTGAGAGGAGTGGAGGGCCTGGCCTGGCTTTGCTGTCTGGGCAGAGGGTGACCTAGCATGGTCACTGTGGGAGCTGCAGAGACCCTGGTCCTGGCCTTTAGCTGTTGATTTTCCTGATTCTAGACTTAATTTTTAAAATGAGAAACCAGCCAGCAACCAGCAATGAAAACCCAAAGGTGCCTCTGCCCCCTAGAGTCCTAAATCCTACTTCCCTGCAGGCACCAAGATGGAGCCCTAGGGACAGACGCAGGAGGCAGGGACCTCTTCCTACCCACGGGACGCCCCCTTTGCTGATTATCATGGGAAACCCAGGGGAGACCACTAACCAAGCCCTGGGCCCTCACTTGTTAGGGACAATTACTCATGAGGTGGAGAAGGAGCCTCTTTGCGCTCTGCCTCTGGTCCCCACCCAGCCCGGTGGTCACCACCCCAGCAGGGCCAGGAGGCCAGGGCTCAGTTTCAGGGTCCTTGCCTCCACCCGGAGGACAACCCGGATTTCCCTGCATCCAAGATTCCTGGCTCTTTTGAAACCACAACAGACCCCACGTCAGCATCCCCAAACCTGCACTGGACTCTCGGGTCCACTCCACCCGACTCAGGCTCCTCTGCACAGCCCTCAAAGCCTCGTCCCCATATAATCCTAGGTGGCGCCTTCTCCCAGGCAGACATCAGTGTTCTGAGAGAGACACCTGCCCAGGGTTGCTCGGTTGACCCCACGCAGGAGAGGGTGTTGTGACGCTCCTTCCAGAGCTGTTTAAGGGCTACATTTGCATCTGAGACACCCCGGAAGCACTTCAGGAAGATTTCTAATGCTTAAAGTAGCTGTCACCTGCCGGTCCACGGGCTGCAGTAGAGGAGTTGTGTTGGGCAGGGGGAACTTGACTGGGAGCCATGGGAATCCTTCAGCCAAGCCTTCCTCCAAATCTCGTGGGTGAGCAGGAGCCTTGCTCACGATGTGGAGAGCCTGGAGGGCAAACCTCTGTCCTCTAGGGTTTCTTAGCAGTAGGACAGAAAGCCTCCCTGATTCACTAAAAAAAAAGTATTCCCGTAACCCAGGCTTTGCATTAGATCTTCACGTGCCTCCCAGCCTAGTCCTACATGACTTTATGTTTTCTGAACACCATGAGGGTCTCAGAGTGATAAACAGGAGAGAAAGAAATAATTTGGTCTCCAGTCAAAGGGGTGTGTGCATGTACCTGTGCGTGCATATGCGTGCGTGTGTGTGTGTGTGTGTGTGTGTGTGTGTGTGTGTGTTCCCAGCCTGTAGTGCAGAGCACATGATAAAGCAGCATTGGAAAAATATCTTTCATCCAGGGCCTCGGTGGGTCTTTGAGGTCCCCAACAGGAAGCACACGTGTCCAGGCCGCACCCTGTCTGACTTTACCACATGAAAAGAAACTCACTTTTCTAGCACAGCTCAGAAATTTTAAAACATTTCACCACATACTAAGGGAGGGTAACAGAAAAATCCTTTGGGAGGACAGAGCCACTAGGAATATCAGCCCCCTGGGCTGTCTTGATGGCCCGGTTCTGATGCCAGGGCCAGAGCGTTCCCAGTGCGTTCCCAGCCCCAGAGCTCCCTGAGCTGGTGGGCTGCCAGCTTCCAGCTGCACGGTTTCCCTCTTCCTCCTCTTCCACCACTGCCAGCTGGGTCTGCACCAAAGCCTGTGAGCAGGAGGAAGCACTGTACTGCTGAGTGACCAGCAGCCTTTTGTTGTACTTGTCGGTTGGATCACCTTGAGTTCAAGGCCAGCCTGGGCTACACAGTGAGTTCAAGGCCAGCTAGGACTCCATAGGGAGACCCTGTCTCAAAAATTTTTTTTTATTTTGAGACTAAATTGTTCGGCTGGCCTCAAACTTGGGATCCTTCTGCCTCCTCCTCCTAAGTAGCTGGGATTGTAGGTGTGCACACCTCCCTGGCTTTTCTTCTAACTTTAAAAATTTTAGTTTCCCATTTTGGCTGTACATATTCCCATAAGAGGGCTTCAGACATTTTAGGATAAGCCAGACTGAATACACAATACATAACTGAAAATTTCACCCACTGGATGCAAGCAATTGACTTCAGATTCTTATTTCAGCCTCTCTGATCCCTCCTACTGGGGAGAAAAAATGCAGCTCCCCAGCTGTGATGGTCCTCTAAGTGATTAAGATGCAGATGGAACGACAGTAACCAGCATTTTACTGATTGTCTGCTAGGTGCCAGTCCAAGCCCAGAGCACTTCTTAGAAAGCTTACTGTGTAAATTAGGGGCGCCTAGGGGCCCAGCCTTGGCCTTGGTCTGGACCTGGACTCTGGGCTGGGCTCTGGAATATTCCATGGCCTGGGAAGAGCCCTGCTCTTGGAGGGGATGGAGGGGGACTTGGGAGCAGACCTTCAGGACACAGAAGGGCCATGAGTCAGGGGACAGCTGTGGAGGCTCTGGGAGCAGGGGTGCAGGAGAGGCCCAGGCAGTAGTGATGAACTGAATCAGAGAGAAAAAGTCATGGCTGGGAACTGTAAGCATCTGGGGGCATGTAAGCCTGGGAAAGGAAGCCATTGGGCGGGATGAGGTACTGGCCATCAGCCGGGTCAGGATGGGCTCCCCAAGGTCTCCAGTGAATGGCGTGGAGAAAAGACCACAGAGAGCTTGGCCACCAGGGCAGCCAGAAAAGCAGAGTGCATGGGAGGAGCCCTCCCCCCGTCCACAGGTCAGGAAGGAGAGCGGTGATCAGTGTCCTGAGCTGTCCTGGAGTTACTTTTCGATCACTTTCTTGTGCTTGAATCAAATCCCAACCACAACCTGAAGAAAGAGAGGTGTTCTTCAGTTCACAAAGGGTGGTGGGGGAGAAGCTGCTTATCCCAAGACAGCCAGAAGCAGAGATGGGAAGGGCACAGACTCCTCCGGGTTGTGCCCCAGTCCAACAGCCCAAGTGGTGCGGTGTGTGCATGTGTGGATGCACCATGGGGGACACACAGTGCAGTGTCCCCAGTGTGGCCCCTGGCAGGCACACGGAGCTTCGGGGGACATTAGAGAAATAAACCTCAACTCAGGAGGTGGCTAGTGATTGTTGTACCCCTAAAACAAGCCCTGTGATGTCGTCTGTTGTCAAGAAGGGGGCAAGACATCTTTTAAAAGGAAGCACTTTTATTTAAGCTGGTGCCAGCGGCACAGTGCAGATGGAGTTTGCAAAGCTGTGCAACTGGGTTAGAATTTTGATAGATTTTTATAGCAATTAAACCACTGACTTGACGAGAGCAAGAATGGGGGAGGCTTTTGTTTCCCTTTGCTTGGGGTCAGAGACAGTTCGCAGTTGGTGGTTAGCCTTTTTTTTTTCTCAGTCTGCTAATTTCAGGAACATTTGTTTCTCACAAAGCGAACAAAGGTTGACACAGCAAACAGGTTACTAAGGTGATGATGCATACAGAACAGTATGGCGATGTGTCAGTTAATTAATCTATAACTATGTGGTGAGTGTCCCAGGTATATGGTTACTAGGGTGATAAGCATAGCACAGAATGACAAAGCTCTTTGTGCTAAATACCAATCTTTTTAACTTTGCATTTTAGCCTTTTTTTTTTTTTTAGCACAACAGTGAGCAACTTCAGAATAAATTCAGTTTGCTGCTTTGTGTACAATCAGAGCCTATGCCCTGCAGGCTTTGGATTTCCACTTCTTGTTTCTTCAGGATGCATCGCAGTTGTAGAAGGAAGAGCGGTCCCGTTACAGCTTAAGGAAGCCCAGACTCTCGGTGTGGGTGGTGACGTGATCACACCTTGCTCATCTGTTGGGGCCTTCTCTCCCCCATGTTTCCCCATTTGTTAATGGATTCTTACTATGCACTAAGCATTGTACCAGGTGACTTTAAATACGCTGTCACTTGATAATCAAAACAGTTCTGTGGGAACTTCTACCTTTCTGGTGGATGTGAAAGCAATAAATATTTCTGGATAAAATACTAAAAATGCCTTATAATTATACACCATAGTCAGATAGATGCCAAGTAATATTTAGATCACCAACTGGGAGAAGGCAGAGCCTAGAGTGGAGAGGAGTGCTCCGGACCAGGGCGGAGGGAGCCTGTGACCTTGAGCTTACCTCCTCAGCGGGGTCTTAGTTCTTGGAGGACAGGGGACAAAGTCCAGAGCCTGCACCAGAGCGAGCCTGAGAGGAGGCCCTGAGCCAGCCTGAGACCTGAGAGTGACCGGGCTTCCATGTGTGGGTGAAGGTAAAGCCACACCACCCCACACTGGTGGGAGACTGAGAAAAATGTCTGCTGATGAGCCTGGCTCTGGGTGAAGGGTAAAATACACCTCTGTAGACGGCCCCCTAGGAATCGGTCGGTACGCGCACCCTTCATTTGGGTTTGTAGCCTGAAATCTTACAAACTGAATGGTTACGATTTGATCACAAAACTCCGTTAAACCTTAACCCCCAGAGCAACAGTGTTGGGGAGAGGATTAGCGGGTACCCCCCACCCCGGGCACCCGCACCCTGGGCACCCCACCCAGAACGTGGCCCTGAAGGGTCGTGGGAGCAGGTCTGCCTTCTGCTGTGGACAGCATGGATTCCCCCTTTCGAAGGTGGCCTTATTCAAGGCGCCATCTGGAAAGCAGAGACCAGGCCTCCCCAGACACCAAATCTGCCTGCTGCTTACACTGGATTCCCCCGCCTCCAGGACCCTGAGAAGGGCACCTCTGTTCTGTGTAGTGCCACAGTTCACGGGGTTCTGTTACAGCAGCACAAAACAGACTCCGAGGGGACAGCTCTGAAAACCATCCTGGGTCCTCTCAGCTCCTTGATCTGTGGGCAAGAGTCTTCCTCTCCGCCTCCTTGTCTCCAAACGTTAAGTGACAATGAGGAGAAATTTACCAGGACAGGGCTCAGTGACACAAGAGCCTGCCTGGTAGACACAAGGCCCTGAGTTTGATTCACATACACCACCACCCCCAACCACATTTACTGGGACAATGCTACAGTTAAAACCCTAAATCTGGGGGCTGTGGATTTAGCTCAGTGGCAGAAGCACCTGCTTGGCAAGCACAGGGTCATGATTTCGATCCCCGGTACCACAAAAACAAAACAAAACAAAACAAAACAAAAAACCAAAAACAACCACATCCCCAGTAATTGACATCTATAGACTCTGGTTTTTGTGTTCATCTTTCTGTTTTTCCTTTGCCTGGAGGGATTGCTTGCTTTTTATGTGCCAAATGCTATAGTGTGCCCTTACACCATTTCCCTCTCAAAAGATTCCAGTGAGAACGAGACCTCTGGCTGTCATGGACTAGGTGTCCTAACTGAAATACCCTGAAAAACTAAAACGGTTGATAAGAGGAAGAGGAACAGGAAGAAGAAGAAGAAGAAGAAGAAGAAGAAGAAGAAGAAGAAGAAGAAGAAGAAGAAGAAGAAGAAGAAGAAGAAGAAGAAGAAGAAGAAGAAGAAAAGAAGAAGAAGAAGAAGAAGAAGAAGAAGAAGAAGAAGAAGAAGAAGAAGAAGAAGAAGCCAGCTTTTTCAAGGAATCAGTGGGCTTCCAATTGTATCTAGAGCTTCCACTAAGAGTGTAAACTGAAGACAGACTCACTGCTCCTCTGAGAAAACATGCTCCAAATCGCCTGCCTCTGCACTTGGGGGGTGGAGGAAGTGCCCCTTGACGTATAAATGGTAACCACGGGATGTCTTACATGGTTGAACCCCTGCATCATGCATTGTGGGAGGAGTGGGACCTTGGTACTCAGTACTAATAGGTTCTGGGAGGAGCAGCCGTCTGAACTGTTTTGGTTGGGGAGGGTGGTCACGATGGAACACCTATAGGGAGCCAAATTCGATGAATTTTAAATCAGTCAGGTACCTAGGCGTGACTGTGACTCAGGAGACCTCAATCTGTAACCTGGATTAATAACAAAAAAATTTTTTTTGAGACAGGTCTCACTATGCAGTTCAGGCCGGCCCTGAACTCGCTGTGTATCCCAGGCTGGCCACGAACTCTCAGCGATCCTCCTGCCTCAGCCCAAAGAGTGGTAGGATTACAGGTGTGCACCACCACACTTGGCCAACCCAATTCGAAGCGTCCCCTAACGGCAGTCCCTCCACATGCTTGGCAATAGCACGCGGAGTTTCTGTGGAAGATTACCCCTCTCTCAGGATTCAGACAACGTCTACAGATAGCATCCCAAGAAGAATAAATTCATAGTTGTAAATCTCAAATTATAAATGACACGTGAGTGACAGCCAGCAAGGAAACAAACAGACACCAAAGCAAAGACAAAAGCAAAGCAGGATCAGAAGCACAAGACTAACTTTTGGAACTAGTAAGTACAGAGCACAGAGTTTAAATAGGTGCCATACAGTGCTTGCCTGGCAAGGGCAACGTCGTGAATTCGATTCCCGGTGCCAGCTGGGAGGAAGTGCCCCTTGACAAATGGTGTAAGGGCACACTATAGCATTTGGCACATAAAAAGCAAGCAATCCCTCCAGGCAAAGGAAAAACAGAAAGATGAGCACAAGATTTAGGGTTTTAACTGTAGCATAAATAAATAAATGCCGTTGCTTTACAGCTGCCCACTGATGCCCATCTTTACCAATAGGATGCTGAATTTCAAATAAGCACACGTCCAACCTGTAAGAGATTTTACGTCCAGACTCCTTTGCCTTTTCTTGTAGTGGGGTTAATACTGTGTAAGTCACCAACAATTATCTCTCATAAAGTTAAAAAAAAAAAAAGAATTAAAATGCTTGATGACATGAGAGTAGGAACTGGGAGATGACTGAGAATTAAAGTTTCTAAGCCCGTGTGTCGTTTTGAAGAACAGAGATATGAATTATGTTTAGACTCTGTTAGCATTTTATAACTGTCCAGGTAGTCTGTGAGAGGTGGAATCTGGATTTGAATCCAGGATCTCTTGCTCCAAATAATTCTAGAGGCTAGGGGAAGGCGGGTCCCTTTTTTAGACTACCGTTAGCTTTCCAGCTGCAGGCCTGGAGTACCAGGGCCCAGGGTCCGATCTGTCACAGCTGACCTTCCTTCCCAGCCTCAGGCTCTGCCATCGAAGCGGCCAGGCAGCCCAGGCCCGAGCCTTTCCCAGCATTCCTCAGCCCCCACTCTTCTCAGTCGCATCCATTCCGAGCTCCCTATGCCTTCCGCCACCCCTGCAGCCACCGCCCCGTAACAGGCCCTGCACGCGGAGAACGCTGTTCACCTACACACGAGCTCTCTGAGATGCACCCTCCTGCAGAGGAGAGACGCTTGCTGCGATAACACAGTCCGACCACTAGAACGCCCACCAGCCCATCACAAGCCACCCTTCCCTCGAGCTCTCACACCCTCTGCTCACTGGTCACGCTTGTCCAGCTGGCTAGGTTACTTTCCTGCTGTCACATCCAAGTGTCCAGACCAAGCCTGAAGCAGCTGCTAGAGGACTCAGGCTCTGTCTCTCCTCCCATTAGACCCGAAGTCACCCAGGAAGTCACGCCTGTGCTCTCCCTGTGGTGTGATGAGCAGGGTCATCGGAAGGCTCTTGGGGTGGAGAAGCTCCCGGAGAGACAGGTCAGTTCTGTGGCTGAGGGTCAGAGGGGGCTGTGCGCTACTTCCCCTACTCTAAGTCTGACAGGCGGTTTATTTCTGCATATTTAACACACACCCTGAGCCCCAGAGACTGTAATTTGAATGCTCTGTAATTTGAATTTGGTCCTGAAGGTCCACATGCTAAAACTTGGTCTCTAGTGCCTCAGTGTCGGGAAGTTATACAGCCACTACAAAGTGGGGCCCAGGGAGAGGGTGCTGAGTCTTCAAAAGACTTTAATGCTTTTCTTGCCCCAGAAATAGCAAGTTTCTATAAGAGAATCTGGCATCTCCACTGACTCTCTCTTCATCTCTCACCATGTGATTATCCCTCTCAGTAGTACCTGCTAGGATGTCGTCTACCATCTTGTGATGTAGCCGGAAAGGCCCCACCAGAGCTGGGCGACAGGAAGGTTCAGTGTTGGATTCTCAGCCTCCAAACTGTGAGCTAAATCAACCTCCTCTCTGTAGGAAGTGCCCAGCCTTGGGTATCTTGGAGTAAAAGAGACTCCCCACAGCAGCCTCACCGCACCTGGGCCTCTCCTCCTCCCTTCAGCCCAGTGCGCCCCTGTGAGTGCCTGCAGCATAGTCAGCAGCACTGTTTTCCTCTGAGCCAGAAGCCGGGGTCCTGGCTACTGTTCTGAGTGTCACATTGTCATTTGCTTCAGAGATGAGGGCTGCTATCTCCCAGCCAAGTTCATTAGGGGCCCCTCCAGGCTGAGCCCAAGCACCTGGCTTCTTGACCCAGAAACAAAGTCTTGATTGAGCTTGAAGACACATCTTGACACCTTGGAGGGTGGATCCGCTTCGCTCTGACAGCCTTGATCTCCTTACTCCCACCTACTTCCTGTTCTAATGCTGCCCAGTGACCTGCCAGGTGTGATCATGTCAGTCTGGTCCTCACCCCACTCTTGATCCTTGGTCTGTGGCTTCCCAGGCTCAGGGTTGCTTTGTGAGCTGCTCACGCTTGGCAGACTCTCAGGTCAAGTGCCCAACCCTCCCCAGCCCATGGGAAGCTCCAAGGAGCCCTGCAGCTCTTCCTCCGCAGAGAGAGACAAGGATCTCACGCAGAGGAAGCTTGGGGAACCCAAGCAGAGAGCCACCCGTCCCCCAAGCTCCGGGTTCTTCTGGAGAGTACGCACTCAGGAGATCCAAACTCCTGGATCTTTTCAGCCTGCGCTCTCCTTTCTCGGGAGTCCTCTGTTCTTTGCTCTCTAGGTCTTAGTTACATCTGGGACCCAGGCATCTTGCTTTCCAGCTGCAAGGGGACACGGGAAGATGCAGAAACCAGATGTTCTCCTTATGTATTGGCTCCTAGTGCTCCTCCTACTTTTAGAGAATGGTGAGTGATGTTATTTGAAAGCAGACGAGAGGTTGTGGGAGAGGCAGTCACTTCTGGGATGAGTTCAGCTTCTCCTCCGTAGAGTGAGAATCCTCAGTTTACTGCCTCACCTCAGAGGAACACTGTCTCACCATGGAGGCGGTGACAGCAGAGAGGGACCTGTACCCAAATCAGAGCCCTGCTTACCAAATCTGTGCCATCATGAGCGGCTTCCCTGTGCCTCAGCTCTGTGTCTGTGAAATGGGTGACCTGTGTGATATGGTGGGGCCCGGAACAAGAGGAGCCGGCTGTTCTTAAAACGCCACTGCTCTGTTCTACAAACTCAGTTTCTCCCCCGAGTCCACATCAGTCACCTCAGGCCCGAGAACAGACTCTAAGAATCAAACAGAACCTAAGAACCAGACAGACTCCCCGGTAGTCGGCAGCTCCGACCCCAGAAGCGGCTGCCAGCCCTCACGATGCCCAGGGGAGCAGCACGGCTGTGAGGAGTCGTGGGGGGAACAAAATTCTGTCTCCTGTTGCTCTGAGTAGTTTATTTTGTCCTCCACGACTTTCCTCCACTCCCTCTTTCACATCACCTCTGGGCCACTCACTCACTTAGTTTACTCCTAATTTTGATCTTAACAGTCATTTGTGCCACACTGAAGTTGGGGGCACCTGACCCAGAGCAAGCTCCACTGTAACTCTACGTTAGTTAATTCAGATGAGGTGAAAGAAAGATGGACGTGTCAGGGCGAGGTGTCAGGGCGAGGTGCCGGGTAGGGAGGTGCCAAGGCAGGCATCGCCCTAGCTGTGGCGGAGCCGCTCAGGGGCTGGAAATCCTTCCCGCATCTTGCCACCTCGGCTTGCACCTCTTGCCATTACGGATCTGAGTGGCACGTAACTTGTTTTTCAATCTTGGCCATAGTGACCGGGAGCCCTGGGATTTAATGGTGTGGAGTCACCCAGCTCTGGCTGAATGTGCAGGCTCCTGGGCCCCTCTCAGACCCCTACCCACTCAGAGTCCCACTCAGAGTCTAGGAATCTTCATTTCCACAAACTCATCCAGTGATTTGGATGTGGGCAGCTTCTCGGTATATATAAAGAAGTACTTTTTTTTTTTTTTTTTGTCTTTTTCCTTTTTATCGGTACTGGGGATTGAACTCACGACTGCCTGCTTACAAGGCAGGCGCTTATGCCACTGAGCTAAATCCCCAGCCCTGAGAAGTGCTTTCTAAGAAGGGAGCACTACTACCTTAAGACCAAATCAACATATCACCTTCACCTGGTCTTATAATTCCCCTCTTCAGAGGTAGAGCCAGGGCCGTGTCATGCCAAGTGAGCCTGAGCTCCCCCAGCCTTACGGTCCCTTTATGACACTTTTTATCTGGGTTGAATCTCCTCCAGCAGGCTATGGAGCAGGCTTACTCAGCAGTGACACTAGGTCACCTAACCCTGGTGTGGGGCGGGGTTGGGAGGGTGGCTTTCCTCAGTGCCTAGAAGTACAGATTCCGAAGCCTAGATTCGATTTCCTGTCTGACTACTCACCTGCTGTGTAAATACGGGCAGCCTTCCACAGCCCTAATCCTGGATTTCCGCCTCTCAGCTGGTGATGATGACAGTGTCTGTGTTAAAGGGCTGCAGGGAGCACCAAGTCCAATGTCCGCGTGATGGATCTCACAAGTGCAGGTAGAGGTCATACATGTTCAGTATACACTTACCATTATTTATGATCCTCTTCAGGAATAGCCTTCGGCAATACCAGCACACCTGCCGGCCCCGGGTCCAGCACGAACTCTGCTGGAACCAGCATAAGCTCCAGAACTGTAGCCAGCGTGAACTCTAGGACCAGCGCAGTCACCAGGACTGGCTCCAGTGTGGCCAGTGAGACCAGCACAGCTTCCAGCGCCGCCCCTACCTTGACCCATACTGGGACTAATTCAACCTCCCTCGCTGTGCCCAGTGTGGCTGCTAGTGAGGCCAGCACAGTCGTCCACAGTGTGACCTCCGACGCTGCCTCCAGTGCGAGCTCTCCTGGGACTAGCACAGCTGCCAGCACCGCACCCAGTGGGACCTCCGGTGAGACCGTCACAACCCCCAGCTCTGGATCCGGCAGGACCTCCACGGGCTCTGGCACACCTGCTTCAGCCAGAACACACACAACCTCCAGCAGGAGAGCAGCCACTTCAGCCAATGCGGGGAAGCGCCGTGGGGGCCTGAAGCCATGGGAAACCTTCCTCATCACCTTGGCATCGGTCTTAGTGGCTGCAGGGCTCTTTGCTGGGCTCTTCTTTTACGTGGTGAGCGCTTAGTGTATAGGAAAACCCTGGGGAAGGAGCAATGGGGACAACAGGATGTGACCTGCAGGGCCCTCGAGTCAAGGGGGTGGGGGAGAAGGCCAGAGGGAGGCCCCGAGATGCCAGAGGTGGCAGCTGCAACCAAAGAGCCACTACCGACCTGCAAGGGAAGGGCGCTGAGAGGGGTGAGGGCTGGAGGGAGGCCCGGCTGAGAGAGTGTGGTCCGGGAAGGAAATTCCACCGCCCTGAGGGAGGGGACAGAGGAATGTAATTCTGAAGCTTCTGACTTTTTTCTAGAGAAGTTTCCGGTCCCTGAGGAACCCCTTCCGCACAGCCCTCTACCGCCCCCATGGCGCCTACACCGGCCCGGGCCACGCAGAGAGCCCCAGCAGGTTCTGGAGGAGACCAGCGGCCTCTGTGGCTGTGGAGATGAGTGGGCCCTGAGTGGCCCTGAGCAGCCTCTCGCTCCTCTGGACTTCGCGTGGTCCCCGAGTCCGGAGGAGGGTGCTTCTTCCCTCCCACGCCTTTTTCAAAGGAAAAGGGGGGACGCACTGGCCGCCTACCTAAGAAGTAAATACACCACCGTGTCTGGGAGCTGTACTGTCTCCTTCTACTCTTTTGCTCATAAGTGGTCTGGGGCAGCCGTACTTTTGACTGTCCTTTACATCCTCGGCTACTTTCAGTGGCGCTGGGTCAGACGCCAGCCCTCTGCCTGCTAGCCAAGCGCGCTGCCAACCGACTTACTACAAACCCAGGCTTCCTTTCTAATCCCTGTCTCATTAAATAGGTCTCTGAGCTGGGTGCGGTGGTCATATCAGCACATGAGTGTTGCACTTCCCCAAAAAGGCCCCTGAGATGAAAAATGGGAAAAACCCCTGAGATGGAACAGATGGGGCAGAACGACGTCGTTTTTGGAAGAAGCGCTTTTATTTTAGCAGGCCCAGCAACACAGTGCAGATGGAATTTGCAAAGCTGTGCGGCTGAGTTAGAGTTTTGACTGCTTTTTATAGTTCATTTATGATTAGGTCATTGACCATTAAGTACATAGTGATGAGAAACAGAAATAAGGTGGGCCTTTGTTCCCCTTTGCGTGAGGGCAGAGGCATTTCACAGTGGGGGATTAGCCAACTCATGGCCCTTGGTCTGCCAACTCCAGGGACATTTGTCTCTCATAAAGGGAGCAATGGTTGACACAGCATCATTTGTGTCTTACAAGGGGAACAAAAGTTGACATAGCACACAGGTTACTAAGGCGGGGGGGTGACGCATTACAGAACAGCAGAACGACATGGTCAGTTAATTTATAACTATGTGGTTGGTGCTTGGTTACTAGGGTAACGAGTTCAGTACAGAATGACAATATTGCTAATAACTATCCTTTTAAGTAACTATTTTTGCTACTTATCTTTTAATCAATTATTTTAATTTTTCAGCATCTTAGTATAACAATGAGAGGCTGAGGCAGGAGGATAGCTGCGCGTTTGAGATCAGCCTAGGCCACAAAATGGTCAGCCTGAACCATATGGGGAAACCTTGCCTCAAAAAAGACCCTAAATAAATACGTAAATAAGTCTGCACTAGAGAAATATCAGACATCAAGTAGAGAGACTACGGGAAAGCCTCCCTAACTTAGGCTTCAGATGCCTACAGCAGAGCTTCTTAAAACCTTTTTCATTAGCACGTATCAATGACAGGTTGCTGTGCTTCACGTGACGTTTATGTAACATTCTTCCATCACACCCGCCTGTCACTGTCCCTTGCCTCCTCCGCCGGGGGTCCTCTCCCCGCTCTGTGTCCTCTTTCCTCACCTAGAGTCCCCATGGGAGAGTCTGCTCCTCTGTCAGAAGCGCAGCTGGCAAAGATTTTCTTCTGTTCCCTGGGCTGTCTCTGCTTTTTCTCTCCTTTGCTGCACACAAGTTTTTTAATTTGCTGTAATCCCATTTATTGATTCTTCTTGAGCCCTGGAGTCCTTTTCAGGCAGTCTTGGCTGTGTGTTTGTCTTGGAGTTCTCACTTTCTGCTCTTTTCCAGCAGTTTCAGACTTTCAGGGCTCATACTTAGGCCTTTTTGAGTTGAATTTGAGGAGCTGGGTAGGAAAGAGAGAGACATCATTCTGGTCTTCTACGTGGACACCTATTTTCCCAGCACCCTTCGCTGGCTTTTTCTGGAGCTGTTCAGACAAGAACCAGCACCCAGACCTCAGAGGAAGGGAAGATGGAGCGGGGCCGAGATGGAGGGGGCACACGTCTCCTCCACACTGGGAGATGAAGTGGGTCAGAGCTTCCCTGAGCCCACTTGAACCCCAGCCTCTGTCATGGGGATCCATGGTGTTCTCTCTGGGGACACTTCCCTCCCTGCATCCCCCAGGGAGTCAGCGTCACCACAGCCCCCCAACAGGATGAGGTCACACAGCAAATGCACGGCCGAGGCACATGCTAGTGCATTTCCTGTTTGTTTTTCTCTTTTAACTGCAAGCTGCATCCAGAGCACTGTCCGAGGATCCCTTAAATACACCCTCAGCTGACTCTTGTGAGGTACAGCTCTTTGGGACCCTGAAGTAGGACAGGTATTTAACACAGAAGCACTGAGAAATCTGATGCTGAGGTTTCATTGAAGTCCAGCGTCCAGCTGTGTGTTTCAGAGGACTCAGAGACAGGGGAAGGCACCGCGTGCAGCAAGACCTCTGCCAGGAGCTCGTTTCCGAGCACAGAAGGACTGCAATGGATCAGAAAAGACAATGTGACTTAAAATAGGCAAAGCAGTTGAAAGATACCTAACAAAAAATGGCACCAAAATAGCAGACATTTGCAACAGTACTCAGTAGCACTGCTAATTGGACAAACGAAGTTAAAACCCTACAGAGACACAGCACGTGCACACAGGAAACCCACAAGGATTTAAATGACTGAGGACGCCAGGCAGGCAAGGGTGCAGCTGAGACTCTCGTCACCACTAGTGGGAGTGGAACCGGTACCATTATTCTGGGAGAGTGGCCCGCAACACTAAAACCCCCTATAAGCCAGCGACACCCCCCCCCCCAGTGTATAAATGTACGCCCAGCAGCAGCGAAGGCCTCCATGCACAGGGAGGCGCTTTACTCTCCAGGCGCGCACTGGGAGTTACTGGAGTCCGTTCGCGTTAGCGTGAGGCAGAGCCCGGTATCACAGTCACGGTGACACAGTCACACGGTGCGGTGCGGGGATGCCAGGCACAGACCAGCGCATTGTGCAGTAACCCCGTGAGTCCCAGCACACAGCGCTGAGCAGAAGGAAGAAGAGCAAAGGAGGGCGCCGTGCAGTCCCATCCTCAGGTGTGGGGACCGCAGGGTTAGAGGTCGGAGCTGTGGCAGCCTTTGGAGGAACTGAGTGGGAGAAGGTCTCAGCGGGGATGAGCTCGGGCAGCATCTTTTCCTGGGTGGTGACGGCAGGGATAGATATGTATTTGTGTATTTTATTGTATGGAACTTTCACCTCAGTTTAAAACATGAAAAAGGAATCCGCACAGCATCGTGATCGCCACGGAGGGGGACGTGGCTGGGATGCAGGGTGGGGGTGCTCTGTGCCAGAAGCGCAAGGCCGTTTCCACTTGGATGTCAGGACAGCGCCTGGGGGGAGAGGGGCTCGGTGTGGCCGGCCTGACCCCGGGTTTCTGGAAACAGCACCTGCAGTGGGGTCTGCGCGGTTGGCAGGGGGGTTCCTAGGGGGTCCCGATGGGGGAGGCCGCCTTCCCAAGCTGCATGCAGCCCCCGCCAGCGCTGTGCGGGAGCCCACAGAGAACACGCTCTGCCGACATGCACTGAGCGAGCCGCCCAGGGGAACCAGTCGTAGGAAATGCCTGGCCTTCGCCCTTCCACCCTTCCCCAAACACTATTCCAAGGCCTCTCCCCCAGTCCACCATCTGCTTGTAGACGTCGGTTTCTGCACCGAGCCGTCAGCAGCTGCCGCTGACCAGGGAAGCTGGGACGCTGCTCATGTCTTGGCCCACAGACTTATGGGTCAACACTGCGCCCCAGAGTGCTCCCCTCGGGCTGTCCTTTGGGGCTCCCCCGGTGGGGGGCGGTGCTGCAGCTGTGGTGCTGTGAATGCGCAGAACCACCCTCAGTCACGTGAGGCCGGGCCTGCCTTTCTCAGTGGCTGGACTGACTCTGGGGGGTAAAGGGTGGGGATGCAGGTGCAGTGGACACCCGAGCTTTGGTCTCTTGTCCTGAGGACTCACGGAGGCCTTGCACACAGCTCGGGGGCCACACTGGGCTTCCCCTCTCAGGGCCCCTCAGCCTCAAACAGCTCCCTGCTCTGCTACAGTGAGTCTACTAAAAATAAACCTCAGGCTTTGCTGTGGCTCCTACTTAACATGGGAAATGTCTGGCGACGGGGCCCGCGGTGAGCTTGGGGCAAGAGTTCCCTTGTTTTCTAAATTCTGTAAGCCCCGCCTCAGCGGGCGGGTGTGGCCTCGAGTAAGCGGGCGTGTCCTCGTAGGTGGGCGTGTCCTCTGGGTAGCCGGAGGCAGCACCCGGTTCCTCGCCTCCCTGGCTGACGCTGGACTCCGAGGATGCTTCCCTCCCGGCCCCTCCAGCGCATCCCTCTCAGCCAGCAGCCCCTCCGTGTCCGGTGCTTGCAGATGTCACACTTCACAGGAGTAAGAAGCCACCCCGGCTTCGAGTCAGCCGCTCCCAGGTCCCCTTTGGAAGGTCACTTTCCCGGAATCTCTTTCTACAGAGCGGCTCAGCTTCCCTCGCGAACACAGAGATCTTGTTTCAAAGGCAAAGAATCCAGGAAGGAGGCGCCGGCGGAGCTGCTGGGGAAGCAGAGGTGGTGATGTCGGTGGCAGCTAACGGTTTCAGGTCGCCTGGGAACTGCAGGGGCCGCCCCAGACCCTCCCGGGAAGCAGGCCCAGGGGCACGCCGGACAGCAGCCGAGGTCGGTGTCCCCGGGGTCCGGCTACAGGGCCCAGGGTGGCGCTTGCAGTGAGGTGCCCGAAGCCGGGGACAGCGGTCAGCGCCGGCTCGGGTGGGCAGACTCCTCGTCTAGAGGTCCTAAGCGATCCAAATCAGATCGCGCTGAAACTTTAGGACAGGGCCGAAGGAATCAGGAATATAGGTTATTCCTAAAAGAACTCTTAAAAATCTTTTTGACCAAAGTTGGATCCAAAAAAAAAAAAAAATCCAAAGTTCTACTGCGCCTCTGTGATTTTTCTATTTATAAGCACACGTTCGAATTCTAGAATTTCTGACCCGGGTCGGGCTTCCCCGCTCCTGTGCAGTGCCCACAGCTGTGCCCCGGGGACCTTCGTCTCAGTCACTTGCTTTCCTGGCACACCCCCCCGCATCCCGCCCCGTGAAATACCGTTTTGTTCTGGGTTTGACCCTGAGGAGCCCTTCAGCCTTGGGGGAGGCTCCCCAATCTCTGGAGGAGGGGGCGCAGGTGCAGAAGCCTCGGCCTGGAGGGGATCGCCCGGTTATGGGGCAAGGTTTGCGCGCGGAGCTTCTTTTTCCGCAGATCTGGGTCGGGGCTCAGGAGCCAGACTGCCCGGTTCCAGTTCCAACGCTGCTCCTTGCAGGGCTCAGGAGCCCGAGAGAGGTGCATGGAGGCCGCTCTGTGCCTCGGTTTCCCCACTTTAAAAGTGGGGGTCTGACGGCAGCTAAGGCGCAGAGCAGCCGGCACCTGCGGGTTGCAGTGAGTGACAGATGGGCGCGGAATCCTCAGTGAACCCTGCGTTCCTGGGCGTCCTGCGGGGGAGGGAAGGGAGAGCTGGGCGGCGGCTGCAGAAGCTGCTCCGTGTGCAGCGATCCTGCGCTTAACGATCGCTGCGTTTGCCCGGGTGGGCTCGGAGGGAGGCAGGTGGAGACTGGGGAAGGCAAGCCTACCACAGGGCCGCCGCTCCTTTGCGAAGATGCATCAGGTGAAAATTTTCTATGATACTAAGGAGGTGGAAGCAGAAGATTAAGGCAGGTTCGAGGCCAGGCTGTACTGCATGGCAAGAGCCCTTCTCAAAACAATTTTTTTTTTAATCGGTACCAGGGATCTAACTCCCAATCACCTGCGTGCAAGGCAGGCGCTTTGGCCGCTGAGCTAAATCCCCAGCCCCTCCTGAAAACAATTTTTAAATAAATAAAAAATGTCTGTATCTAGGTGACGAGGATCATTGTAAGAACACATCACAGAATATTTTTCCTTCCGGGAAATTTGGTTTTCATCCTTTGTGGCTTGTCCAGTTTCAAAATTAGCCGGGGTGAAAGGGAGAGTCTGCGCTTCCAATCCCTGAGAAGCGCCCGAGGCAGAAGTGCAGCCTGCTCAGCCCGTGGCATCTTTGTCTCCCGGCCCTGTGGCTCCGGTACCCCTTCCTCCCTCGGGGGTCAGAGCGCCCTGCAGCAGCCTGGGCTTCCTGGGCAGCGGCACACAAATCCCAGCCAGGCTGAACGAGGCTGAAAAGCAGGAGAGGAGGAAGGGAAAGATGTCCTGGCTTCCGCGGAGAGGGTTCTCAGGGGAAAAGAAGGAACTGCTCAGTCGCATCCTTCCTCCTCCTCCTCCTCCTCCTCCTCCTCTTCCTCCTCCTCCTCCTCTGCCCTCCTCCTCCTCTTCCTCTTCCTCCTCCTCCTCCTCTGCCCTCTTCCTCCTCTTCCTCCTCTTCCTCCTCCTGCTGCTGCTGCTGCCTCCACGCTGGGAGTAGGGCAAGCAACTCATTTGGGAGAGAGGATGAAGGTTCCCCAGGGCCAGGAGAGACAGGGTTGGGAAGCCTGGAGAAGGACGCTCTGGGGGTGGGGGGCAGGTCCCAAGCACAGCTGTGGGTCAGGCAGTGACCTTGGGAAGCTCCAGGCCCTGCCATGTACTCAGCTCCTGCCTCAGGAAGGGAGTCCTGTGCTTTCTCTCTCTTTTTCTCTCTGTCTCTGTCTCTCTCTCATCACCTCAATGAACTGCTTTTACAGATGACTGGAGAAAGAAAATGTGGTATCTGTATGTGATGGAACTCTACTCAGCTTTGAAGAATGACAAATTAGAGCCATCTGTGGGACAACGGATGTGCCTGGGAAATATAATGTTGAGTGAAATAAACCAGACACGGAAGCTTAAATACCATGCGTAGCTCTCATTTGAGGGAGGCAAAGGGTAAAGAGAAGGATAAAGGACCGACAGAATGGGACAAAGGGATGGGTCTCTTGCAATAGGGAAGTGACCCAAGGGAACAGGGGCGAGAGAAGAGGAGGAGGGGAGAGGAATAAACATGCGTCAGTACAGGGCCCTGATAACCCCGATTTATGCAAACACCACCCCACAGCTGAGCCCAGATCAATGATATCAACAGGAATGAAAAGTGGGACAAGAGAACTGGAGGAGGAGGAGGGGGAGGGAGGAAGGGGAGGAGAAGAAAGGCGTGAGCCACAGTGCGCACCATTAGCCTTTTCCCGACACAACTGTAAACTACATGAACCGCAAGCATGCACAAATAAAATAAAACATTTTAAAAACAAATACTACTTAAAATGAAAAAAAATGCACTGCTCTGGATTATTTACATTTTATTAGTTTCTGCATTTCAGCTTTGCTGAGAAGCGAGAGAACTGCTAGAGCACCTTCAGGAGTCAACAGCAGGTAGGGAAGAACGGTTTGATGGGCCCGAACTATGTGGGCTGGTTTGAGTCCTGAGAATAAACACTCCCAGCCCTGAAGCCGGGCAGGTGCGGGCTGGTTACTCCCAGCTCGGCTGCAGGCAGCCCCCTCCGGGCCGCACCCACACCACACCCCCAGCTCCACCCACATGCCTGGAGCCCCCCTGCCTCCCGTTCTGCTCCTCCAGGTGCCCCGAAGTTTATCTCTGCTGTGAGTCACAGTTCCCGCCTCCCTTGGTCACCTGCGCCGGGGCATGTGGATGAGAGGAGACTGCAGGGAGGCCAAGGCCTTCGGGTGCTCCCAGAGCAGCTTGGGGTGCCGAGTCAGGGTCAGGGAGAGGCCAGGCCTGGGAGGACTGGACCAAAGGCTGGGTGACCAGATGCTCCAACGGTGTGACCTAACTCTGGGTACTCTAGACTGTGAGCTAAGAGGATTCCTCATGGAATATGCTTTCTTAGAATTAAATCCAGAAAGGAGGGTGGTTCTTAGATAAATCCAGCCACAGTCCTCAAGCAGTTGTGCCATTTAGCTAGGGAGGAGCCTTAGGGAATCAGCAACACATGGGAAATGAGATGGTCCTGAACAGGAACAGGCCAAAATGACCGGGTCAGCCCTAAAGGCAAGAGGAACTGGCCCCCCTGCGACAGAGGGCTGCTGAGGACCACGTCACCCAGACCACAGGCCACAGAAGAGCCTAGTGCTCACATCCGACCCCTTTCCAACTGAACAGGAGCAGGTCACCCTGGGCTCCCCACTGTGCTCCGGGCTGGGCTTGGCTTCCCGGCCCAGGAGTGCAGAGGACGCTACTGGAGGAAAGGCAGGTGGGCTGAGGGGTGAGAGGAGGTGGACAGCAGAGAGAGCCCAGAGACCCTAGAGAAGGGAGAGGAGCAGCAGGCAGGGAAATGAGAGGTGGGCGGGCAGAGGGAGAGGAGGGAAAGAGGACAGAGAGGGACCCGCTCAGAGCCAGAGCCCTTGTGCACACAGGAGGGGATGCGGCAGATGCTAGCCTGGGCTGGGTGCGGGAGGAGGAGACACAGCACTTGGGGTGAGCCACTCGAGCCAGAAGTTATATTTTGTGTTAATTACTACCCATTCTGGAATTCTGCAAAAGATTTCTTTAAAAACCGGAGCAAGGAAAGTGTTATGAGCCTGAGTGCTCTGTCCTGGAAGGACAGTTGGTGGCAGCTCTCAGACGGGCACTGGTGTCTCCCCGTCCCTAAGGGGCCCCAGCTCTGCCGTGCCAGCCTGTGGCCGACTCTGGCTGATCTTCGTCCCCTCAGTTCTGCTGCTCCTTCTCGGCCACCTTGACTAAGGACTAAGAGCACCTGGAGTTTGAAGCAGCAGCTTGAGCAATCCGCTGCCCCGCCCGAGCAGGTCTCAGCCTCTTTAGGTCTTGTGGAGCCTGGGCAGCTTCGTACACTGATCTCTGCCTGAAGAGGCGAGAGCCATAGCTCAGATCGGTGTGTAAATGGGACAAGGCCCAGCAATGCATCCCACAGCCGAGGTGCCCACATTTAATGCCACCAGCACCACCTTGAAACCAGAGCATTCTGGAGGCTGCTGGGGGGCGGGGAGTGGGAGCTGCCACGCGTGCGCGACTGGATTCACACCCACTCACCTTCAGCATTGCCAGCCGGGATGGGGGTGCAGCTCCAGGGTACTAGGGGACTTGTTCCTAAAGGGTAGCTGGAAAACTAGGCGTCCCCATGTTCAGCTTGTTCACCTCTCCTGGAGTTGGAGTCCAGGTTCTTCTCATCTTGAACAAAGATTGGATGAAAAAAGCAAAAAGCAGTGGTAATGTGGGGAGCCACTCAGGCTGCTTTGAAGCTCAGGGCGTTGAAGGACGCCTGAGTGGTGTTTGGCACATTAAGAGACACAGCTATTTTCCAGATCTGATCAGGACCTTTCCCACGCGTAACCTAAAAGCAAACCCCACTTGTAGTCTCTGTGAGCGTTTGCCTCCTGTGCGAAGCAGACCACAGCCAGGCTCAGGCCTGTGTCCCTGCTCACATCCAGCTCCGTCACCAGCACGGCAGTCCCTGGAGAGCAGGGTGGGTGGGGGCCACGTAGTAGACGCTCGGCAGTCACCTGAGATGCACCGGGCCCCGCTGTGCTGTGGGCACCCGGCAGTGTGCGTCACCACCATGGTGTCACGGAGTCATTGGCAGTGCTTTTATCTGTGGTGGGACATCAGGGACACTGTACCTCCTACCCGGTGTCACCTTAGACTCGCTGAAGTACATAATTTGGAATAAATGCGTGCAGCAGGGTTTGCTTCGGTGCTGTGCTCTCTGATTTGCTCTTGTTCAGAACACAAGGAAATTAAGTTCCTTTAAGTGAGTGTGAGGTGCATGTTAGGCATCCTCTGGGGCAGAGCTGGCAGCCCCAAAGGAGAGAATGGAGCGGCCCCTGCCCTCTCCAGCAGTCTCAGCTCGGCCTCACTTCCTGGGAGGAGGGGAGGGGAGCTCCCCTGTATAGATGTGGGAAGTCCCCCAAGGACTGCGGCTAATGGAGTGGAAACTGTCCTCTCACAGAGCTGGAGTTTTCGGGAGGGGCAGCAGGGCATCTAATCCGGCCTCCTGCACGGGGTCTGCAGCCCCAGTCCCTGCCCCTTTTGATCCTCAGTTTAGCTACGTGAGATGCAGGAAGCATGCTTTAGGAATGGGGAGACTTAGGCTCAAAGAAAAGATTGGATTGCCCCCATCATGGGGCAGGAGGGCAAGGTGTTCAGCTCTTTCTTCCTGCTCCAGGAGGCTGAGCGAGGCTGGCTGCTGGGCGCCCTCTTCACACATCACTGGGGGCTGAAAACCTATGCCCTCCTGGAGCCTCCTGAGGACAGGCTCAGGGTGGCACACTGAAGAATCGCTGGCACTTGCAAAGCAGAGGGGACCATGTCCTTGATTTAAACATTTATGGCATTTACTTGCCTTTGCTAGTGAGTGGTGCTTTAAATTTTTTTTTAAATCTCCACCATCCAGGGCCTCACTCTCTGCACGTGAAGAGTGGACTCAGGCAGAAGTTTTCCATTCCGAGTTCTGAATCCCAGCTGGAGCTCCAGAGCAGCACCCGAACCAGGTCACCTATAAGGTGTTTGTGAGTTTGCCCAGCAGGGAGAGGGTTCCTGCATCTCTGGCCACCTGGGGAGAAGAGCACAGGGTGACTCGTTCAGTGGAGAGCCACACAAACAGCCACGCAAAGAGCAGAGTGAACGGGTTTGTCGTTTGTCGTGTAGATGCAGGACAAACTGCGGAGCAGGGCGGCTGCCCTCACGCCGAGCCCCCTGAGGTCCTTTCCGTTAGTATTCAGTCCCTGTGCACTGCTGCCTAAAGCCACACCCTGTGACTGAATGGAAGTGAAATAGAAGGCCGTGAGGCTGCTAGCGTTTTCACAATGGAATTCAATAGGAAAGTGGAACTCTGTGAATGTCATGACTGAAGAAAACCGACCGTTAGAGGAGGTTTGGATAGGGTGAACTGTTGCATTGATCTGATCAGAATATGTGTTCAGCCTGCACAAAGAAACCTGGAGAAAAAAGCAATGAGGGTCAAGGCAGCTATGGAACAGTATCCGTGGCAATCAGCATTGACAGGCAAAGCAGCTATGGGGAGGGTATCCATGGCACCCGAAGCCCTGGGGAGGAGAGAGGCTCCAGGCTGTGTCCTCTGCTGAAGGAAGCTGCGCCCGCTCTTCCTGACTGCGTGCGGCCCAGAGTGAGGGGCTCCAGGAGTGGGTCTCTGGCCTGAGTGCCTGGAGTGCCTGCAGTGGCTCAGGGTCCGCCCTGGCTCCATCCTTAATCTGCACGTGCTGGCCTTGTATACACCACTAAGAGAGAAAAATAGCAGCCAGGCGGTGTCTGTGTGTGTGTGTGTGTGTGTGTGTGTGTGTGTGTGTGTGTGAGTGCACATGCATGCACTCTCAGTGCTCAGGAAGCTGAGGAGGGGGGCATCCTGCATTTGTGGAACCCCTTCTCTCTCCAGCTAGACTGAGGTCCTGTCTCCAAAGGCAAAAAGCAGTTTGTTAACTGTGACATCTGTGACCTGGATTAGAGCAGCTGCCCTGGAACTGGTGACCTCACGCTCGTCGGGCAGGCACTTACACCGCTGAGCTAAATTCCCAGCCCAGGTGCCCTCTTATAACACGCATCCCTCTCTGAGAGACATTAAATGTGAGAATAACTATGTCTCACGATGCACAAAATACAACAAGTGACTTAGTGGTCATTCAACACCCTGGGCTTTGTCTCTTCCCGTGTCCTGAGCATCTGTGTGGTGCTGGTGCTGGGACACTGCGGACATCGGTGCTGGGGGCTGTCAGTGTGCTGGCCTCTTTGGGATGCCTGTTCTGGGGACTGTGGTTTCAGGTGATCTGAGCCAGTGACCCTGAGACTGGTGCTCAGAGTTAGGAGGGAGCGGAACCAGGGAGACCTGGAGAAACCTGGCCTCTCGCCCAGCTCTATGCACCTCT